GTCCCCCATGTAGCTTCCCCCATGTAGCGTCCCCCATGTAGCTTCCTCCATGTAGCGTCCCCCATGTAGCTTCCTCCATGTAGCTTCCCCGAATTTAGCACCCCACTCATCAGTTGCTGCACACCACTCATCATTTCCTTCCCTTCCCGTTCCTCCCCATCGCAGAAGCACATATACGTGAGCAACCGACCCATATACCACAGCTACGCGACGCAGACGGTGCTGTCAGACAGTGAGATTATCTACAAAAAGAGGATCTGCAACTCGTTTTACTTTTTCTTCGATCTGCACAGGGTGAGTGACTCCTTAGCTCTGAAAATGTTGGGGGCCAGTGTGGAGAACGAACTGATTAGGGAGATGCTTCAAGTGGGGGATGAGGAGGTGGCAGATCAGAAAGAAGCAGATCAGGTGACAGATCCCGAAGTGGATATGCTTCGCATCAGCTTGGGTTCCCCCCCCAAGGAGGAAGCACTAACAAAGTTGCTACATCGAGCGAAGGAAATGATAAAGAAGAAGCTGAAGGTTCTCGTGTTTACCACCCAAATGTACACCATCTTTAACAACAAGTGTCTGCTGATTCATGCGGAGTATCCATACGACATTGTCAAGATGACGTTTGAAAAAGGAGAGTCCCTTTTTTTCCTCATCTGTGACAAGTCACTAGACATGTTCCTCGATTATTTAAAGAAATATTACTCCAAGGAGGACAAGATTCTCAAGGTGAAAAAAGTAGTAACCATCAAAGGGAAGGAACTGGCCACGTGTACTTACCTCAACTTTGTGAACCAAGTGGCTAGTCCTTTTGTCCTCGTGTCGAAAAATGAAATTAATGAGTCTTTCGGCTCTGGCATTGTGCATGTGGCCCCTTCACATGGGTTTGCGGATTACAGCGTGTACTATCAGAATAATGAGCTGCAGAAGGTGCACCTCACCGGGGAGCACTACAAGGAGGAGAAGCGGCGGCGGGGGACGGTAATGGACTGTCTCGCAGGAATGGAGAACATTGGGAAGATTCGCGATATTGGAGAAGGTGCCCACATTGGAGAAGCCACCTCCGTGGAGGAAAACGTGATCGACCAGAATGACGACCTGAAGGAGGAGTACGCAGAGGTGGTCCGCCAAAACTGCCAAAGAAACGCAGAGCTGATAAGGCGGGAAGCGGTATCGGCTAAGGGGAAGAGGAACCCTCTTCTTAGCAACCTCCTACGTAGCGGCATGGGACCCCCCCCAAAAATCAACATAAACCAGGGGGACATCCACCTGCTCCTTTACTATGCCTTTCATGACCATGTCCTGTTTCATTTCCCCTATGAACACCTCTACACATATGACTGGCGATCTCACACGCCGGTGCAGATCAAATCTCTTCTCCAAATTTACGTCGACATAGAGAAGATAAAGCAGGAGAAATTATTTTATGAGAGCATTAGGAGGATAAAGTTTGTGAATGATCATGTGAAGGACGCCTTAATAAAGACAATTGAGAATCGAAATGAGTGGTGCATCAGCAGGCAGAAGTACTGGGGGGTGAACATCCCCCTGAGGGATTTACTCCTAAGTGGGGACTCCAAGGTGGCATTCCGCCGAGTAAGCTTCTGCCAGCAGATCATGGACGTCTGGTTTGACTCCTCCGTTTCGTACCTCTACGTTATGCACATGTGCAGGCACATTCTCTTTAATGAGTACCTTAGAAGGTTGGTCCCTCATGGGAGGGGCAAAAAAGGCGCAGCTGCCTTGTTAGGTAAAACCACCCGCAGTGATGATGCCCCCTTTTTTAACATATACGATGTGTATGACGAGATGGAGAGGGCGAACGAGGGGGGAGGCCATCCGGGGGCCGCCAACGAGAAGAACCTCCTGAACGATATAATGAGGAAAAGGAAAATATTCAATCCCGAAGTAATGTATGAGCGGCTAATGAAGCGACTGAGAAGTAAGAGAAATTACTACAAGGTGGGAAGTGCCAGCCAGATTGTCCATCCGGGCAAGGAGCAAAAAGGGGGAGACTTCTCTTTCGTGAAGGATATGGGCATACACCTGTGCTGCGAGGGGGTGGACCAGATAAGGGGGTGGTTCCAGTCCTTCTTCTTTATCTACTTCTTCCTGAACGGTGTTCACAGGAGGAGGGGTGCGGTGGGGGAAGATGCGGGGCCAAATGGGGAGCGAAACGCGGATGCGACTTCGGATGCAACTGCCGACCCAGACGCCGACCCAAACGTGTCTGCCTCCCTCCCCATCAGCAACATCATCGTACATAACTACGTCGTGGATGCCAACAACGTGAAGCTGAGCAAAAGTCTCAACAATGTGGTCTCCCCCCGTAAATTGTTCCCGCAGATGGCGAGCCGCAGTAGCACTGCTGACGCCGTATCAAGTGGTGTAGCTTCAACGGGAGGAGCTTCCACGGGAGGAGCTTCCAGGGAAGGCGGTGTCACGGGGAGGAAGCCGCTAACCGAGGCAACCCAGATAAAGAACACCCCCTCAAGAAGGAACACCCCCCACGGTGGAAAATACTTCAACGCGGACATCGTGCGGCTGTGGGTCTGCTGTTACAATTTCGTGAACAGAAATGTGTCAATAAGTCCCCAAATTTTGGAAGACATAAATAAGCATATTTACCTGAAGCTTTATAACACATTTAAATTTTTACTGAACAATCTGCACGATATGGATTTTTCCGACGTGAAAGTGGAGGGGAGAGAAGACCTCCAGATGATGGACCAATATATATTGTCCAAAAAGAACGATATGATTGGATGCTGTTTGGAGGCTTACACAAAATTTCAATTGCAGCTTCTCATGAAACATGCACTCAATTTTGTTAATCGCAATTTGGCTATATACCTTGATTACTGCAAGGATAGACTGTACGTACATGAGAGGACCTCCCTGAGCAGGATAAACTGTCAGAAGATTCTTCACAGCGTGCTGGTCGACATGCTCAAGGTGCTTGCCCCCGTCGTCCCCCACTTGTGTGAGGACGTGTACGGCAGGCTGCTATCCTTAAAGGGGGAGAGGCTTGGAAATCTTCCCCTTCAAAAAAGGAAATCACAGAAGCCGAAGTCACTTTTCTTTTGCGAAATGCCAACCATTAAAAAGAGAAAAGACGTCCATTTGGAAACCCTTTTCTTGATAAGATATTTTGTGCATAAACAGATGAATACATTTTTGTCAAACTCTCTCGAGGGAATAGTTTATCTCCATTCAGACAGCGAAGAGATAATCACTCTGATAAAGCATTTTTTGAAAACGTCCAATCCACTGTCCAGTTTTAATAACCATGATGACCTTCGCTTTCTCTTTAACGTCTCCAACGTTGTCCTATGTGAAGACATAACGGAGCTGCAGAAGAGAGACCCATCGTTCCGCACGTACAGGATTCCACTTCTTCCGGCGGGGGAGGCACCCCCACAACGGTGTGAAGAGGTGGACCAGCTGTTGCGGGGGGGCCAAACTGAGGAGGACCCCTTCCACGACATGCTTCGCGCGGGGAGCGCCTCCAAGAAGGTCTACATAAGCGTGGGGATCGCCAAATCCGATGGGTCCAAGTGCAGCAGGTGAGGGAGCGGCCAGAATGAGGGGCTAACCTACACCTCCAATTTATGCCTCCAATCTACGCCGCCAATCTACGCCGCCACCCCACATGGACCCCGCTTCTCTCTTTTTACTACTCCCCGACGCAGGTGCTGGATGTACGGAACGGTCAGCCCCTTTGAAGGGGAACTCCTCTGCCCGAGGTGTCTTGGCGTGGTGAAGACATACTTCGATTAGCGTGTTGGGCGAGAAATGTTGGTGGTAAGTAGGGGGAGGATTATCCCTCCGCGGACGCGCTTCCAATAACTCGGCCACAGGCATACTTTTTTGTGCTTTTAAATCGGTTTGAAAGGTTCACCCTGTTTGGTAAATTGGTGGAACGTGTTGGTCTAACGTGTTGGTCTAACGTGTTGGTCTAACGTGTTGGTGCAGCGGAGGAGGCGGCACAGAGAACCGCTAACGGCGCGAAGGACACCCTCCACAGGTGTTCCCTACGTCCCCCTCGCCACGGACGCACCCTCAATTCGAGGCATACACCACATATGCGTTAAAAAAAGTAACAAATCGGCACACCGCGAGGGCTTTGCAAAATTACAGCGCCATTTGGCTCTCGTCTGGTGCCTGCGGCTCAGTCTGTCCGAGCAGTTCCCTTTGACTCTGCCCATCCAGCGCGTCGTGTGAATCCTGCCCAATCTGCTCACTCTGTGGATGCTTCCAATTTTCTTCATTCTGTTCGCTTTGTCCGTTTGCCTCGTTTTTTTGTTCGTTTTTTTCCGTCCTCTCTTCATCGCCGTGGCGCGCTCTCTTCCGCTCCTGACGGGGAAACAAGGGAAAAAAATTAGAAGCAAAAATTAAAAGGAAAAGTTAAAAAAATAAAGAACTTCAAATGAAGCACCGTTGACCTTGCGCACATTGCGCGGTACACCTAAGATGCGGTGCAGGCGGATAGACGATATAGGGGGGGGACGGGGGGGTCCCCAATGGGAACGAAGAAGTTATCGCCCCCCCAGCAGCCGCTCCATTTGGCATAGTGTGTCTGGCCTCCCAACTCACCATCTGCCGATTCTGTATGTCAAAATAATTTTGCAGATACTGGTACTGCTCTAGCTTTAGCTTCACCTTCCTGGTGCTTATCAGGGCGAGCTCCTTCAGCAGCTTCCTAATGTTGTGCCTCTCGAGTTCTGCGAGCTCGCGGGCCCTCTTCTTCGAGGCGTTAATAATTGTGTTGTGTATTTCCTGCATGTCCTTCTCATTGAGTATGTACGTGGAGGGGGCACTGTCCTTTGGCGGGGGGTTAATGTTGAGTGGTACGAAGTCAAGGTTGCCACCGGGGGGGAAGCTCGGGTCGTCTCTTTCGGCTTCAATCTTGGCGCTCCTGCTCATTTGGTGGTTTCCTGTATCTGCTTTAGCTGTATCTGCTTCAGCTGTTTCTGCCGCGTTTGACACTTCTGCCCCCGTCGCGTTTGCCGCTTCTGTCACAATCGGGGCTGCCCCCTGGTTGCCCGTGTTGGAAATATCCTGGTGCTGCTCCTCGGCGATGGCTCCCAGGCCCTTCGCTTCTCCCTCTTCGTGCGCCTTCCCTTCGGGGGCTCCTTCTGCAGGGATGACGTCTGGCAGCTTCTCGGCAGTCGAATTTGCTTCAGTTGGATCTTCCCCCTTTGGCTCCTCAGCTGGGGAGAGGTCTTCGCAACGGGGTTGTCTCCCCCCAGACTGTCCGGCTTGGAGACTCCCTATCTTGATTTCCCCCGTTTGAAGTTCCGGGTTTTCCCTCTTCTCCCACTGCTCTTTCTTCATGTGCTGCTCCTTCTCCTCGCGCTCCTTTACCCTGGCGACGCACTCTCGCTGTTTATTAAGAATGAAGTCTACGATTTTCTTCGCCGCGTAGGCCCCGATGTACGGGCTGATATAATTGCAAATGAAGGAGAGTAGAGACAGGAGAGTATTATTCTGTTTAAACGATTTCAACGACACATTGTTGATATTAAGAAGATTGTCGATGTCGAAGTATGGATTGGAGAGTGGCATGGAGGTGAATTTAAAGACACATTCATATGGACTTCTGGTGCCTACCGATTGACTGATTTTTTCCCAGTTATTTTTATACTTGCCAATGGCATCGATGAGTTTCTCCATCTCAGTAACAGTCCAATCGTTGGAAGGAAAGCTGTATGGTACGTTCACTTTGACGAAATTTGATCTGTTTAGGATGCTCGGGTACTTACTCGAATTGAAACAGACACTGCACCAGACACATTTATCCAGAACTCCGTAGGAGATTTTCTTGATGTTGTTCGGTTTTAGAATGTAGTACACGTGAGTGCACACCTTTTTGCAGCCTACACATGTGTATAAGTTGCTCACTGGATGCTCCGGCTGTTGGGGCTGATTTGGTCGAGATGCTTCCCCGGTGTTATTGCACTCCATGGAGTTTTTTCCTCCCTCTGACAGGGGGTTGTAATGATTTACGTCGAGGGGGCTTCCTCTACATTTTTCATTCTTTGTTTGCACATTTTGGTTTAACCAGGGGAAGATGTTCCCATGGGGGGTATAGTCCTTCATTCCGCTTGCTACCCATGGGGTGGCACCCACCGTCCGTTCTGCCTCGCCCTGCTTGCCGTACATCATGGCAGGGGGGGAAATCCATGTGTCTAATCCCCCCTGGGTATGCGGTTCCTGAGGGGGGAGAACATTCCACTGATTGGCGGCGGCCTTTCCTCTTGGTACTACTACTGCCCCCCCAGTGGTCAGTGGCTGCCCCGTCATGTTGGCATACTGACTCGCAGCGAAGCTGGCAATGTCTTCCTTTTTCTTCTTTTCTTCCGTTTCTCCGTTTTGGCTAACTCCCCTTTCGTGGCTAGCTGATCGGTCAATCTGGTTCAACGGGAGGACGCTCCTCTGGGCTGCCCCCAAACTTGCAACGTCTTGTCTCCACCCCTGATGCATACTGTTAACCGATTCGTAGGTTAAATAATCCAGTGGCGCTCCCTGGCTGAAGGGAGAGTCCCATTTGGTATGACTCCACACAGTATCACCTCCTAGCAAGCCAAACAGAACATCGATTAGCTTCCTATTCGCTCTTACACTGGAATAGCACCGTTCCAGGGTGAGTACTTCAGTTGGGTTGTTCCTATGCAGACTAATAATTTCGTCCTTCACTCGATGAATCTCTTTATCGTTGTCTGGCGACCTGGTTAGCTCCCCATTTAGGAGAGTGTAAATATGATGGAGGTCTTCCTCCACAATGTCATTGGAGTATGTCATGGTGCCTCCACTTGGCAGCTGAGTATTTTTGATCGCTGACCCGTCACACGTAGGTGCACCCGACCCACCGACAGGAAGCTTTGCCCCTTTGCTAGAGTAGCCCGGATCGAAGGTCATCGAATTCACATTTGCAAAATTCAAATTGTGGATGCTATTTTTCGTGTTAGCGGATTTTTTCTTTACGATGTTTCGCAGGAAGGTGTTCGACGGCCGCATGCAGACCGGTTGCATTTGCAGCGGCTGCTTCACTGTGCCGTCACTTGGCTCCATATTCGCATCCGCAGGGAGCTTTTCTGACGGATTCATTTGTTCAGCCTTTGCTCCGCCTTCCCCGTTGGTCGCCCCGTTCAGGGGAATACCCCCCTTTCCTTCTTCACCATTTGGCTCTATCCATTCTGCCCTGGAAGGTTCCCCCATTTGACTGATATCCACATGGTTTATCCTCACATCCGCACGGTGGCTCACGTAGAGCGAACTATTATCAATGGAGTTATTACCGGTTGGACCTTCTTCAACCTCCACGTTATTTGATTGGTCTTTTCTCTGGGGGTAATTTTCCTCAGTGTCGAATTGGCATATCCCATTTGGGTGCTCCTCCATGATGGGTAACTCTATTCTTTTGTTATCATAAGCTGTGCACGCGTTGCTGCGAGTAGGGTCGAGGGGGTCCTCTCCTGGATTGGTTTTTTCCTTGCCAGTTCCGTCCTCCTCCTGCTTCATCATGCTCGATGGTCCGTTTAACTCATCTCTCCCTTGGGTGCCGCCTTGATCCGTTACGCCGTCTTTTCCGAGTTCGCCTCCGCTTTGCATTCCCGCTTTGTCAAGGTTTTCCCCCTGGGGCGTACTGACCTCCTCGTCGTTCATCCTTAGAGGAGTCCCTGATATCGTTCCGATGAGGCTATTTGCTTCAAAGCGGCGTAGCACTTCAAAGGAGAGAATCGCTTCAATGTGGAGACCCGCTTCTAAGCAGGAGTTGTCTTACTTGCTCACCCTCTACCACGCAAGGTTATCATCCGTTGTATTCCGTTTGAGGGGAAGTTGGATTATCGCTCCCTTGAAGGCGCGCCCTACGAGAGTGCCTTCTACCGAAGAGGCTGTGCTGCTGCGCAGAGAGGTCCTTCCCGGGTTGGTTGCGCGTGAGGGGACAGCAAATCATCGATGCATCGCCGGATCCATCAATCGGGTAAACGGATGGAGGTTAACCGAGAAGGGATAACGATTAATCGGCTAGCTGATCGATTAGTCGATCCATTCAGCCGCTCTCTTGTTCCACCTCTCAAGGCTGCTTCCTCCGTTGCAAACATTCGGCATCACCCCCCGCGGGAAGAACTACACATATAAAGGACTATTTTCCAATTCACAGGTATGGTTAGGCGTCCACTTGGGAGACGCACCAATGCACATACATGTTATGGTCCTTCCCAGAAAAGGTTCCCCCCTCTGTTTATTCTACTGGATTTGGTTAAAAAGAAAGAAAAAAAAAGTGCTTCTAACTTTTCCCCCCCTGACGATAAGAATAGGTGTACTTCCTGCCCTTCCGCTGCCTCAAAAAATGTGCATGGGGGAGGCATGGATCCCCCCTCTGGTCAGAACTACAAGTAGCTGCTTCTATGCAACTTGGCTTTTCTCCCAGGTCTGTTACTTTTCTCGTTAACTGGCAGGTACAACTCGATCGTTCATTTGGGGAAGTTAACAAATAGCTGCTTGGCTTGGAATGATTTTTCCAGGGGATGCAGTTAAAATTACGACAAAAAAAGGAAAAAAAAAAAAATTAAAAACGGGTATGTTCCCTCATCAAATTGGAAATTACAAACTTTTTACAGATTAACAAATTGATCGTTTTGGAAATATTCCCCACATTATATGTATATGATGGAACATGTTGGAGAAAAAAAAAAAAAAAAAAAAAAAAAAAAAAAAAAAACCCTCTTCGGGCCAAAAAAACCCCCGGATTTTTTTTTTTTTTTTTTTTTTTTTTTTTTTTTTTTTTTAATAAGAATAGGCCAGGCAAATTTGACCAAAAAGTATTGTCACAAAATTTTCCCACGCAGGCCCCTGAGAGGTACATAGTGGTAGTAGTAGCAGTAATATAGGAGGTTTTTTTTTTTCTTTTTTTTTTATTTGTTAATCAGTTTGAAAATTGGTTCCTCCGTTTGGAAGCAGAAGAAGCAGAAGAGAGTTGGTGTCGTTCCCCCGAATTAGCAAATTAAATAAGCAGCATAGCGAGGAAGCCACTTCGGCTGGGGGGGGAGTTCACTCCGATCTATTTTATCCCCAAGAAGTTCAGTTGAGTTGAGCGGCCTTAGCAAACTTGCCATGGAACAGGTTCCTATTGTGCATACAATACACGTGTTTGTAGCGACACCGTAAGGATATTTTTGTAGGTATACCTATCTGTGCAACGTCCAAGGGGGGACAGAAGCATCACGTCTGCCAACGCGGAAAAGTAATTCGACATGTCCGCACGGCGGGGTGTTACCTGCGAGCAGCTGAACGGTTAACCCAAATTATCCACAACGCGGAAAGGGGAAGAAGCGTCGACAAAGGGTACCCACTCTTACAGGAAATCTCACAAATAGGTTCCTAGGTAGATATATGCATATATATATATATATGTATAGTCATTACGTGCTGACTTGACCCCCTTTCCCCGTGTGGAAACATGAAGCTCGACAGAAAGAAGGACTTCAAAAAAAAACTCGTCACGTGCTTCTCGCTGCTGCAAGTTTCAGACCCCATCAAGGTGATCGTCGATGAGACCTTCATCCACCTCTGTATTGTCCACAAGATTCCCATCAAAGAAGAGCTAGCTAAATTAGTAAACAGGCAACTGATCCTCATGACCACAAGATGCATCTCCACCTCCGCCAAAAAAACACATAACGAAGAGACGGCCTACGGAATTAGGAAAATAACTCATTACAAGTGCAACCACAATGGTGATAATGTGAGATGCTCTCTTGACATGTTTTTAAAAAAGATGAATAATGAAAGGAACTCTCCCTTTTCGGTGAAGAAGTTTTTCGAAAATGAGGTTTCCGTGACTCACAACTTTGACAGTGTGTGTAATGTGAGGGGGCATCCAGGCGAGGGGAAAGCATCCAAGGGGGAGGAAGCACCCAAGGTGGAAGAAGCAACCGAGGAGGAAGCACCCAAAAGGGATGATACACCCAAGGGGGAGGGCCCCCAAACAGCGGAAGCGCAAAATGATGGAGAGACCGAGTGGCAAGTCGAGCTTTCCGATTCAATGAAATGCATAATCGATTTAGTAAAAAATAACAACGAGAAGAAGTTTTTTGTGGCAACCAACAATAACGAATTGAGATCGTTCCTCAGGTTAGGCAGTAGAAAGGACCCCCTCCGCTCGCACAGCGGCGTGTGGATGCGAATGGGTACATTTCTAGGTTTGCATCTTCGTACACTTGGATATGTGTTCATTTTTCTCTCCCCTTCTTCCACCGCAGGAAAGTGTTCCTCGTGCCCATCATCTACATCAGTGAGGGCGGCGCCGTCAAGATGGAGAGCCTCTCCACGAAGAACACGAACAGGAAGGCAATCGTCGAGTTGCGCAAGATGAAGATGCTTAAGTGGGAACGGGAGCTCAGGATGTCGGAGCAGAAGAAGAACAAGGATAAAGTGAAAAAAAATGGGAAGAAAAAGAAACAAGCGAAGGGGCGAAATGGCAGGTAGATGCGGGTTGACAATCCAAGTTCGCCCCGTAAAGGGGTGCCCACGCATGTCGCGATGTATGTTGCGAAGAACCAAAAAGAGGTTTTTCTTTTTCTGTTTTTGTTTTAACCCCCCAACATATTGTTTGACCCCTCGTGCTGTTCATACGTCTGCCTCTTTGTACACACCATTTGTTACACAGGGTATTTTTTTCTTTTTTTTTTTTCTGTTGTATATAATTAAATTTAATAACACGTTTGTGAGAGTTACCATTTCGGCTAACTTTTTTTTTCTTTTTAAAATATAAAACTTCATGGAAGGGATGCACCAGAGGGTGCGGCGAGTTTACATGCACTCCTACATAAGTGCATGTACCGTCCGCGTGAGGCTACCCCTCGTAACGTCGCCCATTGGTATTATTCAAATGGGAAGAAGTTGCAAACGTGGCAGACGCGGCGTCAAGGGGAAATGCCTTTTAAACGGACGCGCAAAGGCGGAGTGCAAAACTAAAACAAAATGGACACAAAAACTTTCCACTGGAAAGGGAGGTGGACATACTGCGCAGTGGCTGTAAAAAGGACTGATGATGCGAGAAAAAAAAAAGAAAAGAAGGGGAGGGGGGGAAACTATGTCGACGTGAGGATTTTACTCTTCATGGGACAACTAAAAAGGTTCAAAAAAAAAAAGAAAAAATCATATCTTTTTTAACAAATGATTTATCAAATTTTTCATGATTGGCTGACCCCTTTTTGTTTTTTTATTTAATTTTTTAAACTTTTTAATTCTTATCATTTTTTTTTTTTTCCTCTCTTGTTCACTTTTCTGGATTGCCGCTTCTTTCTCCTTCAGGTACAACTCTCTTTCTTTCTTTTTCAGAGAAACTATGTTAATTTCTTTGCTATACACAGATTTTCCATGCTTCCCGTGCTTGTTCTTGTAGTGCTGTGTCTGGGTATCCTCCTCGCCCTTGTCCTTGGGACGTTCCTGCGATGCAGCAGGAGTGTTTCTTTTCGTACCACTCCCTTTTCCTTTCTTTCCACGTAGGGGATGTATCCCGCTGTTGTTTCGGTTTGTGATTATTGGAGAATCCTCCTCCCTTTGGTCGTCTTGGCTGTCGTCTCCTCCATGGGTAGGTTCCCTGTCTGGACCCTGCTCTTCTTCTTCCCCCTCTTGTGTGTTTTCCCCTGGCTGTGCATCCCGGTGGGCCCGCTCCGGCGTGAAGAAGAAGTCCTTTATGGGGTCAGTGCGAACTATCTCCTTCTTTGGCTCATCCGATTTCGCAAACTTTTTAAATTTTCGAAGAAATTTCTGGTCAGTGAAGTATTTGTTTTTCTTCCGAAGGTAGTTTTTATTCTTTATGTGGCGGTTGTTACTTGAAAAGAGGCTTCTCTTCTTCATTTTGGAGGGGGAACAATGTTGGCAGCTGGGGATTGGCGAAAACACAGGTTACAAGCTGCGGATTGGAGAGGGCACTTCATTTTACGTTATCTTGTCGTATTTTCCTGTACCTTCTTGAGTTATCCCTATTTCGTTTTACCCTTTTTTATTTCTTAACCTAGGTGATGAAAAAAATTTCAATCTTCTGGCGAGCGCAGTGTCACTCCTCTCTTTTTGTGCATCATGGCCGTATTTTTAAGCACAGTGGTTTGCTCCAAATTTGGGGTAGGATTGCAAAAATTGTAACTACTTTTCACCAATTCAGCAGTTTATAAAAAAGTAGCTCTTCCTATGTTTTTGCCCCCTCTGGTGGGAAGAAGAGACGTTTCGTTTGAGGCCGTATGCCAAATGGGAAAAGTGGGAAATGATAAACTCAACAATGGGTTGCTTTTTTTTTTTTTTTTTTTCTGTTCATACGAAATGGGTACCTTTGCCTGACCCTGCAAGGTAAAAAAAAAAAAAGAGTCGCATTTGCCACGGCGACGGTTACAGCAAAGTGATCGGCACAAACAACCGCGTGGTGGATTTATTTGTTTTATCCTTTTCTACAAAGTGTTTGTTTAAACGGGCGGGAAGAGAAAAAAAATGGAAGAATTACCCTGGTATGCATTAATTTTGCTGGATAGCTTTTTTTTCTTTTATACTGCCGCTTTTAAATCAAGTGCAGCGAGTAGTTTTTCCTATTCACAAAAGTGGGAGAGACTGCATACGGAAGCAACTCTCTGTCGAATGCCGCAGCCCCTGCATCTGCCAACAGACCAGAGCACAACTATCATCCGTCCGGGGATAACAGAGTGAGGGTAAACGTGGAGGCAAAGGAACAAAAAAACAAAGAAAAAATTCCCCCGTTTACGAGACAGCAGCGAAACCAAATCGGAACACTCTCCCTACGGCAAGTCGAACCAAACTCTACTGCGTGTCATTGGGGGAGAGTCACCAAAAAAAAGTATCATTCTTTACAAAATGACAGATTGATGTCACCATGGAAGGGAAATTTTCAATGCAAAGAAAGGCAGCCGTGGGGAACAAAAAATCAACGGATGGTAAACATGTAATTAGAGGGACGCGAGAAGGTGGTTCTCACAAGGTGGAGAAGGAGATGGGAAAACAGAAAAGAAGACCAAATGGGGAAGGAAAAGGGGCAGAGGAGACGGAATGGGGCGCAGGCAGCAACCGGAAGTGTCATAACCCCCTAACGAAGGGGAAAGCAGCCCATCGCAGGTTTAATAGTAGCATGTTCCGAAACAGTCATCGAAGTGGCAACATGCGAGGAGTAGCTGGAAAGGGAAAGCACCAGGGTGGTCTCTATGGGGGGGGAAGAAAAAGCAGAAATGGCGCAGAAAGGTGGTACCCCTATGGGGGGATATCCGTTGGGGACGCGGCCAATCAGTATGGTAATCATGCCACCATGGAGGGGGGCAGCGAGGGCGGCGGCCAAGACGGCAGCCAGGACAATGAAAACTCCCCCCACACATTTAGAGACGCGTACTACTACGACAACGACAGCTCAGCGGCGAGCGAGGGAGAAGCCCCCATGGGGCAAATGAACCATGCAGAGGAGACAAGTTCGAAGCAGCCCCGTATTAACAGTGACCAGCAGCCCACCATGGATTACGTGGAGTATATGAATCATCTCAAAAAGGGAGAAGATCCAAACGTTGATAAGAAAGACACATTGGACTCCTCCGAAGGGAAGGAAGAGGTTGGCAGGGACGCACCCGCTGATGAGCATCACATGGCAGCTGGTGAGCATGAAGAAGGCGTTTTTAAGATCTTCCTTCTGTTCTCCCCCCTCGCTGTTACAAGCATAAGAAACAGAAAGTGCGTTATAAATGCCGATGAGCACATGTCATTTCTGGAGAAAAAATTGGAGACTGTGCAAGATTTAATGTCTGGTGCAAGGAGTGCAAAGGAGAAGGTCTTCCTCAGGGCCAAAGTGGAAGCAATAGAAAATAAGCTCAGGAACGTACGGCTGGATATTCTTTTTTTCACTTTGCTATGTTTACGAGACAGTATTCTTAACAAAAAGGGTAGGCTGCAGATATATGTACATACACTTAACGGGTTACTAATTTTTGTGTCTCCATCATTTCGAGTGCCTCGAAGTTTTTCCCTTTTTAAGAAGGTCATGTTAAATCTGATGCTGCGGAATGTCGTGCTCGACCCGGACGGGCGTCCCCTCCTGAAGGTCCTGCCCCACCCGGTCAAGCGCTACGTGGGGTCCTCCGTGTAAGATGCGGGCGCCAGAGAGAAAAAAAAAGAGAAAAATAGGAAAAGAAAAAAAAAAGAGACAAATAGGAAAAGAAAAAAAAACAGACAGATAGGAAAAGAAAAAAAAAGAGACAGATAGGAAAAGAAAAAAAAAAGAGGGACATACAGGGAGAGAGAGACAAATAACTTGCAACTGCCGTCACGTGGTTAGTCGCGACGCTATCTATTTTGTGCTCCCCTTTTTTATCTGCCCCGTTCAGGTGCATTGGAATTTCAAACATGGGTTTTCCCGCCGATGTTAAAAAACTATCGAAGAAGATAAAGGAGACAAAAAACGACTATTCATTTTTCCTTTCTCTGTCCGCCGCCTTTGATCTGACACACTTTATCGAATCCATTTCGAGAAACGAATCTGAGTGTTTCCCCTTGGACTATGTCATCCGCGTGTCTGACCTCCCCCTGTCCACAGTTGCGATCTGTTCCAAGTTGACGCATTTTTTAAATGACTAATTTGTCTGAGGAGAGGGGTGCACATCTCTCAGTTGGAGTCTCTCCTTAGGATGATCCGATGGGGTGGAATGTCCTCTGGGATATGGCACCCCATCTCAGGGGAATATATACCCCCTCTGTCCTCTTGTTGCTCCTTTCCTGTTTTTGTCTGGCGCAGCCAGCCCCCGTCGTCAGTTAAAATTCTTCCGCTTGAGCTCCTCGAAGGGAGTTACACGACTAGCGATGTTCACTGAAGGGGAGATGCAGGGAATGGGCGCCGGGGTCACCGCGGATGAGGGAACACAATATGTTACACATGTTACATAGGTTCATGTGTGCGAATTTTTGCGCGCACTTTTGGGCGGACTTTTGCGCCCACTTTGGTCGGCCCCTTTTTTCTTCGTCATTTGTTACCCCCGAAGAGATGGTAGTCTTCTCCCGATTCTTCCTCTGATCCTTCCTCGGAACTGTCCGCCGGCGGATTGTCCAAATAGGCCTAAAGGGGAAGCGCGGGCATGGGGAGAGGTGATATAGCGGTGAGGAAGACATGGCAGTGAAATGGTCCCCAAGCGTTACGATGGTACATGAGGAAACAGTCAGCGGAGAAGGCAGACTAGTGTGTGGAAGGAAGGACATGGATGTGCCTCTATGGATACTCTTCTTTTTCTCTCTTCTTTTTTCTTTCTTTTTTTTACTTGTTCCCTCTGCAGACAGCCGAGCAGAAAGTGGCTGACAATTTTGTTGTGCACGTCCAGAGGCAGATCAGCGAACTTTCCCGTGACAAAATTGATAAAGCTTTTTTTTTCCTCGTGTATGTAATTCGCCAGTCGGGAGATGCCTCTCCGTTCTTCCACTCCTGTGAAGGGGCAATATGGAGGGGGCAATTTGGATGAAGCAATTTGGAGGGAGCAATCCCCAATCCCTCGTGGGTCAGCAGACGTGACGGAAATAATATGTGCCATGCTTCGTTCGCGCGATCGGTGGAGGTGGCATACCGAGCAATTTGTGGGGGAGTTCCTCCATCAGGGGTGCGCTTCTGTAGCTCTTGAGGGGGGCGCCGCTGTAGCTCCTGAGGGGCTTCTCCTTGGAGATGGTTTTATCTGGCTCGTGGTGGACCCCCTCCAGGGTTCTGTTAGGGGCGAGGTTCGCTGAAATGGAGGGGAAGTTGTGCAAGGTGTATGAGGAGGGAGGTACGTAGGGGCGTGCAGATGGGTGTACAGACGGGCGTGCAGATGGACGTGCAGATGGAGCTCCGCTTCACCGCTCAACCGCGGAGTTGATGCTCTGTTTGTGTTACTTCGCGTCTTCTGCAACTGCCCCTTGAGGATGTCCTTCTTCCTGGTGAGCGTGTCAATCTGATGCCCCAGTTGTGACAGGGCATGCAGGTCCCGGGGGTTGGCTCTCCTCTTTGCGTAATTGAGCGTATCGATTTCTCGCTGAATGGAACATATTTCCCTCTGGACAGTGATACGAGATATAGGCACAGCGTCCAGACTCTTCCTGTTGCTAAAAATCTCATGAAAGCTCTGCTTCTTCTTCATCTCCACTAAGTGTTCAATTTGCCTTTCAGTATAACGAAAGTTTTTTAGGTCTTCAATTTTTTCTCTCAAAAAGTGATGGAAATTTTTTAAAAATTGTAAATCGATGGAAAATAACTTAATGCAGTTATATTCGTCCACGCTGAATTTCTGATCAGATATATTCCTCAGGTCACAGAGGAAGGTACTACTACCAGGATAGGAGAGGGAAGCATTATCATGCGATGTTACTTCATTTATATTTAGCCTCTTATTTTTAATCATCTGATTCTTCATTCGGGTGAAGAAGAGTATATTTTGCATGTTGTCCAAATGGGCTAGTTCAAATTTCACGTTTGTGTGTCTGTCGACGCAGAAGTAGTTTTCGCTCTTTACAACGTTGGTTATGAAGAAGATTTTTTTCTTAACGTTTTGGTTTGTCGGGTTACTTGTTGTGTTGATTCCTTCCTCATTGGGAGGGTTCACCTCTTTCGCGTTTCTCCTCTGGTCCGTGGGGGCACTCTTCCCAGGGGCAGCGGTGCTGACAAGCGGGGTACCCTCAACGGGGTTGCTTCCCATTCGATTACTGGCAACCGTGTTACTGCCAACGGGGTCACTTTTGATTCTCTCCCCACCGGCAAGTCTAACCATCAGATTCACATCGTTAACCTTCACCAAGTGACCAATGACATGGTAGACAAAATTGATATGCTCACTCATATCTAGGAGGAATGTTTTCTTTAATTGAAAATAAGTAATAATCTCGTAGGTCATATATTTATATACCTCTAGTTTAATTTTTTTCTCTTCTTTGTAAAGTTGTATTAACCGTTCAGGTGTTTGTGTCTCTTTTGCAGAAGGGTCTCCCTTTCCTCCGTATGGCTCAATTGGGTCTTTCGAATCGTCGAAGAGTTTATTCCCTTCATGGTAATCCTCTGTGAGGCTCCTACTTGGGGTGCGGTGTTCTCGCTTATTCTTCTCACCGTCGCGGCTGTAGCGGCTATAGCGGCTACCTCGACTGTCGCCACTCTCACCGCTATCCTCAGGGTCGGAACCCTTATGACGTAGTGGCTGTTTACTATCATACAGGTGGGACCCCTTCCTCAGCACTTTCTTTTTCTTATTCCAGTCTTCTCTTTTTTCCCCCTTATCATTAGAGGATAACTCGTTCCTCTCATCTGACGTGATCATGACATCGAAATTGTTGCTAAGTCCCTCCTGTGTGTGTAGGGTTTCCTTTTTCTTCACTCTCTTCTTTACGCTCTTCTTTCTACGAGAAGAATCGTCTGACGGGGAGGAGTCCTCCGTGTCGTTGCAGACTTTGTTTAAGCGCCTCCCCTTAACGCCGTCTCCTTTTGTGGCACCCTTCACTCCATCAGTTTGGTAATCAAGCTTCTCCTTTTCTTCCCGCTTGGTTGCCTCTTTCTCCTGCACCTGGGACAGAAAGGAATCCTTCCCTTTTTTGAACTCATCATGTGCGTCACTTCTGTGTAGGTTTTTCTCCACGACAGAACTCGCAGTGGTACCTCCCATTCGTGTCTTCACATTCTGTTTATTTTGTTTCTTTCCGGTTGTTGCCCCTTCTTTTGTGGGCCTACCCGACACGTCCGCTTTCTCCATCGGGGGGGGAGCAACTTTCTTCTTCGCCTTCCCCAGTGCAGCTTTACTACCCGGAGCAGGGACAACTGATTTCCCCCCATGGACAACATAGTTGGCGTCATCGTCCTGATCTGTTCTCTCCGCTTGCGACTGGGGCTTCACCTTTTTTAGGAGAATCCTCCGATGTTCCTTTATCATATGTTCTTCATGCCTCTTCGCGAGGATAAGTTCTCTTTCGTATTCTGGGAGGTCCTCCAAGTTACTCATTTCGTCTTGGCTGTCCGAGGCGTCATTATTGTCAGGGGGGCCCTCATCTAGGCCGCTCTCCTCGCAACTGCTTCCTCTGTTGGGGCCCCCGCCCTCCTCGCTTCCAACGCTTCCCTGTCGTTCATCTTTTTTCCTCTTTTTTTTCTGAGCGCGGCTTTCCTTCTCCATTGCGGATTCATTGGGCGACGCTTCTATTTTCAGGGGAGGAGCAAATGAGGGGGGCAGCTGGCCCGAGGGGAGGAATCAGGAAAAACAAATCGTTACGAGTGTTCACCCATGGGACGTGCTCATCCTGGGGCTCCTCTCTCCATGTGGTCGCCGGACAGTCGGTTAGACGGTCACTCTGTTGGGTTCTGTCAATCGGGGGCACGTGGGCTGGGAGGAATGCGGCCTATCAAACAGGCTTTTCTCTTGTTGCTTTTTTTTCCTTCCGTTTCATGAACTCCGATCTGCCCTGTTAATGCGACTCTCCCACTACTGTGCCTCTATACACGGTGTACCAGTGTCCCGCAGAACAAAATGCCAACGCAGCACCTCCACGTTCGATTTGCCCCTTTTGTGCTAACAGCTTAAGGGCCCCGTCACGGACTGCAGCGGGAAGCGGTAGTTGCTTATCACTTTAATCAGGGAGCATTCCAACGGGGGGATCTTTTTTTTAAATGGTTTGACCGCAGCGGTAATTATTTTATTTTTTTTTTTTTCAGCTTAACTTTGCCACAAAGAGGAGAAAAAAAAGCGTTACCATTTTATAGTGGCAACATGGGGAGGGTGACCCATGGGGGAAGGACCGCCGAGTCGCCAGTCATTTTCACAGGGTCGTATTCGCTACTAAACTGAAAGTTTTTTTTTTCCTTGTAGGGGTGCCACGCATGTCTTCCAACCAGTGAGCGATAAAGCACAGGAGAGTCACATCGAAGCAAAAGAAACGTACGTCGCGTGTCCCTTTGCGAAGCATTGAAACAATTTTAAGGGGACACACTTTGCTAATTAAACAAAATGTGGAGCTGTGCAGTTGTCCTGTTGTGTAGTTGTGGAGTCAATCGAATTATGTCATCATATGGGAGATGAACGACAACACATGCAGGGGCTTCGCACTGACGACGCCAAGGCAACTCGTTTGGGTTGCCTTCCAAAAAGGTATGCTCATGAAAAAAAAAAAAAAAAATTCACACCGAATGACAAAAAATTTAACAAATAGGAAATACGCTTGTGGTTAAAAGGAAAGGAAAAAAAAAAAAGGACCCCGTGTGGGCAGCTATGGGTATGTGTAGTGTGACATTTTTTTGCTTATTAGGAAGAGGTCTCACATGGGTGGTGTCTGCAGTGAGCGGCGTGGTGAGCCCACTGGGTCACTCGCCGCCACACCCATCGCTTCAGCTGCCCCTTCCCCCCCTAGACGTAATATTTAACAATGTGGCTGGAGCGGAGAACCGTCCTGAAGATGTTCACAAATTCAGTGCACTCGTCAGCCGCCTCGTCTGGCAACCCCTGGGAGACTAGCTTCTGCCGCACGGCACTGAGAAGGTAATTATATTTGTCCTTCCACTTGGCCGCTTCTTTGGACTTTTCCTCCTTGGTAAGTTCGATAAGGCTATATTCTTTTTTCTCTTCTTCGTCTTCCATTTTGAGCAATTCGATGATTTGGTCTGTTTGGGGGGAATCCTGCTCCTCGGCTAGGTTTAGGGGGAGCGGCTCCTGCTGGCCGGGTTGGCCGGGTCGGCTATCCTCGCCGCGTTTATCGCGTTGACCGTCTTGGCCGCGTTGACCGTTCCGGTCCATCTCCCCCTTCTTATCGTCCTCACCGGGTTGGCTTTTTCCCTTCATGGTGGTAATTTCCTCCCCGTGGAGCAACCCGTTGTGGTTGTGAGCGTCGAGAAAATGCGGGACCTTCTGACCGTTGGTCAAAATAGAGAGCTGTGAGATCTGGAGCCTCTTCTGCAAGATATTATTGGAGGTGTTCAGAGGAAGCATCAAGGAGAGTATCATGAGGGACTTAATTAAAAAGGGGTAATTCTGAGGGTAAACAAGGTGGATCCTCTGTTTAGCAAAAATGGGAGACTCCAGAAGGAAGATTAAATTATCCAACTGATGAAAGAAGTCCGAATTGAGGTTCAATAAGGACAAGTACGAGCAGATGAGGTAAGCCAGCTTATATTTCTGCAACCATAGAAGGAACGAAATGGCAGAAATTGGGTTCCTCAGCCAGGCAATCAAAATGAGAGAGAACAAAGAATAGTGTTTCTTCAGAAAGAGGGCATTTCGTAAGTACTTAGTCTCCTCTGATGTTAGAAGCACCCAACTTAACACCTGAATAAATTTCGTGACAAAGGGTATCTTCTCTTCACTGATTAGAGAGTAGCAGAGGTAAGCAAAAAACTTCTTGTTGTTGAGGCAGCGTGATATGTGCTGGACGATGATTTTCCCCTTGTGAATTAGAAGGTGGTCATCGTTTCGAAAGAGAGCAATCAAACTGTTACTGACTTGCTCGTAGAAATGGAACTTATTTTCCACGGTAGAACACATAGCGGAAAGAACCGTTAGCGAGAGTAGTACCACCTGCTTGTCGTTGTTTCGGAGACACTTAAACACACAGGTGATTATTTCATCGTAATGTTTTTTTATGACTTCATTTTTGTACATAAGCATTTCTATCAGCCACTGAAGACAGATGATCACTGGGTATATGCTTCGCTTGTCCAGGTTGTCCTGGAAAATGTCTTCCTCAATGTCCGAGGGGGGGTCAACGCGGCGGCTTGCAGCTCCCTTCCCGTTTACACCACCGCTTAGGTGCGCCTCTCCGTCTGCGCCGGACCCTCTCACTGCACCCTCGCCTGAACTTCTGACTGAACCTCTAACTGCCACCTTGACTGCCTCCTTCACTGCACCTGGGCCCTCCCCCTCGCTGACGTACCCGTGGGGGCTCCCCCTCTTGGCGAGCTTCCTAATGTAGTATGCCTCCGTCTTCAGAGGATCCAGCAGGGGAATTTTCTTCCCCCTCAGTTCGCTCATCAACCTTTCGTGCTTCTTCAGGAACTTGGCGTTGTAATTGTTTTGCCGGGGAGGGGCCTCACCATCCTCCTCCTTATGCGGCTGCCTCTCATTACTCTGCTTCTCCTTATGCGGCTGCCTCTCATTACTCTGCTTCTCCTTATGCGGCTGCTTCTCATTATTCTGCTTCTTCTCCTTATGGTGCTGCTTCTCCATCTGCTGCTGCTCCCCCCTTTGCTGCTCGTCCGTCTGGATGCCTTCGCCATCGACGCAATTGGGGGTCGCGTCCGCCCGCACCCCTTCCTGGCCACTCTCCGTCACAGGGACGCCCTCTTTGCTTCTCCCCTCGTCGGAGGAGTCCCCCTCCTGGTAAAACAGGTTGTACGACTCGTAGCTGAAGGCGTCGCTTCCTACACCACGCGCCCCTTCTGGCAACAGGGGGTCGTCTGCAATGTCTGCTCCGTCTGCCTCGTCTGCACAATCTGCTTTATCCGCTTTATCTGCCTCATCTGGCTTGCCGGATACGCTGCCCTCCCCCGATTCGCTCCTGCTCGGTTCGCACCCCGGTGGCTGTCTCTGGCGAGTGGGGTCCTTCCCTGGCTCTCCCCTCCCCTCCAGGGTGTGATCACTCCCTGGTTGACTTCTCCTCTGCGGGGAGTGCTCAGCACCCCCTTTGGCGCGCCTTCTCACCTGGAGCGATTTGCTCCTGCTCTGGTTGATTTCTCGTGGTGAGTTTGCTTCGCTCGCGGGATGGGCCTCCACAGAGTGCCTGGCGTCTCCCGTTCGGTTTGTCGCTCCCGCTTCGCCCGTGTGGCTGACTTCAGTCCGACCAGAGAGCTCCACCTTACTGAGTGTGCTGCATATAATGGAACACACGAGCCTTGTCAAAAGAGGAGCGCACTTCATCTCCGAAAATTTAATAAAACTGATCAGAAGCTCACTACACTTCCTAGCAGTGTAGTGGATATCAAAATGCAGATGAGCTGTGCAGGCGATGATTCTTTTAATCAACTCGCAAATGAAGAAATTATTTTTCTTTGCATTTCTATAAATGTCATAAAAATGGACATTTAAAATTTGAATAAAATGATAAAGCCAAAGTAGACATTTATGTTTTATAATCGTGTTTTTGTGAATACAAAACTCAAGAAAAATAAAAGCAATGTGTTTAAAAAATGACCTGACTTGTTCATAATTTGAAGTGATAATTTGATCTACATATAAATCGAGACATTGATTTGCTTGTCTTTGAATATCTCTGTTCTGATCTGCCAACATAAAAAAAAGATCACTAATGAAGAAATGGAAATACTCAAATAAGTTAACTGTTTTGATGTTCTGAAAGAGAAGAAGCCAAGATAGGATAACCTGTCTCGCGTTTGAATTTTCTATGCCAATCCTTTCTTTCAAAATGAAAATAATTTTGTAAATATTAAAAACATTATTGTATGAACAAGTCAGGTCTTTTAATAAATTGTCAAGGAAGGCTCCTCCACTTTTGACATTTGGACAAGAATCGGAAAAGATACGAAAGAGACAATCAAAAATATCTTCGATATGATAAAAAACGACACTTTTGGACACTTTGCAAAGATTGTAGAGACTTTCACACACATAATATCTGACTTTGGAATCCGGGTCACTTAGGCATGATACGATTAACTTCAAGATGGCAGAGAAGTAAAATTTTATTTGTGTATCTACCGTGATCGAGATGAAGGCCAAGGCTATGAGTCCTCCACACCTTTCCGCGGGGTTTATGCTTTGGACAAATTTTTCCTTCAAAAAATTTATTATGCTGATCACTTTCTTGTTTTGGTATTTATTCGCGACGTTCTCTATGTCAGCGTCGTGTTCATACAATATTTTGTTCACCTGACTTAGCTGGCTCAACCCGTTTGATCTGCCTAACTTGTTCATTTTTTTTTTTCTTCTTTTTTCTATTTGGCTCATCTCTAAGGGCGTTATGGCGGACATCCCCCGGTCATACTTTCCGTTAAACAGACCCGTTGACTTCCCGATCGCCGAGTCAATATTGCAGTTCTCTTGGTATTTCTCCAGGAGGAGTTTCTTGATTATTTCGGACCCCAGGAGGAGTTTCTCTTCGCTTGGCTCTTTCAGCAGGCTGCTCATCTTCTCCACTTCTCCGGATTTTTTTTTTTCCCGATGGTTGTTGTCCTGTCCGATGGTCACTTTGTCGATTCTTTTCTCCTGTTCTGCATTCACCTCGTCGGTTCTTTTCTCCTGCTCTGGATTAACCTCATCGATTCTCTTCCCCTGCTCGGTGTAGTCCCTAAAGTAGTGTTCACTGTTTACCACGTCCACCTCCGTCTGCGAATTGAGCCCCTCAAATGGGTGTACATCCTTGTGCGCAAAATTGCTGTATTCATCTGACACGCCTCCATCTTGGTCACACTCATTGAGTATGTAATCTACCTGCATTTGTTCATCTTCCTTTTCCTTTAGCAGGAGAAGTTTGACCACCTCAGCGATTTCCTGGGCGCCCTGTTTCCTCTTCTCGTATGTTTTGTCTCCAAGCAATTTCTGGATGTTCACGTTGATTATGTCTTCCTTGGCCTCATTTTTTTCGAGGCCCTTGATTAGGCTGAGGAACATGGTTCGGAGTTTAGGGCTGGTTCCCCGCTGACTTCCACGGGGGGTAGGGGCTTCGCTGAGAGCGTCCCGCTGGGGAAAAATCACCCCGTAGGAGGTGCGGCGCGCCCAGGGGGACTACTTCTCTCCTGTGATGTCTTTGTAATAGCTCCCCAAGTGCTTTGTGGAACTTTCCAAACTGTCATAGGGGTGAGCTGCCTGGCCGTGGTGGGATGCTCCCTATAGGGGGATCCTCTCCTTAGGGGGGGAGTACATCCAGGGAGGAAGAAGCAATTCCCCCCAATTTAAAGATGTATTCACAGAAGCAGTTACGCAAATGGGTTGGTCAGTCACAGGAAAGCACACACTCTGACATTTGCAAAATACTAAACGGAGGTGATTAATCCTGTAATGACTTCACCTGCTTATTATGTCGCCTTCATATGGCATATCACAGGATGAAAGAAAAAAAAAAAAGTAGAAGAAGCATAAGAAGCAGAAGAAGCAGAAGAAGTAGAAGAAGCAGAAAAAGTGGAAAAAAAATTAAAGCAAAACTCGTATGGGGAAAATCTACACCATCGAATACGCACGATGCGAGAGGGAAGTTACTAAACGAAACAAAGTACCAATTAAAAATGAAGAAAAAAAAAAAAAAAAAAAAAAAAAAAAAAACTCAATTTTGTACTCCTTCGAAATTGTTAAGCTTTGTAAGGAAGTCAACCCCCATTGGAGAGGCACATCTCCAGCGAAGAACGAAGGACGAAGCAGGGAGCTCTTCTCACGAAGATCTTCAAACAGAACTCTCCGCACAAAGCTCTTCGCGCGAAGTTTGCTGCACCAGTCCGTCGGCTTGGACTGTTCCGAGGGGCTGCGTCCCATCGTGTTGTATGCCGCGACGGGGAAGGCGAAATTGACTCTGTAAGAAGCGGGCGGAGAGACGAGTCTGCAAATCTGCCGTGCTGCAAATCTTCGCCGCATTGTAGCTGAGTAGCGATCCCGGCAGGCGACCCCCTCACCAACGCTGCTATTGGATGGGAGTGGACGATAATCCATGCTACTGGACGCTAGTCGCCGCTAATCGACGCAACTAACCATACCCTTCCCCAATTTCACGAAACAGTCACCGCCGTAGCTCATTAGTATGCAACAGAAAAATCCTCCCCTGGTAGGTCCCGGCCGCGTCTGCGCGATCAGAAGCGCTAGCGTGAATACCCGCGCGGATGCCACTCCTAAAGGTGCCGCTATCCTTACTATGCCGCTTTGCTAACTATGCCTCTTCCCCCCGTGCAGAAAAAACAGCGAACGTACGAATCCGTTAACGTGGAGGAGATGGAAGGAAAAAGGGAAATCCCCGAAGGATGCAACATGGTGGGAAAGAAGGAGAATGAACAAATCGACGCCGATTTGTACTCAAGGCAGCTGGGAACATACGGATTTGAATTAATGAATAAGCTTATCAAACTGAACATCCTGATCGTGAATGTGAAGAGTGTCGGCTTGGAATGTGCAAAGAATTTGATTCTGTCTGGGCCCAAATCTGTATGCATATACGACAATGACATCTGCCAAGTCTCCGACATCGGGGTCAATTTCTACATCGACGAAGAAGACGTGAAGAACAAAGTGACGCGAAGTGATGCAGTGATAAAGCAGCTGCAGGAACTGAATAGCTATGTGCACATCTATAACTACAAGGGAGAGTTAGACGAACCCTTTCTTCAATCCTTTGATGTGGTTGTATGTTGCGATGTAAGTCATACGCTTTTAGTTAAGTACAGCAAGATGGTGAGGAGCATTTCTCCTGCGAAAAAAATCGCCTTCCTATGCTGCAACATTTATGGCTTGTGCGGGTACCTCTTTGTCGATTTTGGAAAAGGATTTGTCTGTTATGATAAGGATGGAGAGAATATCAAATCGTGCAACATCAGTAAGATAAGCAAAGCCACCGAGGGAGTGGTCTCTTTCGATTTCGATAAAGGTGCCCCCTTCCAAAAAGGAGACTACGTTAAATTTACCAAGGTAGAAGGGATGACCCAAATAAATCACAAAATTTTTCAAATAAAGGATATGCACAAATATACGTTCTCCATTGGGGACACTTCTCAGTTTGATGATTACTTAAAGGGAGGGGAGTGCACTCAGGTAAAGAGCCACCTCAGGATGGACTTCCAGCCGTATGATTTTGTTTGCGGGAGGCCCTTGGCCTGGGAGGGGGCATCAACCGGGGCAGCAGGGGGAGAAATGTCGCCCGGGATCCGCCTCCCCCTGTCGGACAACGAAACCATCTACGAAGACGTGCCCCCCCCCCAGTCCTTCCTCATCTCCGATTACGCCAAGTGCGACATGAGCAATCAGCTGCACTACGCCATCCAGGCACTGAAAAGGTACGAAGCAGAGAATAACAATGTGCTGCCACAGAACGATGAGGAGGAGGCCTTCGAGAAGGTATTTCAAATTGCACTTCAGCTGAACGAGGCAGATAAGGAAGGAAAGAAGACCTATGCTGTGGACGAGGTGAGAAAGGATGTCGTGTTTAACGTGGCCAAGTATTGTACAGCTCACCTTGCACCCGTGGCTTCCTTCTTTGGAGGGTTACTAGCACAGGAGGTGATAAAATTTACGGGGAAATATATGCCGATATATCAGCTGCTTTATGTGGACTTTTTCGAGTGCATTTCGCTAGGCATGGAAGCCGAAACGGGAGTAGAAAACGATGACATCAGTAAGGAGAATTGCAAAAATGATAATGTCATCACCGTTTTTGGAAAGGCCTTCCAGAAGAGGCTGAACGGGTTGAATGTTTTTCTCGTCGGATCAGGCGCATTGGGGTGTGAGTACGCTAAGCTGTTTTCCCTGCTGAACATGTGCTCAGTGAAGGAGAAGGGGAAGCTAACCATCACGGATAATGACAACATAGAAGTGTCGAATCTTAATAGGCAGTTCCTTTTTCGAAGGGAAAATGTGGGAAAATCAAAATCGCTAATCGCATCTGGTATTATAAAAGAGAAGAACGGAGAGATGAACGTAGAATCGCTTGAGACGAAAGTTGGACCAGAGAATGAACACATATTTAATGAGCACTTCTGGACCAAACAGGACATGATAGTAAATGCATTAGACAACATTCAAGCAAGACAGTACGTAGATAACAAATGTGTCTGGTATTCTAAACCCTTATTTGAATCTGGCACATTGGGAACAAAGGGAAATGTACAGATCATTCTGCCGTTTCTAACTCAATCGTATAATGATAGTTATGACCCTCCAGAAGATTCCATCCCATTGTGTACACTGAAGCATTTTCCCTACGACATTGTACATACGATAGAATACGCTAGAGATATATTCCAGGGGCTCTTTTACAACACGCCTCTAAGTCTGCAGGAGTTTCTAAACGACAAAAAGGAGTACGTGAAGAAGGTGCAGCAGGAAGGGAACAATGCATCTCTCTTGGAGACATTGCAAAATGTCTTGACCACACTGAAGGAGGTGTCTAAAGAGGCTAACTTCAAATTCTGCATCAGAAAAGCAGTGGATTTATTTTACACCAACTTTATCAACCAGATTCATCAGCTTCTTTATTCCTTCCCATTAGACTACAAATTGGCTAGTGGAGAGTTTTTTTGGGTTGGTCAGAAAAAACCACCACAAGTTATCTCCTTCGATATAGAGAACGAATTCGTAAGAGAGTTCCTTTTCTGCACGTCTAATCTCTTCGCACAGGTTTATAATATCCCACCATGCTACGATTTGAAATACATTTTAGAGGTAGCTAGCCAGATTGAAGTCAAACCATTTGAGCCAAAAAGGGTGAAAGTTAAGATGGATGAGAAGAATCTGAACAATATTTCCATCTCTTTCGTAGATGATGAGAAACTAATTCAGGATTTCTGTCAAGAGTTATTAAATGTAGAATGTGCTCACGTGAAGGTGTCTCCAATTGAGTTCGATAAAGATGAAGAGACCAACATGCATGTGAATTTTATTTATTCCTTTTCTAACCTGAGGGCTATTAATTACCGTATCGAGACCTGCGATAAATTGAAGGCTAAACTAGTTTCAGGGAAAATCATCCCCGCGCTGGCCACCACCACGTCTATCATTACGGGTTTGGTAGGAATCGAACTGCTAAAGTATGTGAATTATTATGGCTACTTCCAATTATACGTGGAATCCACTCAGGAGAAGAGAAAACAGATGAAGGATCTGCTTCCCTATTTTAAGAACGCGTTTATTAACTCGGCTCTGCCCATGTTTCTCTTCTCGGAACCCATGCCGCCCATCAAGATGCGCGACAAGGAATGGGACGAGCTCATGAAGGGCCCCGTCAGGGCCATTCCCAACGGATTCACCTCCTGGGACAAGATACAGATCCAGATAGGTACTCCGTTAAGCGGAGAAGCGGCGTGGTCTTTCTGTTTCCCCGCCCTGCCGCTCCCGCACCAACCGCTTTGTCGCAAAACCGCTTTATGACGAATCGCTTCATGACGAACCGCTTTATAAGCAGCCGCTTCACCTCGCACTTCTCCCCCGCCCTTCGCAGTGAACGGAACCATCAAGAACCTGATAGACCACATAAACGAGCAGTTCAGCATCGAAGTGAACCTCATCTCCGTGGGGAACGCCTGTCTCTATAACTGCTACCTCCCCGCGCACAACAGAGACCGCCTCAACAAGCCCATCCACGAAATATACTCGGAGATCACCAAGCAGAAGTTGCTTGACGACAAAAACTACATCGTAGTCGAAGCCAGCTGTAGTGACCAGGACCTCGTGGATGTCCTCATACCGTCCATTAAGTTTATCTACAAATGAGGGGATCCGGCGGGAGGGAGAAGCAGGGAGGTCAAGCACTCAGGCCAAACAGGAACGCCACAACTGCATTTTTGTCCGGATGATGCAAAGCAGACCTATGGAGGGAGGAAAGAGGCAGTGTGAACATCCCCCTCCCCTTGGCTTCGTCGCTGCTACCTGTCGTGTCAACCCATAGTCACTTCCCTCCATCCGCTACCCCTCCCACCCCATATGTGCCTGACCCTCTAACGGGGTACTACATGCACTATTTTATATAATGTATCCAATTTTTGCTAACGCCCATGTGCGGGTTAGCATGTTTTTTGGGAGCGTTTCACGAATGGCTCACCAAAGGGGTGAGGCAAACAAACAAAAAAAAAAAATAAAAAAAAAACGACAAAGCGGGAAGCGCAAACAGACACAGACGTTTTGCGTTTTAGCCAACTCAGGCGCGAACGGTGTAGCGAAAGGATCGCGAAAAAACTGCGAACAAATAAACATAAATTTATAAACGAATTAAGGAGAGATCGTCGCGCGCGCTGCCAATGCCGCTCACACCTCAGAATTTCCCCATGAAGTCAATCAACTTGAAGTCCTTGCTCCCCTTGAGCGAGTTGTATATGCCGAAGAGGGTCGCAACGTCGCGGAAGCCCGCGGCCTCGATCATAATGTCCAGGACCAAATCGATCGTGTTGTTCATGACGGTTTCGCAATACAGTTCGACGTCCCCCGGGGGGGACGAAGGGGGGTCGTTCCCATCTTGGCCGCTTCCACCTGGGCTGCTACCACCTGGGTTGCTTCCACCTGGGTTGCTTCCACCTGGGCCGCTACCCACAGCAGCGTGAAACACGTTCGTGTGGGGAGTCACCGCCTCGTCGTGAAGGGCGTCCCTAGGAACGTCCACATTGGTCTTCAGCACGTGGAAGTTGTGGTGTATGCTCTTGTTCCGGCGAATGTAGTTGGAGACGAATGTTTTGAGGTTGCTTAGGTAACTGACCAGTTGCGCCTTTCTCTTGCCTCCTATTTGGACTTTCTCCCGAGTGGTGCGCAGGTTGGAGGTGACGGGTGCGCTGGGGGTGCCGGGGGTGCCTGCAGTGCTTGCCATGCCTGGAGTGTCCGCTCCGCCTGTCCCACTTGCCGTGGTGTCGGAACTCTGCGAGTCGGCTGTCTGGTTCTCCTCTACGGGGAGCGCGTCAAAGATGCGAAAGCCGCGCTGCTCAAAGAGGCGAACAAGCGCATCATTCGCGAAGCCCATTTTGCTGAAGATGAGGCGGTAGGTCTGCTTCAGCAACTTCTTCTCTTCCGCCACCTCCGGATTGTGCAACTTGAGATGAGAAAAAAATCGAACCCACAACAAGTCATCATCACAACGGTGTCTCCTCACCAGTTTATCTTTCTCATATAATTGAAGATATTCCTTGGAAATAATTCGATGAAATCTTTTTCCCCCCCTGGAGGTAAACTTAGAGGTATAAACATACCTGTAGAGTACTTCATTCTCATCCTTATAATTGGCCGCTTTAAAAATTTTGATGAGAACATTTGAAACGTCTTGTGGCTTTAAAGCTAAGTAGAAGTAGATCAGCTTGGCCTTGAGCTTCTCCGATAGTTTCTCAAATGTGGGGTAATCAATCAAGTTATATTTTGGATGATATATTTTGGACAGATATTTTATTTGTAAAAAATCTAAGATGTATCTTTTTCGTACTTCTACAGGGATGCATAATCTTAAGCTCCTCAGATATTTGATGAGAAAGATTCGTAAGACCTTTAATCCTAGGACACAATAGATTTTAAACTTATTGTGTCTGATGACGTCTTCTGTTACATTGAGTGTATGTTGTGTGGTGGCGAATGGGACGTTCTCATTATCATATGTGTACAGGTTAGTGAATAGCTTGTTCAGATTTACACAAACATCTTTAAATAACAGATGGGGGGATACTTGTAGGAAGTTTCCTAACCTCACCATGATTTGGTTGCACTCCTCTTTGAAGTTAAACGTGAGGTGTTGCATCATTTCGGCGGAGCTTGTGATGATTTCCCCTCCTTCTGGGTTGACTCCGCGATGGACATCACTAGCGGAGCTGCTCATCACTTCATTTGCGCTGCAACGGATTGGAACATCACAGGGGGATTTCTCCCTTCCGTTTTCTCTCCCTCTACGCCTCCTAAGAGGGTAATTACTCCTCAGGAAGGTTAACATCCTTTTTGTCTTTCGTCTTCCTTTTTTGTCCTCCCACTGGGGGGAGAACAATGTGCCGTTTTTACCCCCCCTCGGGCGCAGCTTCGAGATTTCCCCATCACTTCCCCTTCTAGCGAACATATTTGTCACGTGAGGGAGGTGACAGTTGGCCACCATGCACTGGTTCATTGGGGCGAAGAAGGAAATTAAAATGAAGGGGAAAAAGATGAATTTTTTTAACTTGCTTTGGTTATTTTTCAGCATTTTTTTTGTGTGTTCCCTTGGGGGAGGGGCCACTCAACGGTGACAGCGTTGGTTATTTGACGGTTGGACTACGGTGTGGTGTTTCGTTTTGTTTCGTTTTGTTTCGTTTCGATTCACTTCGTTTCTTTTTTTTTCTTTTTTTCCTTTCTTTTTCTTCTTTTCCTCTTGAGGCAACCCCCCTTCATAGTACATTCACGCTGCAAATGCTGCACACTAGTTGCCTCCCATCTTCTGGCGTCCACTGCTGCAACGCTTCTAGCCCCCCGGGACACACTGCGGAAGAATTATCTACACAATTTTTTCAACTTCCCGGGGACAACTTCACATAGTTTGGGCCACTTTCGCCTGTTTTCATTGTTTGCATTTTTTCTCTTTTTTTTCGTGGACTGCTTATGTGGCAAAAGTGTATGAACATGTTCAGGTGATTTTTCGCTCTTTCGGTAGGCACGTAGGGAAGGGAATAAAATTAACAATACGTGGAAACAAACCCTGTTAAAATAAGCCAAGCGGAGTGCCTCAAAGGAATGGAGATTTTATGTTACTGCTACGAATGGGGAGAACCCTCCTCACGAGCGCAACAGGATGGCATGAAAGAGGAACGTGAAGTGGGGAAAAATGGCTACTTAGTATATTTCTTTTTTTTTTTATTTTCTTATTTTATTTTTTTTTTGGGCCCCATTTTTACCTGACTCGGCAATAATTTTCATTTTGGCTAGCCGATCGATCAAGGCAAAAAGGTGTTCCAACCGTAACAACAAAGGTCTGGCGTGAATGCCTCAAAGGTGTATTCTACTTCGCCGATTGGGAGTGGGAGTCCCTCCATTCTTCTTTCTTTTACTGAAACGATTTGCACATCGGATAAGCGAAGCAGAAACAAGTTAATCACCAAAAAATCTTCGAACGGATATCTAAAGGCTCTAATGTATCGTTGACGGCTAAGTTGACAGCACCGCCTAGTTATCACAACTTATCCTTTTGCAAATATTGCGAGGGGTTAAAAAACACAAAAAAAAGTAATCACACGAATGGGGAAGATGCATCAACTGGAAATGGAGAACAAGGGAAGGTGTATTCTCTTCACGTCAGTATGCAATCCCCGCTTCGTAAAAAGAAAAAAAAAAAAATGCATCCCTGCATTTACGCAGTGGAAGTTTAATTAGCACGCCACCCCAAAAGACCAATTGTTGAGAACGTGCTACCATACTCGATCGATGCGAAAATATGCTAAGCAGTTTTAGAAGCGTCATAGCGTGGCCACGGCACAATGCTGTGTGCAGTCCAGCCGATTGCCAACAGAAGGGCGATTTCTTCTCCCCCAGAAGGGCTACGCCTCAAAGGTCAGACTGTCGCTAAACCGTTCTAGCTCCCTCAGCTTGTCGTCCTCCGTTGCAAATGAATATAAATTCTTCTTCCGTCCCGTCCAACTGAGTAACGTTAAGTGCCTACCCTTTGAGTCCTTTAATGACAGCATTTTGTTCCATTCCAATTTCGATTTGTTTAGAAAGACCTGATTTCTGATGAGGACGTATACTCCCTTCCAGTCGCTTCTTGAGCTTAGCATCTGCTCGAACTGCTCGTACAGGGTGAAGGTTTTTTTGTTGACTCCGAGTTCCTGCGGGGGGGAGAAGTAAGGCGTGGTGGGGGCAAAATGGCTCCACGTGGGGTGTCTCCGGGTGAAGTGCCTCCCCGTGATGTGTCTCCGCCGCACACCTCGGCGTGGAAGGAAAAAGAAAGCAAAAGGACAAGCAGAACACAGTGAGGGGGCTACACAGAAAAGTGACATGCCTCTTCTCCCCCACTTACCTTTACAAAACTGAAGTGAGGTATTTTTGTTATAATTATCGCGTCCTTTACAAACGGGGCGACGTTGAAAAAGTGGGCCTTGTGAAAGGAGACGTCCAAGGGGAACTCCAAATTGTACTTGCGGTCCTCCGCGGTGGATACAGATGTGGCGTGCAAGTCGGGGGCGGTTATTACCGATGGGGCTGCTTCGGATGAGAGTGCTTCGGATGAGAGTGCTTCTGACGAGGCTGCTTCGGATGAGAGTGCTTCTGATGAGGCTGCTTCGGATGAGAGTGCTTCGGATGAGAGTGCTTCTGATGAGGCTGCTTCGGATGAGAATTCTTCCGATGGGGCTTCTTCCGATGAGGCCGCCTCCCTCGCGGTGCCGCCTCCGGGTAATCCGCCCATTGGAGTCTCCTTCAACCTGCGTAGCGCATCCATATCTCGAACATAACTCCGCTCTGCTGCTTCATCAAAGGGAGGTGCGCAATTCTCACCCGTCACGTCCACCTCGCCGTGCTCTTCCTCATGTTCGCCCATGACACGATCCCTCAGCGCGCCACCTAAAAATGAATTTCTACACAAGTAACTTCCAGGTGAAGAAGTGCATCGGCTCGCTTCGTTCGTAGAACTGCCCCGATAGCCACACCTTCTATTTTGCTTTACTTTCTCAAAAATATCTTTATAGTACAATGCGCACCTGACTAGGTTCTTTTTACACTGAGCAATCATAATGCTCCGACTGTCGGTACCGATTAACTGCACCTGATGATTCGGTGCAGCGTCTGGGTTGTCCAGAACGTATCGATAAAGGTGTCGAAACTCTTGCTGGTCATATATTTTCAAATTCATGAAGGGTAAGATTTGCTGGTCGCTATAAATTGGAATGCGAAGAAAATAAAACAACAACTCGAAGATGATGTTTCCATTGGAGCAGAAGGGGTCCCAAATGAGTTTTACATGTTTCTGATTCTTTAGACATTTCTGCACAGCTAGGGAATATATACAGCTAGCTGCGTCGTAGCAGTCGTCACTTAAAAAAAAATTGTTGTTCTGATGGTTCATCCTTTTCATTTCCATATCGCTCAGGTAGTTTACCACACGTTCGTTATCGACGTGTGATATGCCGAGTGCACTGCTTCGATCTGCTTCAGTGCGATGATTTTGATTTTCCCTTTTGTCTTTCGCAATGTTGTGCGTTAGTGCGTCGGGGGGATGCTCTCTCCTGGGTGTTTCCTCATGAGCGCATTTTTCCCCTGCAGGGGTGCCAATTCCACCCCCCCTTCCAACTTCTTCCTCATTGGAAAGGTGTCCCATGTAGGGGCTATCATTGTTTCCATTCGGGTGACTGTTAATGTGGCACTTCTCCCCTGGTGGTGGCACCTCTTTGGCACTCATCAGACGGTCGGGTGAATCCCCCCTCTTGAGGGCATCCCCAAAATAGCTGTATTTATAATGGTGTTGCGTCTTCTCTCCAGATGGGCCATTTTCATCACTTAGTTGAATTTTTTTCTTTTCTTCAAATATGGACCAAAATGGGACGTTCTCCGTGACGATACTCTTAATCTGTTCATCACCGATATGAAACTCCTTATTGAAGAGAGAATCGAAATTCAGATTGTTGCACTTGTCGTAGTTAGCCACACTATCCAGCTTGTCCACATGACAGTACTGATAAAATCGAGGAGACAATTTGCCTGTAAATTTGATATCCACATTGCATAAGTTATCTTCAATATGGACAGATAATAAATTCCATCTGTTTTTTTTTGTCCTTTCGTTTGAGTTTTCCACATGCGTTTCGTGTGTACTTTCATCCGGAGGGGGATCTTCCAAGAGGGGGGTTACCAGACATGCGTCTAGCGATGGAGACCGCTCTGCTGCGATGTGACCCTTTGTTATGTTGCCCCCTCTGTATGACCTGATGAACTCATTTAATCGCCAACGTACAGCACGTCCAATCTCGGCAACGTCAAACAGCTTCGACTTTCGCGAAGTGACCTTCAACGGAATGTCCTCCAAATGGATTGGAGAAATGTAAGAATCCCAAGGAACCCTTCTGATAATCTCTTCAAGAGAGAGCAGGGAAGTGCAGGAGGCATTCTTCGAAACGTTCAGCCATATGCTTTCGATATAACCACATTTTAATGATAGAAGATAAATGAGCGATGGGGAGCATTTAATTTGCACCCCCCCATTGCATTTGCCTAATCGGATTAAATGCTTTTCTTTTTTGCTTTTTTCCTTTTTCTCTTCCGCGTGGTTCCTTTTCTCCGCTTGATATTTTGTTACTTCCCTGACGTAGCGCTGCTTGATATCTTTGACCAGCGTGGTCTCCCCGCCCTTCCTCACACAGATGAAAAAGTTGTACACGCTCAGGAACCTCCTTTGGGCACACAGCACGAGCGCGACGCCCTTCATTGTGGTCCCTGCTGTCAAAAGGGAGAAGAGGCGAAGAAGGGGAGAAGCGAAGATGCGAAGAAGAGACGAAACGAAGCAATGTGGTGTGACGTGGCACAACGCCCCGCGCAGGGCCTCTTTGCTGCGCCGCGCCGGATGGAAAACTAGATCGGCATTCGTGACCGCTGTGCCTTTTCGTCGATCTGACGTTGTTCCGCTTTTACACCCCCTTCTCCATTGTGATATTTTTTTTTTTTTTTTTTTTTTTTTTTTTTTTTTTGGCTTGCCACAGAGGGGAGAGGTGGAGTGGCACCCATTTTTGCGAAGCCTTTTGCACACGTCACACATATGATAGAAGCGGAGCAGATATAGATGATAAAAAGAGATTTCCTGGTAACCCTACGACAGACCATTCACTCCTTAATTAACCTCAAAAATGCGATAACACAGGAAAGAATCATTACGCTTGGGGGAGAACTGGCACCCCCCTCCGAACACATTTTTTTTTGGAAACTTAAAAGGGGTACAACATATTTTTTTACCTGACCCGTTCATAATTTTTATTCGCATATGTGCCTTTTGCCTGCACTATAAGGTATATCCCCGTGGGGAAAGGGGGGGAAATTGGAACGGCGATTGGAAGTGGGGAAGATAAACCAATACAGCATGATGGGAAGAGAAAACCTCGAACGATTACAAAGAAAGAATTACGCGTGATGATCTGCCAAAACATTGTAACCATTCTATGGCACGTGAAGAATGCGTTGTGCCTCGCCCATAGGAGAATACTCCCCAGTGTGGCAAAAAAAAGAAAAAAACAGAATAGTGACACGCGTTTCTACCCCTGAGCTATTCCTTTGAGGTGGAACAAAGACTTCAATTTCACGCCGCGTCAAGCACAACTCGCACAGTTTTTTCTTTTTTTTTCTCGAAAATGCGTTCAGTTCATACACTACTCACTGGCAGGTGGTAGGAAGGGGATAAAGAAGACAAAGGGTAAGGCGATACGTTGGGAGGCGGCCCCCCAAGGCTACGTCAACATATAAGGTATATCTATATGTATATTTATTTATATATCTATTCATTTAAACTGATCATCTCGCCCTCGAATTGTAGTACCCCTTTCCTTATCCCCCTCCCTTATGTGCATGCTTAATATTTTTTTTCTTTTGAGTTAAAGGAGGAGGAAGGTGCTCGCACCAAGGGGAAGGGGTGTCGTATGTGTCCATCCCTGTTGTGCCTCCTCGGGTGAAGAGTTTTTTTTTTATTGGGGGGTTTTATGCCTCTTCTTGAAGTAACATGGCTGAGCCTACTCTGCCGAATTGCATTCCTACGCGTGCCACTTATTCTGTTATTTTGTTGTTTTAATTTTTTTTATCGCGCTGCATGTCGCGTATTTTGTGAAGGCACCCCCATTGGACAAGGGAAAGAAACACTGCCCCTAACGCACGAGTAGTTTTCTTTCCCTTTTTTTTTTTTTTTTGCATACAGGGGTGGAGAAGAAAGGGCGACGCCATTGTAGTCACTCATCGCAGTCGCGCATGCAGTTCGTAGTAGGGAAGGCCTCACGCGAGGCGCTGGCGCGATGCTGCTACGCCCCAAAGCAGAGGAAGCGTTCCTTCCCGAGTGCATGCAGGCCGAAATGAAAGGGCAAAAGGGACACACCCTATATGGTGCGATGCATGCATATATGTATTTATATATACATTTATAAATAGTGAAAGAAGCCCGCTCGTGCGGCGAAAAAGAAATCGGCACAAAAGGCAGACGGATTGGAAAAGAATTGCAAAAGAATTACAAAGGGATGACACAATAACGATGCGATAAGATTCAAGGAAATGCAGGAGGACACTGCGCGTAAACCGTGTACACACCGTGGGCAGGGAGGAGGAGGCCTCCTGGCAAGGTAGTGCCTTTAAAAAAAAAAAAACAAAAAGAGCTAAAGAGAGCGGGACACGGCATCACACACGGCCTGTACAGAGCAAGTCCATATATAGGTCGTGCCGTGGACGCAAGGCTTCGCGCGGCATACCAGGATGCGGAAGGAGAATGAATGCATGAAAGGAGTAACAAACGAAGGGAAGCAGCGCAACGTAGGTGTGTACTGCGCGAAAGATGGAACGCCAAGAGATGCATTTTAAGAGCGCCACTTTAAATTTAAGAAGAAAAAAAAAATGTGCACATAGTGAAAGGATAGAACTTTTCTTCGATAAGTCATCCCCTCATATTTATTTTAATTTGATTAATTTATTTTATTTAATTAATTGATTTTATTTAATTAGTTTATTTTATTTAATTAATTTATTTTATTTAGTTAATTTATTTTATTTAATTAATTTATTTTATTTAATTAATTTATTTTATTTAATTAATTTATTTTATTTAATTAATTTATTTTATTTAATTAAGATCAATTAACTTCATTGCGTTTTAGGACAACATTTTCTTTTTTTTTTTTCACCCTCGCCGTTTAGCTCCTCTCCACTCTGCTTGGTTTTTCCGCCGCCTTCCCCCCTAATTAAAACCACACTTAGTGTAAACTCCACTTACTAGAAATCTCCACACCGAATATACAACTCCAGACGGAGAATACAACTCCACACCTGCGACTACCCCGTTCGATCGTCTCGCCCATTTTCCACAGTCCTTCCCCCCGTCAACATGATACCCCCCATGAGATCGTACCTGACCCTGTTAACCCTGGCCTGCTGTGTACTCCTGGGCCAGAACGAAGCCCTAATCGAGAATTCGCTTTTTTTTTTTTGCACCCGAAAAACAGATCCCACAAAAATCTGTACATTAAGAAAAAGTATCAGGACCTGCTGCAGTACAAGGAGTCTGATGAGTGCCTCAACGATCTGTTACGAAGAAATTCGATAAAGTTAATCGCAATCGACATTGATGGGACACTTGCCGATGATAACAGCGAAATAAGTGATGATAATTTGAATACCATAAAGGCGGCCAGGAAATCGGGTATTAAGGTCATGCTCGCAACGGGCCGAATGCACAATATCGTAATGAGGATGTTTACACAGAAGCAAAAGGACATATACCAAATAGAGAAAATGGATGGAGTGTACTCTCATGGGGCTTATATGAACATAAGAGGGGTGAACTACGTGTATAGGAAATTTAGCATGATCGATATAGAGTTAATTCTCTTCGCTCTGTCGTCACATAATGCATTGAAAAATGCCATCTTCGTAACGCCCAATGTTGTTTACGTGTTTAATGATGAGGCAACATTTAAGAAGGACTATCAGGTCTGCGAACTGGGGCGTGATGTACGTATGGATGAAAACAAGGTCAATTCATTGGATAACCGACAGAATGCCGTTTTGCTAACCCATGTCAAAGATATTCTCATGATTGGAGATATCGTGTCTATAGAGATTTATGAGAAAATCCATCCTGAGCAGGAACCATTTAAGGCCCTGCACACGGAATTATTTCCCGAATTGGAAAACAGATTTAAGATTTACGTGCCGCCCAATAAGGAGAAGATTGTCCTCTCTCCTATTAACACGTCTAAAATACAGACCATTCAGCTGTATGCTCAATTTTATGACATTCCATTGAATCACGTTTTATCGATTGGAAATGATAACAACGATTTGGAGATGCTGGCTTCCACTGGGTACTCCGTCGCCCTGAAGGACTCCACCAAACCTGCGCAGAAGGTCGCCAAATGCATTAGCATCAAGACGAATAAAGAGAACGCCGTGGCAAACATCATCTTCAGGACCATCACAAGCAGGCAATTGTAACGGGCGCTGTGTCATCTGATGCGGCTGGAAGAAGCGCCCGGTTTGACTCTCCCCCACGCGCGGCATTATACAACAGGGTACATATTTACATAGCCTGTGCATTTACGTACCTGCGCGTGGGCGCCCGTTTTCTCGCCACGGTGAGGATCCGTATGCCGACCCATGTGAACCAGATGAGTGATGCTTGCACCCCTGCAGGAGTAAAACATATGCCACGTGTGCATATGGACATGTAATTTTTTTTTTCTCTCACGGGAGGAGGCACAGCCCCTTTCTTTTTTTTTTCTCCCCCTACTCTTTACGTTTTCATAGTCACCCCACAAGGGCAGCATTCCCATATACTACTGTGACACGCGAGCTTCTACCAAATCGTTATGTTTTGTAAAAGTAGTTGACTGACTAATTCACTAGATAGTTTTTTTTTTTTTTTTCTGTGCGCATGACCGATTTTATGAAGTGCGCATTTATTTACACACTTGTGCTGTCCTGCGCAGATCGGTGAAGTTCTTCACCCCCCGCGTCAAGCGAACCAACATCTACGAACCACACCGATTGTGTTACAAAGACGTAGGAGTATAAAACGGTAGAGTACCAAAGAAGGGCGGCCAGGAGGGGCAAGAAATGCCGCAAAGAACGCAGCAAGGTCGCTAATGGCTAACCGCCCAGCGATGGTCGATTGAAGGGCCCAAATGACCTGCACCGGTCAGGTAAAACGGAGGGGACTTCGTGCACACACAACCCCTGTCTGGAATAATTTTTCGCAGGGATCGCGCAGAACGCGGAAAGTATATATAATGTTGTATGATCGAAAAAAGAAAAAAAAAAAAAAAGAAAAAAGGCACACATGTGTCACACAAATTTGTTCTTTTTGCTCGTCTTGTTAACATCAATGCCGAGCTGCGAGGGGTCTAGTAACGTATTTTTTAATTCATTTTTGCCGGAGCGGACGAATTCATAGTAGTCTTCAATGCCCAGGTGGACATCCATGGCTTCCTTTTTTGGGAAGTTCGTCCTGTTGGGGGGGAGACCCCCACCAGGGGTGGTCAGCTGAGCAATACTGGCGAGGTTTGCTATGTCGGCCACGTTCCCAATGTTAGAAAAGTTGGCGATGTTTCCCAGGTTAGCGCTGTTAGCGGCGCTGCCCAGGTTGGAGAGACTCCCCCGCGTTACCTCACTGTGGGCATTCCCCCTGGTCCGCATGCGCAGGAGCAATTTCTCCAGCTGCTGGTCTGGGATCCTTTTTTTGAAAATCGTTTCTGTGCAATTGATCAGCTTGTGAATCTCATCGTAATCGACCCCGGCCAGATTGTCCCGTGCATTCTTCGAATTTGGACGATCCGTGTGTATGTCTCCTATTCTGCTGCCGGTGGTTCGGCCGGTGGTGGGGCCGATGGTTCGACTACTAGTTCGGGCGCTGCTTCGGCCGCTAGCTCGGCCGGTTCCGTCGGAATGTTCATCACTTCGAATTGTGGCAGTCATGTCGGAACGATTTTTCGGTGGGTCCTCTTTGGCGAGAACGAACTTGGGCGAGTCCCCTTTTGCGTAGTCCCCTTTTGCGTAGTCCTCTTTTGCGTAATCCCCCTTTGTGTAGTCCCCCCCCTTCGTCTCGTTTCTCCTCAGATGGCACACCAGGGCTGCGTCCCTCTCCATACTCTTCAGCGTTTTGTGGAGCTTCTTCCGAACGAGAAGAAGCAGCTGAATGGGAAGATCCTTTCCCTCGTCCCTCTTACAGTACACGCCCCTATCGTTACAGGTGATCACTCTGGTGAGGCACACGGGGTCATTTCTGCGCATGCAGTGACTTGAGATGAAAAAGGGCAGGAGGTGCACATCTCCCCTTCGCTGGTTAGTGGAGTTAACTCCGCTGAGAAGGATCGTATTGGGATAACCTCCGTTGGGAAGGCTCGTATTGGGATTACCCCCATTGAGAAGGCTCGTATTGGGATTACCCCCATTGGGAGCACCCTCGTTCGAGACGCCGCCGCTTGCTACCCCCCCTTGAATGCACTGAATCAGCGTCTGATTATGTGTCTGCAACTTGACCCGGTTTGTCAAATGCACCACGTCATTCAATTTCACCAAATTGCTAATGCAATCAAATTTGCACTCTATATATCCCTTGTCGTGAAATATAGGTATGTTGATTTCCTCCCATAAAAAATTCGGCTGCATGTAAAAGGTGAAGATAAAGTAAAAGGTCTCTTCCTTTCGATAAGTTGAGTTGCTCTGTTCAGCAGCACTGTCGGTGAGACCTCTCCTTTTCCGCTTCTTTGATATATCGTTAAGGTTGGTTCTGCCGGGGGAATCACCTTTGTTCTCATCATTATTTGGCTGATTTTCCCACATGGCATAATGCGCACAGAGGAAGTGCACGTTCTTAAAGTGTTCAGGGAAATATTGCTCCAGCACCGAGTTAGGGGTGTAGTGGAAACGTTTCCTCTGGGCTACACAGCTACGTTCATGTTCGCTTCTACGTTTATCTTTGCCTGTGATTTCATCTTTGCTTGTTCTCTCACGTTTTCCTGTGCTCTCTCGTTTCCTTGTGCTTCCACGTTTCCTCGTGCTCTCTCGTTTGCTTCCACTTTTGTTGTCGCTTCCACACTCGCTCTCCCCTTCGCTTTCGCTTCCTCGCTCCTCGGAACACACAAAATGCACGTACATAGGCTTGCTGTTTCTGTATGTGGAATAAATCACGTTGAGTAGCTCGCAGATGTAGAAGAGGCAGAAGTCCTTCTTTTCCACCTCGCGGTCCTTGGTTGGCTCGACCTTGGCGAGACTCCCCCGCCGCCCCCGCCCGCTTTTCGTTTGTCCGTTCATTTTCGCGGTGATGCCGTCAAACGAGCAAGCGGAAACGAAACGTCACAATTGAGGCGTACCAGGTGGGATCATCGGGTGGTCAACGCGCAAGTGCCGTATGACGAGGCATGTGCAGGTAGGCACGCACGATGGGGGTTCACGGTAGGGTTCGCAGCGGGTCGCCTTTTCGGATCACTGCTTGGAAGTACCCCTTCGTAGGGAAGTTTCCTTCCTACCTCCGCCCTGGACACGAGGGCCCGCCCAACAGGATGCGATATACCTACCGGAGTGTAACGGGTATGGCTTCATAGCTGCACGCCCGATGCGCACGCCAAGGGAACGGCGCTCCCCCTCCCAGTGCGATCGGGTGTGTACATTCACCTGCATGCACGGCGTACATCCCACCCTGTGCCGAAGCCAAAGCAAGAAAGCAAGCCCAAAAGGCAAAGCAATCCTGTGAAATCCCTCTAAATGAACGGGGCAATAAAACGAGGCAAACGAAAAAGGAAGAAAAGATAGAATAGAATAAAATAACAAAAAAATAACAAAAAAAACGGAAAAGGGAAAAAAACAGGAAAGGTACTAACTAGCACGTGATGACTACAGGGTGATACCTAACGTGTGGGGGTCGCTGCGGACGATGTAACGAGGGGATGGTGGAGGGGGGAAATCCGCCTAGATGCCTGAGACTACTTTGGTAATGCTGTTCTACCTTTCGAAGGGTAATGCGGAAAAAGGGGAGGAGGAGATACAGAAAAGTAACTAATGCATATAACACGCGTTAAGTTTTGCCTCAATGCGTTTTGTTGCTGGGCCTTTCACCTCTCAATGTTTCGGCGCTCAACGTTTTGTTGCTAAGCGTTTTGCTGCTAAGCGATTAGTTGCTTCGCTTTGCCTTACTTTTTTTTTTCGCTTCGCTCCGTTGTGCTTCTTCATCGCAAGTAGGAATACGTAGGTGCGCGAAATGGGGGCGAGAAAAACGCCATGTCAATCGGCCCCTGCTCGCCCAGTGCCAGATGGTTTTTCTATCCGCTAATACCTTTTTTGCGTGACACCGCATGCAGCATCTGATTTGTAGTTCCTCCGCGCATGCAGGTGGTGCGCACCCTGTGCCTAAATAGGCATCGCCCTGTCGTGTACGCATGCGCATGCACGTGTTGGTGTAAGGTTTTCGGCCCCACGAGTCGCCCAGGGAAAAGAACCCCCAAGGGGGAAGGGAAAAAATGGAGGAAAAACGCGGCACATGCGAAAAGGCGATCTTTAGCAGCTTAAAAATGGCATACCGGGGGGACGAACAATAGGGTCTTCTCTTCTCTCACCCAGCAGGAGCTGCGAATTGATAAAGGGAAAAAAAAGAAAAAAAAAGGCACAAAAAAGGCACAAAAAAGGCACAGAAAAAGAAACAAAAAAGGCCTCCCTCAAATAATCAACATTTCATCCCGCTCGACTAGGTGACAACTCCTTTAAACGACGATGTGCAGGGGAAGATAGGAATCCTCCCCACTGTGTAGTGTCTCTTTTAATTTTTTTTTTTTTTTCCCTCGAAGCAGCTATTCTTCGCCGAAAGGATGGGATTCGCCACACGCAGGCGACCACATGTGCTGCATGTGCATATGCATCTGCATGCACACGGGGGCACCTTCCTGGGGGAAAGAATATTACACTGCGGCTCATCAGTGAGGAGGAGTTTACAAAACAGAGCGGACGGTGGGATGGACAGTTGAACGAGTAGGACGCTGCTATCCTAACGACGAGGTATTTTCATCCGTGTACTTTTAACTCAAAGAACCGCTTCACCTTCGGAGGGGTTCCCAATTCGATTGATACCATCACGCATGACTGCCGTCGCCCAATCTATGCCAACCGTTCGAAGTTCGAACGGAAGGGACGAAGAAGAAAAAGGAACCCCAAGGAGTAACCCATTCGTCTGCCCCACAGAAAGGGAGCAACCCCATGGGAATGTTGAACTGATAAGTGTCAGAAAAAAAAAAAAAAAAAATATAATTGACAGACGAAGAACATTATTAACATGAACAAGTTGGCCTACTCTTCTTGATTAGGAAGACAATCGAAAAAAGGTGCTTCATCAAAGTGTAATCCTTTTTTTTCTTTTTTTCTTGTGCTTTCTGGGGGGAGGAATAATCACATAAAAATAATGCACCCCCTCGTTAATACACCTTAAAGCGTCGCTTCTTTCAAACGTTATAATTCGGATTCTGAATTTTATAACCGCGTGTGGATATTTGGTGTGTTTGCAGAGATTTGCTTTTACTTTCGTGATTAGCGAGGATTGGAGAACAAAGGGGCTGATCGCCTCCCTTGGAGATGGTCCTTTCTAATAGGATGCCTGTTCATTTCAATCCGAGTTTATCCCCTTGTTCGTTTTAAACGTCTACTATTACCCCCCCTTCCCTGCAAATCAGTCCGAAGCAATGCGAAGCAATCCGAAGCAGTACGGACGTACTGACCCTCTTTTGTGCCATTTGGGAAAAAAAAAATATGTGAAGCAGATCAATTAGGCAACTCCTAGCGAGGTACCTCCCCGTGGTAACTTTTTCCATCCTCCTCTTTCCGTTCTCCCATCTTTACAGAGGACATGCAAATGGGCTGGTACCTATGCTCCTCCGTGTGTTCATTCATTTGCCAGCATCGTGTCGCCTACACCCGATATAACCCAGTGGAGCCCATTTGGATTGTCCCATTTGATGCTGCTCCTTAAAAGGAAATAAGCTCACAAAAGGGTTACCTCGACAGCGAGCCACTCACACAATGGGTTACTTGTGAAATGGGTTACCTGTGCAATGCCTCACTTAAGCGCACGCACCTCCCCCCACGCAGAGGCCATGTCCACACTGACGAGGGCGACTTGGCCAACGGAGAGCCACTGCCCTGCCGCTACGTCAAAATTAAGAAAAAAATCCTTCAGGTGATAATTGGCCAATTTGGTTAAAAGCGTCTTTCTTTCACTCACTTGGGAGGCGTTTCTCCTTGGCTATGGGCTTATTTATTTTATTTATTTATTTTTTCTCTCATCTCAGCTGCTTTCCCATTCTGTTGCTTTTCCTTTTACGGGGGACGAAGGGGTGATTTAAAATCCTTCACAGGGGAACGATCAAGGGGAGTGGGCCGTCCTCAAGTGACACAAAATAGTCACTTCAAATGAGCGTTAGAAGCGTGCAAATAAGAAAGCGCACTTTTTTTTCCCCTGCGCATGTACCTCTTCCGTACGTGTGTAAGTTTTGTGCCACCTCTTCGCCTTGTGGTTCCTTGACGCGGTTGCGAAGTGGAAGGGGGAATGTCACGATTAGCTCGTTTCGGGAATATCCCTGCTGGTTTCCCCTGTAGGAGGGGGGTTTCCCACTTGAATGCCCGTGTTTAAACCTGTGCTTTGATGGCCCCTACGTGTTTGGCCGCGTCGCCTAACAGATGACAGCCTCCGTGCCACCCTATACACACTTTGCGCGCACTGACTTAAGGTTGAGAGGGGGAAAAAGAAAATAAAATAAAGGAACGAAAAGAAAATAAAGGAAAGAAAACAAAAGAAATGCCTCACATAGAATTCCTTAGCAAGGGGGGACATGTATCATTTCCACTTTGTTAACCCTCCTCGTTAAATCTTTTGCGGCCTTCTCCCCTAACTGCTAAATAACGACACACGGCATAGTCACTTGGGCCTCTTATCCGACGTTAGCTTCACTTTGCTTTACACTATTTCTCACTCGTAAGATCTTCACGTACACGAGGTGATATATAATACGTGTCGCAGCCGTAGGACGCGCTCAACAGGTGACAACAAAAAAAAAAAAAAAAAAAAAGCACGAAGGAAAGGAGCACTTCACAAAAATAATGCGCGAATGTGCATACTAATTTATAGCACTTCTGGCGTGTGCCCAGGTAGGCAAATAATAATATATATATAAATATATATAACACATTATGCTCGCCTTACAATATTTTTGCCTAAATACGTTTTCTTCGTCACTATCCATTTCCTATCTCTACATCGTTAGCCCCACATATGTGATTTTTTCCAGTTTGTAAATTTATTTTACCCTTCAATTGGCTTGTTAATTTTTTTTTTTTTTCCGGGGCTATGGTTTTATTTTTTACCCTGACTTCTATATGCAAATTTTATTTTTTCTTATTTATTTTTTTTTTTTTTTGCGAATATAAGCAAACATCACAAGTTCTTAACATTCCATTTCTTTCTCTCACGACTGTAGGAGAGGCGCCAAAGCTATAGATTATTTTCGTTTGCGAGTATAGAATCCCATTGGATATCCCTCAATCACGTGGTTGTCCTTGGCCGCCACTTCCGCGCTGCTCTATACAACTCTATGCCGCTTATTATTTCCTTAGGTTTGGTCGTTATCGTCAGTGGCATCTCTCGCGTAGGTGCTTTTCCGTAACACATTTCACCGCGTAGGTTTATGAGCATTTTTGCCCAAACGAACTCGACTGAGTTGCGCCCCCATTTGACGTTCATTAGACGTCCATTTGATGTGCCATACAACTATATTCGACCTATATTCGAGTTACATTTGACCCACATTCGAGCTACATTTGACCCACATTCGAGCTACATTCGAAGAGCGTTTTCCTAGCGATTTCCTATCCATTTCCTCGCGACTTCCTCGCGCTTATCCCGTTGCCCCCCTGCTGTCCATTGCTTTTCGCCGCCGAAATGGCCGACCAGAGCCCTGACCATAAGGTGGAGGAAGCCCTGAAGGGGGCAGATATCAAGCTGCTTCTGATTGACTTCGACGGCACGCTCTTCGTGGATAACAAGATCAAAGTGCCGAGCGAAAACATCGAAGCGATCAAGGAAGCAATCGAAAGAGGGTACATGGTTAGCATATGTACAGGAAGATCCAAAGTAGGAATATTAAGTGCATTCGGTGAAGAAAATTTAAAAAAAATGAACTTCTATGGTATGCCTGGAGTGTACATAAACGGAACCATCGTCTATGACCAGATTGGCTACACTCTCCTCGATGAGACGATAGAGGCGGATGTGTATGCAGAGTTGATTAAATATCTAGTGGAGAATGATCTAGTCAATCAGACCATTTTCCATCGAGGAGAGTCAAATTATGTCACGGAGGATAACAAATATGCCGACTTTTTGCAAAAAATGTACAGCGAAAATAGGAGTATCATAATTAGGCATAATGAAATGCTGAAATATCGAACCATGAACAAATTAATGATTGTCTTGGATCCCTCGGAATCGAAAAGTGTCATAGAGAACCTGAAGAAGAATTTCAAACATATGCTAACCATTTTTACGACCTATAATGGTCACGTAGAAGTAACCAAATTAGGTCATGATAAATACACTGGGATAAAATACCTTTTAAAACACTACAACATTTCTAATGACCAGGTGTTAGTGGTGGGGGACGCTGAAAATGACATCGCTATGCTCTCCAATTTTAAGTACTCCTTTGCCGTTGCCAATGCTACGGACTCGGCCAAATTCCACGCCAAGTGTGTGCTCCCCATTTCGCATAAGGAAGGAGCCGTGGCCTATTTGCTCAAGAAGGTCTTCGCTTTGAAGAAGTGACCTCGTTGCCGTTTCGCCACGTGTGTGAGAGGTAGACCCAGCAGAGATATACCGGGACCACCCATGTGTCGCTGCCAAGCGGGGGAAAAAAAACCTCCTCACAACGCAGTCATCACTTGAGTTATGAAAACAGTTAGTCCCCAATTTCGTGTGTGCCCTCTTGACGTACATTTAGGAGGCCCATCACGCAGGGAAAGGGAGCCACACGTCCGTACGAACCTGCAGAGGAGGGTCCACTCAATTGCTGCATCCTGTCGTGTACCTCTCTACACCTGCGCAGCAGCCTTGACGAAAAAAAAAGAAAAAAATTTTCCCCCGGGCCCCTGCCTCCCACAGATGTTACTACTAACCAAAATTGTGTCCAAATAAAATTTTAAGTGATTTTTCTCCATGTTCATTTTTTTTTTTTTTCACCGCGCGCCCCTCCAGTGGAACTCATTTAGTTATCCGTACGATGTGTCTCTGGGTGGCCCTGCGGCGGTTACTTTATTTTGGTGCCACTCTTGCTTCGCTGTTACTCCGCTGCTGCGCAACTGTTGCCCCATTTTTTTACCCCTAATTGAACCTCACGGGATTCCCCGCACGCGTACACGCGGTTCCCCGTCCTGGCGTCTCCTGGGAGTGCGCCCCATCTGTTATCCTCCAAGGGCTGTAAGAAGCTCACGCCAAATTGGACCTAGACGCACGGAGGTACTTATGTATCTTCGCCAATTCCAGGGAGAAGCAAAATTTATCACCGCGTGTGTGCAGCGCGAAGTGGGATAGACACGCACAGTTGGGTCCCCCAAAGGGGGGTCCTAAATGGGAAACTTCATTTGAGAAACGTGCTGGGTTAGCTACGCGCACGGAAAGGGAAAGAAAAAGAAAGGGAAGAAAAAGAAAGGGAAGAAAAAGAAAGGGAAGAAAAAGAAAGGGAAGAAAAAGAAAGGGAAGAAAATAAAAAGGAAGAAAAGAAAAAAAAAACCAAAAGAAAAAAAAACCAAAAGAAAAAAAAAACCAAAGGAAAAAAAAACCAAAAGAACAAAAAAAACCAAAAGAAAAAAAAAACCAAAAGAACAAAAAAAACTAAAAAAACAAAAGAACAAAGAGGGTGCTACGCGAAAGGGCGTTCGTTAAGTGGAAAGCTGTCGGAACGGCCCGGAGAAAAGGGGCCAAATGGGGATCTCCCTCTACCGGGATTCTTTTTCCATCGGGGGTCATAGAAAACGTTGCATCCTTATGCGGCAAAGGAGAGGGAGACTGTTCACTACTCTTCAACTAACGTCACCCACTTTTCGCAGTTCTTCAGGAAAAGGCAGAGGGAGGGAGGGAAAAATGGGAAAAAAAAAGAAAGGGATAATAAAGGTGAGAAAAATGCGACAATAAGGGTGAGAAAAAAAGCGACAATAAAGGTTAGAAAAACGTGGCAGTAAAAGTGTGGACATTTTTGTAAAATTGCGTAACGAGGTGCACGGAGGCTTACCTGCAAGTTCGGAAGGGGATGCTTCGCGGGGTCCATGTTGGCGTCGCTGTGGGGGGGGGAAGGAGGGGGGAGGTTGTCAGAAAGGGGGTCACCATAATGATCTCAAAGAAGGGGTCACCATAATGATCTCAAAGAAGGGGTCACCATAATGATCTCAAAGAAGGGGTCATCATAGTGATCTCAAAGAAGGGGTCACCATAGTGATCTCAAGGGAGCGGTCTCAAGAAAGGTCTCCATAAGTGCCCCCCTCCTCATGACGTACCCAATCCAACGGCTGAGCGATCGAAGGACGTGGTTAAATATAATGTATTTGTCGGGAGAGTCGAAGTCATTTTCTATGGCTTGAAAAATGACTGAAATGGGATAATCAAGGAGGTTATGGCTCCTTATGAAATCGATGATTCTTATGTATCTGTTTGCCGAGAGGAAGAGGTGAAGGACCATTTCGTATTCGCCTAATCGTAGGGACATGTCCAGACAGAGCTGATAAGCCCAAGTGTGCTGAGTCAACTTCCAGTAATGAAAAAGCCGCTTTGTCACTTCGATCGAGTCAGCTATGACGTAAAACTGGAGCAACTGACGGAGACAATTATCCTGCTGGTAAAAGATACATATGTCGAAGAGGAAGGTCTGCAGGATCCTGTTCGGAATGATGTTCAAGGAGAGAAGCGATTTCATATATTCCAGGACGTAGAGGAGGAACATGGGCAAGCTGTGGAGCTCGGAGTAGCTGAGCGTGAGTCTGTACTCGTCGGCGGCAAGGGCGCTTTCTTCGATAGCAGCGGGGGTAGCCCTAGCCTCTATTGAAGCGGAAGTAGCACCAGCCTCGACCTCAGCGGGAGTAGGAACAGCCTCGACCTCAGCGGGAGTATTCCTCCTTATTCTGTACTTTAGCATGTACTTATCGTTATGGTCGCTTCGTCCGCCGAGGCCCCTTCTCCTCTGTCGCTTGGCCTTCTCCATTTGGCGAAAGTTAAGGGAGAAATTGAAAAGAGTCTCCTTTTTGTCGAGGCCATACTTCTTAATGATGAAGGCATGAAAGACATCCGTGACGATGTCCCTCTCCGTGATGAGAGTTTTGCTTCCTAAATTTTTAAGGATGTCGTCTACAGGTTGAATGATTTTCTGGTTAGCTCTCCTCACAGAGTGGGGGGGGCTTCTTTTCTTTGCAGACTGCTCAATAAGTTTGCGGTAATTGAAGTTAATGATATTGACGATGATGAGGAAGTCCTCCATCTGGATGTCGTTCTCCAGTGACATGAAAAACATTTCGGTGATTCGTCTTTTACAGTTGGGTCTGCGCAGGAGCACGTCCACGGAGGTGTTCTGGGGGGAGGGCAAAAAAGCGGCCAGGAAGGGGTGAAAAGGCGGCGGTGTGAAGAGGTGAAAGGACGCCGCTTCTATGGAGAGAAAGGCCCTTTCTCGCCGCTTTCTCTCCCCTTTTTCGCCTCTTTGTCGCCACTTTCTCGCCGCTCTATCGGCGCTCTTACCAAATTGGCGAAGTGCTGGCAGATCTGAAGCATCAACAGGTCATAGTCCACACGGATCTTGTACACATTTCCGTATTGGTTATCCATCAAGACATTAAAGGGATGAAAAGAAATATGACTGAGCACAAGCTGCGTCCTAAAGTGCTTCGGAGACGTCAAGTACGCAATGTTAATGGTATGGCTCGTGGTCATATCCTCGGACAAGGAGCTAATCAGGCTGCTCTTCTTTCTCTTCTGATACTTTATATCAAACAGGTATACCTTCTCATTGGAGTAATTGAAAACACCAAAAATGTTGTCCACAGAGAATATGTCTAGTACTCCGTTGCAAAACAGGTCCAGTACATAGTCGAAGCATAAAGAAGAGGACAAGCATCGGAAGGAGATCCTTCCATTTTTGTAATCCTTATGGATGCAGTACGACTCATCATAGAGAGTAAGAATCTCTATATCGTTTTTACTTATTGGATCCGTCTTGGGGATGTTTAATTCGATTTTTTGCAACTTAATTGCATTGCTGTTGTTTAGGAGGTAGGGGAAGATGACATGCGTTTTGTGTGTGCTGGATAGCAGGGCGATGTAGGAGCTGCTTTCGTCGTACCAGCAGTGCTCGCTCTTCATTAGGTGTTTCTTCAGGGGCGTAATGGTTAAATTGTCGAAGGAGAGGTGGAAAATCTCCACTGCGTGGTTCGTCACGACGGCGAAGTCGGCCGAGGGGGAGGAAGCGGCGGAGGTGACGGAGACGGGGGAAGCGACAGATACAGCAGATATCGCAGACACAGCAGATAAGGCAGACACAGCCGATATGGCAGACGCGGCAGAAGACCCCCCTGTGTCGGATTCTCCGGCCACCTTCCCCCGCCCGGGTAACCAAAAGGTAGCCAAAATTTTACACTCACTCAGCTTGTTTATGCATACATTCAAATATATATTGTGGTTGTTGAGAATGTCGGAGATCTGAATCCTGTTGGGGTTGCTCGAATGGTAGAGGAAGAAAGTGGTGTTTGGAGCGAAGGTTATATTTTCACACATGTCTGAATCGAACTTCACGTACACGGCCTGGTAGTTTTCTTTGACTTTCTTTATGTCCGTTACGAGAAGCGCCTTCGCGGCGACATTCTGGTGGATGATCAGATCGTTCATCTTGTCGTAGAAGATACGATCGTTGCTGGAAACCTAAGCGAAGGGGAATAAGCAAAGCAGCGATGGGGTTAAATAGATGACCCATATGTGCAGCACCACGAAGAAATGACTCCCTCTTCCCGACGAGTACACCCAACGGGGAGAGGACAAGCTGGAGGCGCTCCTCCACCACCTGGCCAGGCTTCCTCTCCTCCCCATCGAGCCTCTTACCTCCCACTGGTACACCGGCTCCGAGATGTGCGCCGGCGAGTACGCCGAAATGGTCCCATTCCGCTTGGTCTTCCTGGTATTCCTCCTACTGAGTTCATTCGAGTCCTGCGTAACGAGCTCATCATTGGTGTGTTTCTCTTTACATTTATCCTTCTGCGCCGAAGAAGCGGCTTCGCCCCCCGGGGGCCTCTCCCCCTGATGATCTATAGGATCCATGGGATTCATAGTCCTCTAAATCGTCAGTGCACAATTTGATTAAGCGATTAGACCCATGTGCCCCCTTCTTAGGGTATCCTTTACAGTCTGAGCAATCCTATCCGGTTGGAACAATGGCCGAGCGATCGACAGAATAATTTATTTTTTTTTTATTTCCACTCACGGTGAAACTCGTTTTAATGCTCACTTTAGGGAGCGCTTGGATTTGCTCTTTTATTCTTACAGCCTCTTCTGATGGGTCAGTGTGGGAATTTTTTCTTCTCCAATGAGTTAGCCCTGCGGTTGGTCAGTTTGGTTGCTCCGTTGGCTGCCCCTTCACAGAGCTTTTTTTTTTTTTTTTTTTTTTATGCACCTGAAGATGACGCTCCACCCTCCCTCAGCGAGTGAAACTTCAAACGGGCCAAACTTTCTCAGGCGGCTCCAATGGTTTCCCTTTTTATTGACTAAGCAGTGTGAGCATTTGGTCAAAGAGGGTAGAGGGCGACTCACAGCGTTGCGCGAGGGTGGGCCCAGCCGGTGAAGCGGAAAACTCGGAACGGTTATAAGTGGAGAAGTAGTGTAGTCGAAGGAGTGGAGAAACCGCTGCTAAGAAGCCGTTACTTAGAGGAGACCCCCCTTGCGGTAACCCCTCGAAGGGACCGCTCCCCCCTGATAGCCACAGTCATGTTACAGACGCGCACGCCGTCATCGGCGCTTTCCCCTTTGCACTTGGTGGGCAGGCGCAGGGGCGTAGTTTATCGAATGAGAGTCAGTCGGGTCCATCACCAGCAGAGACAACACAACTCATGTAGCAACACCAGACACAGAAAAATAATAATCATTCCATTTAACCAGAAGGATCAGACTCTCCATTATAAAAACATCCCATTCTGTGTAGAGCTTCTAGATCGGAAAAGCAAAAATGATCTCCTAGAAATATACAAGACGGTGAGAAATATAGACGAGAGGAAGAATCTGCCATCTGATTTTATCGATAACTTATTTCTATGCACGAGGAAGTTTGTCCGCTCTCTCCTACCACATGAGTTTGTACGAATATACAAAACAATGATAGTCTTGGGGAAGAAGGACAGAGAGCTGAACTTGCTGATGCACCAGCAGATGAAGAGGATACATGCCAGCTTCGACGTCACCAGCATTAGCAAGCTGTTTCAATTCTTTACCTTCGGCAAGTGGAAGCCGGTGCATTTGATAAAGGTGCTCACCGAGACGTTCCTCAGGCACCTGGAGAGGGAGGCGGCACACGAAGGTGATTCAATCAAGTCAGCTAAGTCGAGCGAGTCAGCCGAGTCAGTCGCTTTCGCCGCTCCCGCCGCTCCACCCCTGCTGCCCTGGCACGTGCGCGAACTGGTCGCCATTTTCTGCTTCTTCCGAATAGACTCGAAGAAACACATAAAATCCATCTTCCACCACTGCGCCCCATGGATAGCGAAGAACGTGCAAAAGTTTACCCCCAAAGATGTCACCATCATTCTGTATAGCACCGTGCAGCTGAGGAGGCAGGATCCTATTATCCTAACCGCTGTAGTGAAACATGTGGTCTTTAAGGGGGACTCGTTTGAGTTTTTCCAGCTAGCCATTATCCTTAACTGCTTCGCCAAATTGGGAGAGAAGAACAACAAGCTGTGCAGAGTTGTGTGCGACCAGGTTAAAAGGAGGATGCGTCCAACGGCCTCGCCAGGGGTAGCCACGGCAGGCGTCTCCCCCGACGAAGTGATCGAAATAGGTCCCATTGGGGTAGGAGCGGATTGTGCGACAAGTGCGGTGGGCGGTCTCGCCACGTTTCTTTCCGCTTCCCCGGCCGCTCCCTCCGCTGCTGACCGACCAAGTGGATGCAGAGTCGACCCTAAGAGGGATTCCACAACTGCACAGAGGCACCATCGAGGAAGTACCACTCTAGGGGGATACCCCCAACCGAAAGACGTGTCTGTACTGCTGAACGCACTGATAAAGCTAGAACACTACGACAATGCAACGTTTAGCTGCCTCATCCCATTCATCGTAAACAACGCTTCCAAGTTCTCCCCCCAATCACTAAGTAACTTGATTCACGCATATTCTCAGATGCAAATAAAAAACACCCTGATGCTGGAGAGGCTTTCTGAAGAATGCATTATGAAGATGAAAAAGTTTAAAAATATCGAGATGAGTAATTTGGCTAACTCTCTTATTCGATTGAACGTAAAAGATAAAGTTTTGTTTACTTACCTGATTGATGAGTTTCTGTACAGAGCCACCATTGGGGTGAAGTATAAGGGCTACCAGTTTGACGTGGTTTCTCTGCAACAGCTTGCTTACTCCTTTAGCAAGGTGGGTCTGAGCGATGAGAAGGTCTACGTCGTCCTGCACCGGCTGCTGCTTCGAAGCATCAGTCAGATTCGGAAAGGTGCCAGCCAGGGGGCTCGACCCTCTGCACTGGTAGGGGGGAAGAGAGGTGAGGAGCGGCATGAACTGAGGGATGAGCCGCCTCCCCGTCTCGACGAAGACATCGTTCGGAGGGGACCCCAGTTCGACTTCCTTTGCCTGTCCACATTCGTGAACTCCTACGCCGCTGCAAAAATGAAGCCCAAGCATTTGTTCCATTTTGTCAGTTACATTATAAGGGAGAAAAAAAAAAAAAAAGAGTTACTGTCAAATCAGTCCTTATGCTGTCTAGTGTATGGGCTAGCCAAACTGGAACTTCCAGATCGGAAGATCCATCAGTTTTTACTCAAGGAAGGTACCGAACGAGTAGACACACTGAAGCCATTCCAGGCGGTGCTTCTCCTCTACTCGTTTAGCAAACTAAGAATATACTCACGCATGTTTGTGAAGAGAGCAGTGCAGCTGTGTAGTCGGAACATCCACCAGTTGTCTTTGGCCGATTTATCCTTAGCATGCTACTCCCTCTCAAATATGCTCTACAGAGATGTCATTTTTTTGTACAAAGTGTCCAAAGTTATTCTTCTAAACAATTTCAAATTAGAGAAGACCAACGTGTGTCAGTTGTTTAATTCGTTTACCAAACTGTGTTTCTTCGACAAGCCGTTTTACCATCTGGTGTTTCAGAGAATGGTTGTCTGTATGCACGACTTGGGGGAGAAGGAGCTCGCCAACGTGGCACTCTCCTTCGCGTACTACTTTCACGCGGCCATGCTGTGCCTTTGCGACGGGGAGACGCATAAGCAGGAGGAGAGGCAAGAAGAAGAGCGACCGGAGAAGAGCTCGGAGAAACGATCGGAGAAGTGGTCGGAGAAGCCATCGGAGAAGCCATCGGAGAAACGATCCGGGAAGCCCCACCTGGAGACGAGCTGCGTGGGGGGGGGCCCCCTATCGGAGCGCCACCTCGTGCAAAGCAGCCCGGAGCTCTTCTTCAGAAACGAACTGAACATTTTTTTCAACCTCATTTTTCTGCTAAACGAAAAGTACCGCCAGCAATTATCCATTATAACCATCCAGCAGCTGCAGATAGTAGACCTCTACCTCAGGGCATTCTTCCCCAAGTACTGCGATTTTCCCGCATTTTTAAAAACCTTCTTTCTCAAGGTCAGGAGTGTGAAGCTCCACATCGATGACTATCTAATTATGTCGTCCAAAACACACCGAAATGTGTCCCGTTTCCTCAGCCTAGTTGGCGTTGCGCATAGAAGCGAAGTTCAGTTCGGCCCCTACCAGCTCGACATCGTGGTGGACTTCCTGCAAAATAAAAAAAAAATCAGGGCAGTCTTCCCAAGCGGGGGAAACTCCGGCGTAGAAGCTCACCCCGGCGTGGAAGCTCACCCCGGCGTGGAAGCTCACCGCAACGTAGAAGCTCACCGCAACGTAGAAGCTCACCGCAACGTAGAAGCTCACCCCAATGTGGAAGTCCCCCCTAACGTCGACCTAATTTGCAGAACGGAAACGCCGGAGGGACATACCCCTCTCGAAGAAAGTAGCCATTCCGAAAGACCAAATGCGTACAACGTGCTGGAGGGAAAAATAAAAAAAAACATCCTCGTCGAAGTGGATGGGGTGTCTCACTTTTACAGGGAGAGTCACAGTAGGACCATCAATTCGATTATAAAAAACTTCATTTTGAAGAAATGCGGATGGCACATAATACACGTCCCTTATCAGGAATGGAATCAGTGTGTTGATTTTAGGAGGAAGCTTCTATACGCGGTTCAGCTGTTGCGATACATTTTGCGCATCAACAAGGAGGACATCTCCGTGGGGGATTTTCTTCACCTTTTGGAAGAACACCTCCCTGTACAGGGAAAAACATACGGCAAAGCATCGGACGCATGGAAGCTTAAAAATGAAGAACACGCCAGATTTGTAGAAGAGGAAAGAATCACTTCTCACCACGGAGAGGTGAAGAGTGGGGCCGATCGAATGGACACCCCCCACTTCTACACCGTCAGCGAAGAGGAGCTGTTTCGCAATCAGACGAAGAACAGAAGCAGACATCAAAAGGGATTAATGGAGAAGATGCGCCAGGACAACCAACTGAGCTACCACTTTAACATGGTACGCCAAGAGGGTAGCGGCGAGGGGGAGGCTGTTGCGAGCGGACCGGATGAGCTGTCACCCCCCGTCAGACCTCAGGGGGGTGATCTCAGAAGTGACACCTTAGAGGTGACACCATAGAGGTGAAACCTTAGAGGTGAGACCTCAGAGGTGGAGCAAATTTTTTTTGTTACATCTTCCCCATTTTTGCCCAACGAGCAAGACAGGAACGCGTAACTATAGCGCTGTTCCCCCGTTGGCGAGTCTGCACACGCACGACTGTTCCAATTTTTACAGTGCAACTTGCTCTTGGAGGGTTGGTTCCTCCACCCGTATCGTCTCAACCGAAGATTGCACTCAGTGTATGGTGCGCAGACGTGGGTATGTGTTTCTTTTTGATCTGTCATGACTCTTCCACAGCGAAAACGCAGTTTTCACTCTACGACCACTCCCTCCATTTGTGCCATGGGGAGAATCATCTTAAATTCTAATTAAAAATTCGATTAAGTTGTGGCTGCCATATGTTCCATTCTGAAGGTACAGAAAAGAGGCACGCCGCGCCCTTTGCGGGTTCTGCACGTGTATGTGCGTGGGGGGATTCCCTGAAGAGGGGTGGTCGCTTCCCCGATTCGCTGCCTCACCGATTCGCTGCCTCACCGATTTGCTGCTTCCCCGATTTGCTGCCTGGCCGCCCCCCCCTTCAGTACTCACCAATCTTGGGGGCCAGGAAAAAGGTGAGATGCGAGATGTCCTGCAGGTCCGTCAGGGATTGGTTGAAGTTAAATCTGACGGCCACGGGAATGTTTGGCGACAGCGAAATGTACACCTCGTCCGAAATAGAAGAAGCTCGAGAAAACATAACCAGATATCTCGTGGCAAATTCTTGAGAAACCGACTTAGAGCAATTGATAGAAATATCAGTCATGTCATTTGTAAAGTGTTTAGTAACTTTTATATCCGCCCCAGTGGTGCTTAACACCATGGTGTCTTTCTTCATGGAAATAGAAACATTGTCTCCTATAGAGTTTAAATATTTTGTAAACTCCTGAAATTTTTTCGACTTCATGGTACACTGGCAATGGTACTCTGACTGTGGTATCTCCAAATGCTCCTTCGGCGTGTTAATCAATTTGACTTGTATTTCGAGGGAGTCCTCTGCGTTGGACTGCTCCTCTTCGTCGATTATGCCGATGTTCAGCACCGCGTCATTGTCGTTATCCTCCTTGAAGAGGAACACTGTTGACTTTTCCTTTATCACGGACAAGATCTTCAGCATGAAGTTGATGCTGATGCCGAGCACGCAGTTTCTGTCACACCTGTGGAGGGGAAGCGGGTAGAGTTATGCGACGGTGTATATGCTGCGGAGCTGCCGCGTTGGAAAAGAAAAAATTATGAACGAGTCAGGCAAAATAGGGACAAGCCAAAGGTGAACAAATTAGCTAAAATGGTGTGCAAAAAAAAAAAAAAAAAAAATATATATATATATGTATATATAAAATCCCACGTGAAGGAGGGAGAACATTTCTCCACGTTGCAAACCTGTAGTGCTGGAAAAAATTCGACATGATGTTGAGATCCACCAGAGCCACATGGCTACAATCCATCGACTGCATCTTTATTCCATTTTCATCACACTCGAGGTTCACTTCCGTGCAGATATCCTTTAACGTTTCGAACAGCTTTTTGAAAAACTGCCCATTAATTCGGCACTCAAACATGTTGGCGGGGTGGAAGTGTGTATAGGTGGGGGTCTTCCCGAGTACTATCTGCTATCCTATAGTCTATACTACCGTCTATGCTACCGGCTATCTTGCCGCCTACCCTCGAGACGCGCATACGCTGTGCAAGTCTTCTCTCCCGTGAAGCCAAAAGCTGTTAACTCAGCAGGTCATAATGCTGGCCGAGCAACGTGGCTAACTGTGGCGTGTGTGGTATGTGCGGTGAGGAAAATCCACTCCAGTATCTTTATCGCAAAGAAAGGAGATACGATACTGGTGAAATCTTCGAACAGGGCAACCAAAAAAGGAAAAAAAAAAAAGAATTGCGCCACGAAATTGCTTTTATCTCTCAAGAAAATGGGATAATGCCATATAATGGGAAAGCACACAAATCAGCAGCAGAGGGGATCTTTCTTTTTTTTTTTTTTTTGGAACAGGGAGAGAGGCTGAACGTCTCATGAATCGTGTCAATAGTTTCGCTAAACCTGTTTGTGGAATCACCGTGCGGGATTGCTTATTATGAAAAAAAAAAAAGAAGAAATTCTTCGAGGATGGAAAAAACACACATGTGAATTGAGTAAGCCTTTATCTCGCAATGGGGATGGAGCGGTAAAAAAAAAAAAATCCCTCGGTGTTTCTTTCCTTCGCTAATGCACTAGTGCGTACTTGTGCGTACAGGGGAAAGGGCCTGGCTAATAACGTCATAGGGGAGTCGGCACGGTGTGCCCGGGCAATCTCTAGAAAGCGTCCTCTCCCATTAGTGCTCCAGCAGTGGTACTTCTTCGCGATGCTTTGCAAGGAGTGCCTCCCCCTCTTCGCTCCCCACGACGCTTACACACACAAATTGGGGGAACGCAGTGTGAACGATGTCTAAAGGGAAGTGAATCCAGTTTTGACACATCGGAGTTGCGAGTGGGAATTGGGAAGAAAAAAAAATATATATCTAACATGTAACATGTGGCGTGTAACATATAATGACGCCGCAAAACTGGAGACTAAGAGAAGGGGACCCATTTGGAGGAGAAAAATGAAGGGACATGGAAATGTCTCCAGAGTGAGCAATGAGTTGGCGCGAGTGATACACTAAATATGCAGTAACACTTCCGTCATTTGTTTGCATAGTTTGGGGCCCCTCCAACACGAGAGAGTAATTTAACGCAAAAGGGGAGTCTTTCCAGGGGGTGACAAAATGGGAAACACACGAACCTTTCTCGTTTGCATGTCAAGCGAGTGGTTAGTTAACCCCTCCCCCGTGACAGGGCGAGCTTCGCACGTTGAGTTATGCTGGGAGAGCATTAAACGGAGGGGGTCTAATGGATGGGTTACTCCCTCATTGGTCGATAAAACTGTTTCGTTTCTTTTCTCCCTCGGCCATGTCGCTTGGTACATGGGCAAAGCGATCGATCGAGCTAACTAGAGGGAGCGTGTGTCTATATAAGCATATACCTTTTTTCTTTCTCTTTTTTTGTTGTTTTCTCAATAACCACTCCCCCGTTCGGAAGCAGCCAGCCCGCTCTCGTCAAAAGGGGAACTCAACTCTGCTTTTACAAAAGGGTACACAAACGGGGAACCCTTTGCAGTGGCGGAACTGATTTGCCATTGGGGCGGCCCCCCTCCTGATTCCCGCGCAGTAAAAAGGAGTAGCAGTGTAGGGGACACTACCAACTGGTCTGCAACTGACGGGGCTGCTTAAATCTATCCTGCAGCGTCGGGGACAACTCCAGATGGGACATAACGAGCGAGAAGGAGAAGTGGCCGCGCCAAAGTGGACAGCCGAGCGGGTGACGCCCCCACCCCCCCCAGCGTTAACGAAAATGGGAGTGTAAAACCGCTTAACATTGTGACTGTGTGTTGATGACGGGGTGGTCCTTTACAAACGAGGAAGGCATCTCCCATCGGTATGCCTTCGCCAAGTGATGGCAGACCTAACTCTATTTGTTGTGTTCATTCCACGTTGCGCAATTCGTTATTCATTTCAACATCGCGGAGAATGCCTCTCCAAAAAGAAGAAAAAAAAAAAAAATACTTACAATTATTAGAAGTTGTATGCCCGCAGAATGATCCTGACTGCTTAGCAAAAAAAAAATCCCTTATTGGGTATGCAAACGAATGGAGATAAAAAAAAAAAAGACTCCCACTTTTCCCATTCATTTGGTTCACTTCGTGCCGAATTGGCAATCCGAGTAAGAACGGCGTGGAGTGACCCGAGGGGAAATTAAAAAAAAAAAAAAATAACGCGTCGTCGAAGTAATATGAACAGATTGGCTACATTATTCCGAAAGAAGAAACGAAAACAACGGTACGACGGTACTTCTCCGAGGAAAAATATAGTACGATTTCCCCGCTGCAAAAGGTGGGCTATTATATAACGCCGCCCCGACAGTTCCTCTCCCCCACATTGCGTGCCTCAATATTTTTGCGAACCTTCGCGGGGTATCTTTTTTTTCCAAAAAGGGAACAACACAGCAAAGAAAAAGATCATGTTTCGTTCGAAAGAAAAAAATAAAATAAAAAAGTGAGGCATCGAAAAAATTAAGGTGACCATCCAAGTGATGCGCAGACGTTCATACAAACCGCGTAAGGATAAGAACAGCGACATAATTACGAGGGATATTGTACAATTGTTTGGAGAATACAGTTTAGCCACAAAGGCTGGGGTCTCTTCCTTCACGAATTCGCTAGCCTATAAAGTACAGATTGGTGGCTTGAAAGGCGGAACGGATCAGCGGAAACGGCGAACTAATTTTGTTCAGCTTTTTTTTTTTTTTTCTTTCACGCCCGCGATTGGACGCTCCTAAATTCAAAGCATCACCGCAGAGCGTAAGAATGAAATTCAACAAGAGGAAGAAATCCTTCAAAATAAAGAAGAAAAGCTATGGAGGTAGGCAGGAGCAGGGGTACAACTCCGAGATAGAGTCCGACGACATACTGTCCTCGGAGGCATCGGAAAGTGGAAACCAGAGAACGAAGCTGGGGAAGACGAAAAAACGCCACCTCGCATCGGTTGAGGGACAGATCACGGATGAAGACGCAACAGATGGCGATGCAAGTGACCTCGATGAGGACGGCAGCAGTGGGGACGAAAACGGAAACGCCTTCAATAACCCGGAAGAGCGGAAAATACACCTGGCCAAAAAGTACCTCAGAGATATGGGTATACAAAGCAGCAATGATGACAAGTCCCAAAGTGATTCCCCTGAGAACAGTGATGAGGAAGACAAGTCGGATTCGAATTTTAGCGACAACCGTTATTCCCACGGAAATGACGAGCAGAGGGAACAAATCAGCAAACTGATGATGCAAAGGGAGAGGCAAAGAAGCAGGAAAGCGCTCCTAAATTTGGGAAATAAAATCAGAATTGTGCATGACGAGAAATTGGCTGCTTCCAAAGGGATTGCCAAGAAGGGGCCACCTTGCATGAACCGTTCAGGTGGAAGCGGCGAAAGCGGTGAAAGCTGTCAAAGCGGTCAAAACGGTCAGAGCAGTCAAAGCGGCCAAACTAACCTACCTGCTGAACATGCTTTCTTTTTCCGCGGACACAAAAAGAGCGTCACGTGCGTTGCTTGCCCAGATTTTAACCTTTCCTTCTTTGACTACTACGAGTACGATGTGGGAACTGCCGAGTGTGATAAGAGCGACGTGTACGCAGGGTACAACAGCGGGAAGTTCTACAAAGAGGATAATCCCAGGAACTGGGCGCAGGAAAGCAATCCCTTTGGAGGCGACCCGTTTGGAGACAACGCCAAACACGCCATGGAGGCGAAGGTCTTCCCCAATGTTTCCCTCAGCACGGCCTACACGGGGGGTAAAGACGCCTGCATCATCGAGTGGGACATAGCTAGAGGAGAGAAGGTTCACATTTATAAAGGAAACCCCAGCGCCTTCCAGCACTTAGGAAGGAGCAACGGAATAAGCCATTTCAAGACCGTAATGGATTTGTATTGTCACAAATTTAATTCCTTCTTCATATCTGTTGGGGCGGACAATTTAATAAGCACATGGGACAACCGAGTGAGAAAAACGTGTACCCATTCTGTTGTTGGACACAAAAATGTCATTAGCGCAATTGTTGGGAGCAATGAAAACACGGATGAGTTAAACATGGAATACAACTTCTTCACGTCTTCCTACGATAAGTCGATTAAATTATGGGACTTGCGATTTTTGGACAAATGTATTAATACTTATCTGGGACATACCAACAACATTTTAAGCATGACTTCTTTAAGCCAAAATAAATTAATTACCAGTTCGAGTGATTATACTCTCCGTTTTTGGAACACCAAAAATGATAACCATATTTTGTTTAACTTAAGTTACGAAATTGTGGAGTCCTGCTGTTCCCTTAACAATAGGGTCTTTATCGCGGGGACGTTTTCTGGCCATATTTACATTTTTTCCTCTTCTTATAAGAAGCCCATTTGTATTTGCAAAAATGCACACAGTTCGTACGCAGTGACGGCGCTTGTTAGCATCCCGTTCACGGACATTTTCATTTCTGGGTCGTACGATGGTTACGTAAACTTTTGGCAGTACAAGAGCCTTAGCAAAACGTCGGCTACCATGCGGAAGATCCTGGCCGTTCCGGTGGATGGCGCGGTAAGCAAGCTTTCCTTCTCGCCCAACTATGCGTATCTGTTTGCCGCCGTCGGGGACGAGATGAAGCATGGCAAGTGGACACGCACGCGCAGCAGGAACGGGCTGGCCGTCATTCCGCTGCGCTTCCTGCGATGAGTGGCGAGTGCTGCAAGGTGTGCGCGGAGCGGTCTGTTCGGTAATTCCTTTGTGACACCTTTGGGATTCTTTTACCCAAGTTACCTCGTCCTTTGTCACCCGAATGTTTTGTTTTTCACCTGACCGTTTTGTTTTTCACCTGACCGTTTTTTTTTTTTTTTTTTTTTTTTGTCTGACCTTTTGCACACGAATGGCTAGCTGCGTGTGCAACTTTGACAGTCAATTCTCCTCCAGTTTTTAAAAACAGATTTGTTTTATCGCCACAGTTGCTTCGCCCGTTCGTAGGTTTTACTCCCCCGGCGATGGACAACCGAATGGTTAAGTCTATCATGGGGGCAACGTATGCCTCAGTGTATCTCTTTCTGTCTTTCGCCTTTCCTCTTTTCTTTCCTCTTTCCTTTTCCTGTTCCCAATTTGTGTGTACCACTATTCCATCATTCCCGCGTCCATCGCGTTGAGAGGTGTCCCACTTCGCAGTACGCCACGCTGTTGTCACATGAATCTTTAATTTCCTTGTAGGAAGTGCTACATTTAGCAGTTTTAACAACTTCGAGAGGCAGTGTAGAGTTTGCTCGGTTTATCATCCCCTGCGCCTGGGGTTAACTTGGATGGCTGCTCTACAAAGTTGTTGTCTTTACGTTTCATCGGTATCCCCTGAGAACAACCTTGCGAAAGTTTCAACATGCAAGTTGTGCATCTCACCATTTGACTTGCCCCAATGCGGGGAGGGAACAAAAACAGACGGGAGTTTTCGCGAAACGTGGGACACCTTTTTTCAACACACGGGTACCATACTCCTTTGTGCAATGTGACGTGGAAAGTTGATCGTGCCCTTTACTCGCTACCTTTGTGTACACATCGATAGGTTGTGTTTTGCGTGGGGGGTTCTCGCTTGGCCACCTGGTCACCTTTTCACCGCATGTGATACTGGCGTATCTCTTCACGTGGGGTGTATGTCCAAGGGGCATAGCTTGTGGGGCTTTGTTCAGGAGGAGAGCATATGCCCCCTTTTTCCTTCAGTTGCATGTGAAGGCCCTCGGGGGGGAAAAGAAACTTGGGGGGACTGCCGCTAATTCCTCGCTTTGTCCGTTCTCAATTCGATCGTTTCTGCGTCAGTGCAGGGGTTTCTTTACATGCATTTCTTGCGCCATCGTGGCCCTATTTTTTGTGTGTTTTTCCATGTGGGGCAAGCCCCGTCTTCTTGCGCCGCACTGAGTTAAGTACATCCTTTGGCGCCCCGAACTAAAGTGCCGCCTCCGCCGAGATTGGAAGCACCTGAACAAGGTGCAACTTTGCAAACCATCCAATGAGGGAAAATTATCGCTTCAACGAAATCTCCATATGTGACGAAGCGCGCAAGGAACACGGCGCCCTTGGTAGGCAGCCTTTTTTTGCGCGTACGGTAACCTTTCGCTGAATTTTTTTTTTTTTTTTTTTCTCCGTAATGTTTTTTCGCGCTACCATACCATTGGTATGAAAGGGCGATGCGAAGTAATGTCATCAGCGCTATCGGAGCGGAGGCATTTTAACATCTCCTGTACCCTCCACCATGCTACAATTACCCCCCCTATGCGTCATTTTGTTAAAGACCGGATGTATTTTTTTATTTTATTTTATTTTTTCCCCGGAAGTAGATTAGGTAAGCACCCGCTGGCTAACTCAATCCCCTTTTTTTGTGAGAAAATAAAGAAGATTGCATGCACCCTCCCGTGGGGAGCTTCTTTGCACAAGGGAGGCACGCGGCGTAATGCGCAACTGCTCAACAGGGTAATTCCGCCTGAACAGGTAGCATTAGAAGTACGTGTCCCCCTAGTGTGGGAAAACTTCCGGCTGAGGGAGGTAGCACAGTGACGTAGCACAGGCAAGTGGTGCAGCCAAGGCAAACGCAAAGCAGCGGGAGACACAATGAGCAAGAAATATGTGTACTGGGAGAAGCAGGGCAACGACCGGATGTGCGGTCTTCACTGCATAAACGCCATCCTGCAGGTAAGTTGGAGAGCGGCCCAGGGAAAGCGGTCTTGAGAAAGCGACACCCGATGGGGGATCATCCGAAAGGTTCACCCGCCAAGGCGATTCCCACCAAAAGGATCTTCACCAAACCCATCCCCCCCCCACCTCTGCAGGGCCCTCACTACAGCGAAGACGCCCTGGCCGCCATCGGCAGAGAAATCGACGAAAAGGAACGGGAGTTCCTCAAGTCCAGCGCAGGAGCTGGAGGAAGCGGTATGAATGACTTGGTCAGAAGAAACTCATCCAACGTCTTGGACGATGGATTTATAAACATCTCAGTCCTCATTGAATGTCTTAGAAGGAAAAACATTTCCGTGAAAAATACATTCCAAGATGATTTAAAAAAAATCCTTTCAAGTGATCATCAAGACATAGGATACATTTGCAATTTAGAGCAACACTGGTTTGGTATCAGAAAAATACACAACACGTGGTATGTTCTCGACAGCCTAAAGAGTGGCCCCCTCTATATAAAGGACATTAATCTGAAATATTATTTCAATGACATTATTCACAAGTACCATGTGTTTTCTGTTCAGAATATAAATCCTTATGTGTCTTTGCCCAAGGCGGACGTTAACTTTGTGGCGAAGAATCCCAATCAGTTCTATTTCTGTACAAGTCAGATTTCTGAAATATCTGGAGTGTCTTCAAATGGGTTTATAATGGAGGAAAGGGTTCATTCTGGTACCCGTGGTGAGAAGACCTCTTTTTTTCCCTCCAGTGGGAACGACAAAGCTAACACATTTAAGTGGCCGGAGGGTGGAGGGCGGAAGTTGAATGACCAGGGGGGGAACGATCTGACCACTGCACACGACGCGGACGATGAGTTGCAGATGGCGCTGCGGCTCTCCATGCAGGAGTACGTTAAGGTGGGTCAACGGAGAGTCAGCGGGGAGTCAGCCGGGAGTCAGCGGGGAATCCACGCAGATCCCATCCGTGTAAAAGTCTCCACGTGATGCACTTTGCATGCCGGCGAGTTTATCATTCTTCACAGTGCGCGCATGTGGATGTAACTCGACATGTGTATAGGCTAATGCGTCGCCACCTGAATGAAATGCACTTCCTGATTCACCCCCTCCCCCCTTCTTTTTCTCCTGCGCAGAATTTGCCCCCACCAGCAGAAGAAGAACCCACGGGGGGAAGCTGCATCAACTTTATGGTTAAACTTTCGAATGGGAAGATCCACAGGCGGTTCTGCGTCACGAAGACGTTGGCGGTGGGGCGATGGAGCGGTGGAGTGATGAAGAGATGGCCTTCGCGTTTGTGCATTTCGTTTCCACATTGATCACATATCTAGGGATATAATTTGGTACCCATTTCTCTTCCCCTCGTTAATGTTTTTCCCTCCCCCCAGGACGTCTTCTACTGGATTGAGTACGAGTCGGTAAACAGGCCGGAGTTCGGCCCCTCTCTTCTCCTCAGGAGCAGCTACAACCTTTACCAAATATATCCGCGGTGAGTGCATGAGGGGAGGAGGCCCTTAAGCGAAGGTGCAAGTAGTGCAGCGTTTCCCGTCCTACACGCCGAGTGAGCAGACGCGCATATACATTTCACGCGTATATACCTCACGCGTATACATTTCACGCATTTATATTTTACGCATATATATTTTACGCATACATATTTGCTGTTCCCCCTTCGGCCATTCGCAGGAGGAAGTTTTGCAAATACCAGAATGGGACCATAGAGCTGCAAACGGGGGACAAGGTAACGACAGAGGGGCGCATGTGTGGCAGTGGCCCCGAGCACACACCCCTTAGGGTTATACATAAGCACATAGGTATAATACTCGCGTGCATGCCAATCGATGTGAATTCTGTTGTGCCTCCCCGCAGGTCCAACAGGTCCAGGACACTCCCCTGGTGGATTTGAAGTTCGAGAAGGAGGAGACGTTCATGTTGTCTTAGGGTGACCAAGCGGGAAGAAGAAAAAAATAAAAATAACATAAATAAATAATAAATCCAAAGGGGGAGAAAACCCTTCTGATTGCACAGTGGATGATGACGACTAACGAAGGGAATGACGTTGCCGGTCCATTTGCGCCCACTTATCCTTTTTTTTTTTCTTTCCCCATTTTTTTGTGTACATTTAGCGTTTCGCATTTTGTTTGTTCTTCACTCCCTTCCCATTCGTCTTCGAGAGCCAATTGATCCCCCAGTTATACACGCACACGACACACCCACACCGCCTTTCAGTTTCTTTCAATTCAATTCGCCAATTTTTTTTTAAGCTCAACTGTTAAGTAGGATTTGTGGGCCCAAAGAGTTGTCTCCTTTCCATCCAGCCTCGCCGTTATGGTCTGCTTGACCAGCGGCCCCTTTTTAAGAACTGATTCCTTGACCAAATGGAGGATTTTTTTTTTCACGGGGTGATATCGATGTATCGTTCGTGATACGCGTTGCGTGGATAGAGACCGACAAGGCCACATGCAGACAGAGTGTCCAGGATACGCGCAATGTAGGTCGCCTTCCTCTCATGTCATAAGGGAAGGGGCATATGTCCCTATCGTTGCATCCCCGTAGCGACGAATCAGTAGGTCTGGATCACCTCTTTTTATCGTTCCTTGCAATGTTCTATGGTTAAAAAAGAAAGAAAAAAAGAAAGGGGTCACTGCGCAAATCATGTGGACACGTCGTGCTTCGGAGAAAGGCTTACAATTGGGGCGCATGCGAGGCGCAGAGGTCGCCGCAGCTCCCGTCAAAACTTTACTTCGCTCTACATATATACAGGTGCGCAACAAGGGGTGCCGGTCACACTTCACAAGAGCAGTTAAAAATGGACACTTCAAATGGACACTTCAAATGAGCACTCCGCATGAACAGTTCAAATGAACACTTTACAGGAACACATCACATGAACACTTCAGATGAACACTTCACACATAGGCACTTCAGATGTACGCTTCACAGGAGCGCTTCACACATAGCCACTTCAGTGCAACCTTTTAAATGCTTGCTCATGTATGGTACAAAAATTCCGGCGTGTTGACGGGGGGGAAAGACCTTCACGTGCCCACTTTTTTTTTTTTTCTTTTTATCTTTCGCTTGCCCGATTTCGTGTGGTCTGGTGTCCCTCCACAACTTTGAATGCTCCCCCGGTAAACACACTTCGGTTTGAAGCCATCTCTTTGGGGAAGAGAGGCAACGATCCTTGTGAAACTAATTGCCCATAATATTTTGTTCGAAGATTTTTACGATGCTGGGTTTGTTTTCTTTGGGGGGTACCTTGGAATCCTTGGCTTGGCTGTCATTCTCACCTTTGTTGTTCTTCGGTTGGGTTAGTCCTCCCCCTCCAGTGGCCTGTCTGTTGTCCTCTCCGTTTGCTTGTTTGTCTCGCTGCTCGTCGCTGTCCTCCCTTCCCGCCTCGTTGCCCTTTATGTTTCCCGTTTGGACTATCTGAATAGCGTCTGTCTCGTACGTCGTCTCTACTTTGCTGTCATTCGCCGCTTCCCCGTTTGGCTGTGCTTTTTTGTCGCTCCTTACTGGTTGCTCTATGGCGAGGTATATCTGCGGGTAGCGCAGCTCCCAGGGGTAGAAAAAGAAGCCCCTTTCAAACTCGTCATTTATGCTGTTCAGATTTTTGACGATATCTAGGAGAGTTTTAACCCCATAGGCAGCATTGGCAAGTCCTGCTCCTCCTAGGAAGAGTAAGTTCGTCATAAGACTCACCCTCTTTAGCGAAGTTCTGTTTTCTTCCTCCTCATACTGGTCACTAAGGTAGGAGGCCTTTATAACTCGTTTGGGGCTCCTTGGAGAATCCCCTAAAAATTCATGGTACTTTCTATTTATATAATCTTCCTTTGATAAGTTCATGTAGGGGTAGGACAAAATATGGGTGATGCTCATGCCAAGGTAGGCTGAAAGGAGCAATGCATTCGCTAAGGTAAGTTTGTTTGTCTTCCCCCAATTGGGGCAGTTCAATTTAAGAGTGCCATTGTTTCCATCCTTGTTTGCTGTCTTCTCTAGCTCGCAAAATTTCCCTTTTTTACATTCCCTTACAGCTAAATGGAAATCGTACACTTGGGAAAAGGACGTAAGAGGGATTGGCCAGATGAAGGTCTTTTCATTGTTCAGTAAAACGTTTACTTCGTCGATTATGGTGAGCTGGAATATTCTTCCAAATTTGGAGAGTGGGCATCGATAGAAGTCTATGCTTACTCGTACCTTCCATGGGCCTGACATGAACTGGACCGGTTTCACTGTCTTTGGAACGAGCAGAGCATTTGTGTCTTTCTTTGTGCATACGATGTAGCCTTCGAAATTGGGGGGCAATGCGTGAGAGGACAATCCGTTGAAGGAGGGCAATCCGTTGAAGGAGGGAAATCCGTTGAAGGAGTTCCATCCGCGCAGGGAGGGCAACCTTAATCCCGTTACAAGTGCGGTTCCCTCCCCCTGATGTTTCTGCAATCTCATCTGCATTAACGGGATTCTGGTGAGCAGATTCGCATTGGGGGCAACCTTCTTACTTTGCACTGTTAACTCATGATAGGACGCATCGCCCGTGTCCCCTAGCAACTTCTGTTTCACCACAGCCACTTCGAGAATCTGATTGTTGGAGTTGCAAAGAACCTTGTTATCTTCGATACGTAGGTCGATTTGTTGGAACCTCTCCCCTTGGAGTAGCGACAAGTCTACCCATCCGTTCGAATCAAACTTTTTCTTGCTTGCAATGTAGTTTATTAATTTGTTCCTTAACTTTTGCAAGAGGTTTTCTTCTTTTTTTGGCGCGTTTTTTTCTCTTCCAATTGTTGGTGCCAGACACAGCAGGGCGCACACGAGGAGGAAGGTTGCCACTCGTGCGGAGGGCACCATTTTTACGCATGGGGAGAGGGCGTAGGCTTTCTTTCCTGGGAACACCTCCTTCGACGAAGAGATGGATGCCTGCTCGGGAGCATGCAGAGGTTTATGCAGTACCGTATGCAGAGGTGTATACAGTCCCGTATGTAGAGGCTTAGGCAGTTGGGTACTTCCTTATGTGTACCTCTTTGCGGACTGTTGTAACCACGCGGCGATGGAGTATTGCTGACGGCGGCTTCTATTTATTGATTTATTATGTAAAAGAAAGAGTGGAAAAAAAAAAACGCCTACAAAGCAACAAAATCAAAATTGATAAAATCAGAGAAACAAAACAATAAAGACTTGTGATGGTAGATCAATGCGGAAGATCGAAATGAAATGTTTAACATAAAAGGGAAGGTGGCAAGTTAAAAGGGGATTCAATTGTTAATTTAAAAAGGGGAGATTAAAAAATGTTCTTGAAATTGTCGATGGAAACAAAATGGAGTGGTTGCCGAGGAGCCGATAAGCAAATGGGCAGGCAAACCGCGATGGGGAGACTTCTGAGAGAAACCGCTGCGCAAGGCCACTACGTAGAGCCACGTGCAGTGGACGGCATGCAGGGGGGGATCCCAACAAGCGGAACGACTCCTGCTGCCAGATTTTCGCTAAAAGGGATGCACAATTGTCGCTGCCAGAGTTGGAAACAGCTTTTCCTTTAAGGAATCTCTCTTCAACGAAAGGCTCATTTTTTAAAAGACCACTTTTTAAGAGACCACTTTTTAAGAGACCACTTTTTAAGCGACCACTTCTACACAAACCTCGAAGTGGTCAGATCGGAATAACGGGGGGAAAAAAACAAAAAAGGCTTCCGGCGTATGGAGACTTCTATCTTAGTGGACTCATAAGAGCACCCCCCAAAAGGTGCATACGAAAGGTGTATACCCAGCGTCCCAAATGCGCAAGCGGGATGGTTACACGTGCACTTAGTGACATGCACTTATGCACATACACTCACTTTTGCGCATGTCCCCACTTGCATACATGCAAATAAGTACACAAAATAATTTATCGAAAAAGTGCACTTGAAAAAGTACGACGAGGGGCGAATTAGGGATGATTCTTTTTTTTTTTTTTTTTTTCCCATTTTCCATCTTTAAACCGATCTTTAACCCCATTGGGGGATTTTTTCAATCTGTGTTGTAAAAAAGATATATGCCCAAAACAAATGCATGCATTCGGGAATATTTGCTCATTGGACGTAGGGCACTTCGACCATACGCAGGCTTTAAAAAGTGACGCAAGGGGAAGCGCACCGGGGGGGTTTTGCTTAAATGGAGTAATCGGGTTTACGAGCAAACACAGGCCACACCTCTTTCTCGCCTTATGCACGACCACGGGGAAGAAATATGCCTTCATTTTTCCCTCGCTCCCCGACTCGGTCATTACTCAGAAATGTTCTCGGTCGGGCATTCTCTAACAGTGTAAGTGCCCTGCAGTGCAATTAACCTTTTTTGCTGTCACGATAAATGGGCCAAAAAGGGCGACGCACCAATCTGTATAATTTATAGGCATAAAACACTAGAGCGAAAAAATGACAAGAATGAAGCAGGCGTGATGGATCATGCAGACGCAAAATAAAAACAACTTCAACGAATGCGAGAGGACGAAGGGTGCTACAGCTTGGGGTCAATCAAAAGGAGTGAAATCACAAGCATTTAGGTTTATTTATCTTTTTTTTTTTTTTTCTTCTTCACACCCCCCTGAGGACGCGAATATTATGTGACCTAGGGGATCCCCATTTCTGGGTGCACTTTTAAGGAAAAGGCAAAAATTATTGACAAAGCGAACACGTTAATGACGAAGTTCGCATGCAAACAACTTCACATTTGTACATTTTCCTTATAGCTGCCGCGCGAGAGAGCGAACCACCTTTCGTAAGCGCGGTTTTTATTCCCTTCCTAGTTCAAAACGACATTTTATCTCGAAAGGGTTAAAAAGAACTTCAAGGTGAAACGAGGACCAACTCGCATAATCGAAACTACCTTATTAAATTATCAAAATTCCGCTTTTTTTATTTTAACAAGATGAAATACAGCAAGGGTGGTAGAAACTCATGCCGCATTCGTTTGTCTGTGTGCAAAAGGTCAAATTGTATGACCTGTTCAGGTGAAAATGGAGAAAAAAAAACATTCCAACAAGGGAGAGGAAAACGAATTGTAATGGCTAGCAAGCTAGCTAAAAAATATTGAACTTCTTAAAAACAAACTTTACTCGTATGAAAAAAAACACTTTCCCCGCGGACGTCTCTAAACGGGAGAAACACAGAAACGAACACAGGATCAAAAACGGAGTGGTAGACAAGGCGGATTGGTTCTGCCAAACGGGACTGTCCCTAACGTGGCCTGTAAAAAAACGCCTGAACGGTTAATAAAACAGAAGGAAAAAAAAAAAAATGTCCTCTTTGTGTACACATCCAGTGTGTGAATATTTCAACCCCAACGGGAAAGCCCCTACCCATTGTTGAGTTGTCGTATGAGTAGGCCCCTTCCCAATCTGTCACGCCTTTTTCAAATAGTTCTCCATCAAACCGAGAAACGTGTCGTAGTCAATGTCTTTGCCCGAATTGGCCAGGTCAAAATTGAATTTACTCAAGCTCAATGATGAGTCCTCTGTGGCGGTGTTTCTTTTGCAGAGATCTATGAACTTCCCTAACTCAGTTTTTCCAATTTTTCCCTTGGACTCGATGCAACTGAACAGGTCCTTAAAAATGGTCTGCAAGTCATGCTTCTTTAATTGTCTGTTTATGAGTATATGCAAAATGGAGGGTGTCAACACGAAATTCTCCACGTAATTGGGCCTATTCCACTGTATGCTTTCTTTCACATTTCTTATCAAGTCACGCACATCTTCATGGCTCAAATTTTGAGAAAGGATTTTGTTAAAAATTGAGTTAACATCCTCTTCGCACAGTTCTCCGTCGTCATTTTTTGTGAAATACGCGAGTGCACGAATCAGGCACTGCACGTCGATTTCCATGTTTGATGCTTCGTTTTACGCATTACGTTGTGCAAAATATGGGGGCAAAGTCTCGGCGCACGCTATCTGTGTCTGGTATCCACGCTTTGTCTTCTTTGTGGACAGGCGGAGGTTCCCTCTCCCCTTCCCCCCAACGAGAATACTTAAGCGGGGGGAACTGGAAAGATGTTAAATTGATCGAACCAAATTTAATAGGACCTCCATGCCGTATCCCACTGACATCCCTTCATCGGTCAGCAGTCTGTTTGTTCTGTACACCCCTTGCAGTGAAAAATGAGGGGATACTCGTTTTGCCCTGTTCAACGTGCGTTTAACTTTTTTTTTTTTTTTTCCATGCCTTCCAGGGTATAGGATGGAAAGAAAATGAGCGAGAAATTAAATGGCCCCCTTTAAATGCAAACCCAGTTGCTGTTCCTTTTGGTTAATCTTTTTCTTATATTTTTTTACGAGCTAAAATGGGTGTGGCGAAATGATCGGAGGGATGTGCCCCGTGGCGCGCGCAAAAAGAAAAAAAAAAAAAAAACACCAACCGTTGGCTGCAACCTTAACGGATATGTTACCTCCCGCGTGGCAAAACAGGACAGACAAAAGGGAACAAAATGTCTGGCGCACAAGGGTACCCTTGCCCATTCGCCAGACTAGCGGGACAGCACAATAACTACTGCTGAGTTGGAAGCGCCTTAAAATGACCTCTTCAGAAGTTCGAAGAAAAATCGTATGAACGTTCAGGTGACTATTATTTTGAGGAGAAAGCCGAAGTTGGCCCCTTCACATATAGGAAAGTGCCCCAGGCGGGGAGGCTGGCGGTTTGACCCCTCCCGCCTTTCCATTTCTTTCGTGTCAATTGTAAGTTTTTAAAAAAGGGGTGTCTATGTATTTACACGGGGGACACACGTACACATGGACAGGTAATACACTCCTCCATAGATGCGTGCGCATTTGTACACATAATGCTTCTTACACCCCCTGCCGCTACCCCACTTGGGCATCACCTCGTGCCGGCAATTTCGCGGAGCTCCGCTGGGACGGCCTGGTTGGCCTTGCTGAGCAATTTAACCAAGTCCCTGGCGAATCGACCCTTCTGCGGCACATAGTAATCGTAGGGGAAGAACAAAATGGCCTTCCCCTTCTGCCCAGCCCTGCCAGTGCGGCCAATTCGATGAATATAATCTTCGATAGTATTGGGCAGGTCATAATTAACAACAATCGAAATGTTTTTAATGTCCAGCCCTCTTGAAGCGACATCAGTTGCAACTAAAATGTTGCAACGGTCACTTCTGTAGTTGTTTAGGATCCTGTCTCTCTCCCTCTGTTCTTTATCTCCATGAATGGCCAGCGCATTGTACTGATGATAGCGAAGCTCTTTGCACAAATTGTCGCAATTCCTTTTCGTATCACAGAAAATTAGAATTTTATTTCCCTCATAGTTCTGCTTCAGCCAGTCAAGTAGCTTTTTCTTCAAATCGATAGACGAACTAACAATCACACTCTGTTGTATATTTTTATTTGCAGTTAATTCGCTTTTTCCAATTTGTACTTTCACTGGATCGAACGATGAGAAGTCGTATGCCAGCTTCCTCACCTGTTCAGGCCAAGTGGCTGTAAAGAATAGCAGCTGTTTGTTTTTATTAACTTGAGTCATCACCTTTTTTAGTTGTTTTTCAAATCCCATGTCGAGCAGTCTATCCGCTTCGTCAATAACAACATAGATGCATTTCAACAAATGAATCACTCCGTTTTCGAGAAAATCAAGAAGTCTTCCCGGGGTGGCAACTACGATATCGGCCCCTTTCTTTAAGTTACTAATTTGTCCGTATTTTGGGACTCCTCCATAAACAGCAACACTTCTAATGTTCAGCTCTTTTTCGAATATTTTTATTTCGTCCACTACCTGCATGCAGAGCTCTCTGGTGGGTAGGAGGATGAGCCCGTAGACAGTTCGATCCCCCTCAGGGGCGTACCTATCGCGTGGAGTAGCAGCTTGTGTAGCAGTTTGCGTATCAGCTTGTGTAGCAGATTCCGTACCACCTTGGGTTGCCTCACGAGGGAGTTCCCTCTTCTCATTTCCCACCTGGGTGGACTCCTCACCGATGGCCGCTTCCCCCTGCTGCCACTCGCTCTCTCGCTCCGCCTGACGTTCCCTCTGCTTCAAGATGTGCATAAGGCAGGGCAGAGCGAAAGCCAAGGTCTTCCCGCTGCCCGTCTCGGCTACGCCTATTAGGTCCTTTCCCGAGAGTGCGATAGGCCAGGTAACCTTCTGAATAGCTGTCGGTTCTTTAAACTTTGCATTCAGATGGCTCACTATCGCATCGTGGAAGTTCACATCGGAGAAGTTTCTAGCTAAATTATTTAGTACAGCTGATTCTTTGTTCACGTAAATGTTCATTCTCTTCAGTTCTGCATCTAACTGTTCAGATGAAATGTGTTCCTTTCTTTCGCCAAAACTTTCAAGCAGGTTCTGCCTCTGCACCTTTGCATCTACCTTGCTCCATTCGATGTCTTTTAGATTCTCTCCAAGTTGAGCATATCTATCCTGATTGTTTAGACTTCTCGAGTAGGATGTTCTACTGGAGGGCGATGGTCTCCTCGCGTACTCATCTCCTTCCTCCACGTCGTCATACCTCGATGCGGATTGGTACTTGTGTCCTCTCCCGCTCATGACATGGCTTTGTCTGTTCTTTCCTCTGTCATGGTTATTAAACGTGCCTTCCCTACGTCTGTAGTTCACGAATCCATTTTCTCCATCATCCTTCCCTCGCCCATCATGTCGGTCAAATTGGGAATATTCTTCAAAGTCTTCTTCCCCCAGGGGGGGAGCCTGATTCCCCTGTTGGGTTACCCCATCGAGTGGCAGCTCGTTATTGTAACTGTCTAGTACGTCCTTGTCGTGGGTAGCGAATTGATCCGTGGAGGTATCAAATTCATCCGTGTGGGCGCCCACCGCGCTCTTGTGTAGCTCCTCCCGCACGTGAGAATTTTTCACGTTACTCTCTATAAAAACTGTCCTCTTCGACGCGTTGGCGGTTACCTGCCCGTTCTTATTATTTTGGCCTACCACACCCGACCCGAACTTTGATTTCGATCCGGCATTTATGAAGAGGAATTTTTTCGACACGAGGGGCACCCTCCCACTGGCCCGGCAACTGACGCACTTGAGCCCCAGTACGCCTTTCATGTATGCAGCAAAGACGATGATAAACGTGCAGAGGGTCCAGATGTAGGGGGCCCCAATTGTGCGATACTTCTTTTATGCAGAGGGTAGCGGTGGAAGGGGGGGCAGCTAAATAGCCTCTCAGCAGATGTAGTTCCCTATCTGGCTCTCCTGTTGTGGAGTCACTTCTCCGTGTGCCCTCCACGCCGTTTCTTTTCCCTCGACGCTTTTCACTTTGCGATTTGCACTTCGCCCTTTCCGCTTTGCACGTTTTGCAGAAGAGCAGCACGGACGACAACATCGAAAAGGTGAGAGAACACACTTGTAGGTGAGGTGAGCAGTTCACTCGTTAACTTTTGCAGCGACTGATCCCTTGTGCTTAAGATGTATACACGATTTTTGTGGTCCTTAACAATTTCTTCTTCTTTTTTTACTTTTTTTTCTCTTCTTTTTTCTTTTTTCCCATAAATACGCCGGTAAGAACCTTCGAGATGCCTCATTTGAACCAAAAAAGAAAAAAAAAAGATGCGGTGGGCACGCTTCTGCTCTCCAGCGTGGCTAGCGAAGTGGTATTTGTATCGAGAAAGGTATAAAAAAGAGAAAAAAAAAATTCTTTCCCCCTTTGTGACGTCGACTTTTTTTGGTCCTCAAAATCCGGGTGCATGCACAGCGGGGTCGGGCCCCAATTGGGGATTTATTCTCATTTGGCCCTGGGCCACCCGTTGCGGCGAAAGGTGGAACGGTCGACTAGGCGAGCACTCGTGGGTTCACCACGTGTTGGATGTATCGAAATATGCGCAAAAGTACCTAAGAAGGTATGCACTTACATTTTGTGTAAACCTGCTCGACTCCTTCCCTGTGTAGCATGACCAAATTGGATGGCGCCTCCAACGGGTGCCGGGAAAAAAAAAAGCGGCCCCCTTTTTGCCCGGGGCGTTATTTCCCCGATGTGTGTGTCCATTTGGTTGTCACCATGTTGCCACGGCGTAACAACCCTATTGCCATGGCGTAACGACCCCGTTGCTACACACTTTTCGACATGATGTGGATCCTTCTTCCCCCCCCTTCCGTTGAGGAATATTCTCCCTAACACCCTCCTTGGGCATACGGCCCGCCCGCAAGAATCCTTCGCCTACGTGGGAATTGTCTCACGGGCGTTGCGCAACTCTCACCAGGGGGAAGATACTCAAACGGACGAAGATTGAATAACCCATCAGGGGCAATCGTCAGGCATACTAATGACATATACACTTGTTCCATCGTGAAACATGAGAACACGTGAACGCAGATCGGGTGAGTTTTTTTTTCTCGTGGGGTAGCGCCGTATTCGTCAATAGTGCAGTTTGTACGATTTTATGCACAGCGAGAAAGGAAAAAAGAAAAAAAACAAGTTTGCAAAATTTGCAATTACACTAGATTATCATGTATTGTCATGTGACTGATTTGTTTTCCTTTCCATTCTTCTGTTCTCTTTTCCTTTCCGTTCTTCTGTTCTCTTCTTTTTTCTTTTCCTTTCCTTTCTTTTTTTTTTTTTTGAAGTGTAAAAATTGTGCAGGTATTTCCATACAATTGGCGTTTTAATTAATTTTTTTTTTTTTTTCACCTTCGAAAGGTGACAGCATTTATTTCTCTTTGAGGAGATTTGTTCACCCCTCCTGTTCGTTCAGTCCTTTTGTTTTCTGATCAACCAGATTGACATTTTTTTAATAAATTTCCTTCCGCTTGTGTGGCCCAAGTATACGTCCCTCTTGGGGCAAATTTTTTTCGTCCCCCTTGAGAGGCCGCACCGGCACCAAGCCATCTCCCCTGCACGATTGCAAAGAGCGCCTGGGGTGAGTTAATGCGAGAGATGGCCATGGGGTTTCTTGCCCGTGGGTGACGTATCCCGTCCAGACACACACACCCAGAGACGGTGTGCATGCGTTTACTATGCATTGGACGGGAGGTCTCCAGGTGGAAAGTAGAAGGAGAGTTTGCGTCGAGCGGTTCATTCCGGGGGGCGTGGTCTGAAGCTGTCGAGGGGGACGCCTCTCTTTGGGAGGATCCACCACTCGGGAGGGACTCACCCACAGGGGGGCTAATAAACCGGGAGGACTCACCACTCGGGAGGCCCAACGCGCAAGTTCCATCTGGCAATATAACGAGGATACAAATGAGTCGAGCCACTTCCCGATCGCTGTTAAGAAGTCCCCCTCCTTCAAGATGCAAAGCAGCATCGCGAAGGACATGAAGGGAGGAAATAATGCGGCGAAGAAAGAAGCAGAAGGGACCAAGAAGGAAGTGGTGATCTCGGCCAACGTCCTCCAGCTGAACGAGTGCCGAGAGGAAGAGCAAGCAGAAGAAGGGGATCCTTTCAGCAGTTCGAGGGATGGACAACGAAATCAGTGGAAAAGAGACGATGCCGCTTACAGCAGGAGACGGAGCAGCAGCTTGAGTAAGCAGGAAGAAGGCAGCATGGACAACGAAAGGAAGAATAACACATTTGAGCGAACCAGCTATGCTATCCAAAACAGAAGAAAAAAAAAAAAAAAAAAAAATCGAATCCAAATGTTTAGAGTACTGAATTATATATACAAAGCGTTCACTTCGATGCTTAGCTTACTAATCGTCATTCTGATTCTCTACGCGTCCATCGATATATCGACAAACTATGGACCGATAATCATCGTCTATATACTAATCCTTGAGTTTGGCAGCATGCTGATCTCGTATATCTTGCTGCAGTTCCCCTTCTTCTATCGAATGATTAAGAATGTGTTTACACGAGCGAGGAATGTAAATAAGTATTCTCATCAGTACAAGCCGTTTTACTACGATAGTCCGTCGAACAGTGACGACAAAGATTCTATAAGCATCGAGAGGGGAAAGAGCAAAAGACGCAGGAACACCTTCGCCTTATTCAGCATCAACAGGAATAATAAACGGTACAGCATTAAGACGCTCTTTACTGGGTTTAAGTCGAAGAAGGGAAAGAAGAAGGGCATAATAAAGGATGGCCCGGGAGAGGGTGCCCCCCAGGAGGAGCAGCCTCCCAACGGGGTAGCCCCTTCCGGAGACGTCTCTCGGAATAGCCGCCTGCACCACGGAGCAACGAGCGGCCCCAAGCGACAGAGCATTTACTTGGATGATTGCAACATGTGGATGAATAGCGATATGAAGAAAGTGAATAAGAAGAAGAAGAATTTCACTCTGTCAAGATCACTCAGCTTTAACATGAAATTGGACGAAGAGAATGACATGATGATGAGAGACTCGGCTAGTCTGGACAATATCAAGATTCTGCTGGGTCACCCGACGAGCAAATTTGTCGCAAACAAGAACAAAGTAAAGGCGAGGAAATCGTCCATATATAATAAGTACGTGCCGCTCACCTTCATTTCGTCTTATAAAAATAATATGGTTACTGAGTTTTTGAAGTCGCACACGGAGAACATGCGCTCGATGAGTTCGGAGTACTCGTCATCGGACAGCCAGGGGGACGGGGACTCGGGCAGGTACAAGAAGGTGTACGTTGGGAGGAGTGACGCGGGAAGGAGGAGGAGGACAGAGGGGATAGCGAAGTATCCCGTGGACGACAAGGACATCGACGATGATGAGGGGGAGGAGGAGAGCGGGCCGAAGAAGATGCTGAACCGGGAAATAAAGTCGCACACGAAAGAGAACACCGACGCGGCGACGAGCCTCTACGCAGCGAAGAGTGCAATCCTGTTTAGCAATAAGAAACAGAAGAAAAAACACCAGTATAGACAGCTAATCAGAGGTAGGACTCGATATTTTAAAAGAATCCCATGGGTGAACCGAGTGAAGAAGTTCTTCTATTTTTTCATCAATTACAATATGAAGTCTTCCAAATCGACGAATAATATCTTCCTTTTCTTTAGGGGGCTATCCCTCTACATAAAACACCGATTTATGCATTATTTGTCGTACGAGCCGGTGTGGATTATCGCCATCTTAATTCGCATCGTCATGTGGTGTATCGTGTGGCTGTGGGCAGCTAGCTATATGGAAAGGAACCCAAAAAATTTCCAAATAACAGCATGGAACATGAAGAACGTGCCGTCTTTCTATGGGTACATTGAGTGCACCTTCCAGTGGTGTGGAGTCTTCGATTACTTCTTCGGACTGTACTTCACGAATAATAAGCTCAAGTATATATTTTCCTTTTTCTCACTTATCGATTTTATTACCACGCCAGTTTCTTCGCTAATAATGAACGCTATATGTGAAAATAAGTACAGCCAAAATTACTGGTTTTTGATTTTAGGTCCTCTTCGATTTTTGCGGCTAGTCAGAGCAGAGAGCACCATCAGTTCGTGCTTCTTCTGGTTGAGCGACGTGAAAATTATAATCATTGGGATAATCATTCTGGCGTTAGCGATTCTGTTTACCTTTTCGGGCATTATGTACATATTAGAAGCACCAGACATAGAACGTGACTTTGTGAGTCCCCTCGATTTTGTCTACTTCGGAGTGATAACCATGTCGACCGTTGGGTACGGAGACTACACTCCAGTGACCCCAGCAGGGAAGTGCCTCACGATGTTCATTATAGTCACCTGCATCAGTTTCGTCGGGGCTCAATTCAAGCGACTGAAAGAAGCCATGTTTAGTCCAAAGACAAATATGGGCATTATTCCAAAACAGGACGATGATTATATACTTATCCTTGGCCCAGTGAGCCCAACTCAGCTTCTCTACATTTGCAAGGCCATTAATAATAGTTTCCCTAATTCGGTAGAGTCCATATTTCTTTTCACTCCCCTACCAGTCGTTATTTATCGCTTTGTCTATGGAAGCATCGTGAAGAACACCAACATCAAGCTGTGCATTAACGGAGGAAACGAATGCTTCATCTGTCCTAGTATCATCTACGATGCGGTAATTAATGCGAGGGCTCTTTACATTCTCAACAACGTGGACGCGGAGAAGTATACCCTCCTATATCAACAGATCTTCCTTGCCAGCAATAACTTAAATTTCAGTAACAATGACCAGAATCAGAAAATCACATCAAACGATATATTGCACAATAATATAATAAACAAGTTTAATAGAGAAAAGGCGAAGAAGTGGAAATACTCCGATTTTCTCTCCGACTACAAAAATGAGATAAGTAAAAATAATATGAACAATTTGGAGATGAATATTAACATTAACGATTCCCATGTGGTGAAGGAAAAAGACGATCAAGAGTGTCTCCTCCGATTTATAGGAACGTACAACATTTGCCACACACTCCTTCCCATCACTATACAACTCTCTAATAACACTTACGAGGAACTGGTAAAATCGATGAAGGTGTATAATTACCTCAGCATGGAAGAACTCAAATATGCTCTCCTTGCTAAGAGCATTAATTGTAAGGGCCTCTTTTTTCTAATAATTAACTTTTTTTACAAACCGAAGGCTGTGAAGAGCCTGAAGAAGTATATCATCGATTTGAAGCTACTCATGTATAATAGAATATTAAAACGGAAGAACAGGGAAAAGATGAATAACGGTGGTGTGTCGATTAACCAGGGTAGCGATATTTCTTCCATCAGCTCGGACATGTCTTTTGGGGGGACAGTCTCTTACCTCAAGGGGGGCAAGTCCGCCCGGAAAGGGGGTACCCTCCATACCGCCAATACGGCTAATACGGACAAGGTGGGAATTCAACATAGCAGCGAACCGAAAGGGGAAAACAAAATAAGCACACGGGGAAAGGGAAGAACGGCCGCTTCCAATTACAACGAAATGCTGCCACTCAACTCCATCGACGAACTGGACTTCTCACGCACACCGAGCTATCGAAATTATTATTACATGCTGGACAGGGTCAGTGTGAATATGTATTACTACCTGGAGGGACTAAAGTACAACATTTATCGCTTCCAGTTCCCTGAATGCATGAGGGGGTTTCTTTTCCAGACTGCGACGGAGTATCTCTACCAGAAGTATAGTGCCTTCCTCATTGGCATAATAACAATCAATAAAGAAATTTTCCTCAACCCTGTGGATTATATCATTGGGGAAGAGAACAAGTTTTACTACACATCTGCTTTTTCTGGCATTGTCCTGACGACCAGCCTGGATAATCTCATCAAGCTGTCCTCCATTAAGAACATCTCGAAGAAGGTCTATGAGTACAACGACCGCCGCATCAGCGAGCGATTCAGAGGGAATGCCGCCGCGCCGAGGGACGCCACTAAAGTGAACGCCACTAAGGAGAACTCGGCTGGAGTGAACCCCGCCAGGGGGAAGGTCAACTTTAACTCGAGCGCCGGCAATTCGGGAAGCGACGGGAAGGGGCGCGGCGAGGCCGACGGGTCGGTGCACCGCCACGCGGAATGCCAATCGGAGCGCCACTCAGAACGGCACACGGAGCACCAATCTGAGGAGGAGAAGGTACCCCGGAGGAGCAACCTCCTCTACAACTTCTTCCTTGGCATCTACGAAGTCGACAACTACATATCGGCGTACCGGGACATCTTCATCGAGAAGGACAAGCCTTTGCTGCTGGTGTGCGGCTGGCCAGACAACATACACCTGTTCCTCAAGCACCTGCAGGTGAACCCGGGCAATTGGCTCCGGCACAGAAGGAAGAGGAAAAGGCAGAAGGGGGAAAAGCTCCAAACGGGGGAGACGAAGAAGGAACCGCGAGGCGAACAACCCATCGTGCATGTCAACAGGCGAGGAAGCGACATCTCCTGTAGCGATGACTCCCGTGGCGATGACTCCCGGGGCGATGACTCCTCGCGAAAGAAAAAAAGGGTTGGGGGAAAAATCAAATACAACATAATCATCCTGTCTCTTCATGTACCAAAATTCAATTACGAGAACGACCTGATGAATTTCTCCCATAACGTGGCGTTCATCCGGGGCTCGGCCCTTAACAGCACGAACCTTATACAGGCAGGCGTGTTCTACGCGAAGAGGCTCATCATCTTCAACGCCAACCACAGCCTATTCATTGACAAAGACGCCTACCGGATCGACAACGAAGTAATCATAATAAAGAACGTCATATACCAGCTGTACAATAGTGTGCTGAAAAGCAGGTTCAATTACATGAATTTGGTGAAAAAGGTCTTCAAAAAGGAGATCAAGGCCGTTAATATTAACGAGAAGGTGTTCGCCAGTGACGCTCCGTTTCAACTGAACGAGATGATAAGGGTGAAGAAGACGTGCTCGTCGACAGGGCCACCTGCGACATCCTCTCTGGAATCTTCGGCGGAATCCTGTGCCTCGTCATCTGCGTCGTCTCCTGCCTCATCTGCTGCATCCTCCGCGTCGTCCGCCTCTCCCCCTTGGCGAGGGTCGCACTTGTCGCTGCGGGAAAAGTGCAAAACGCTGAGCATTTTCAACATCAACCGGAACCCCTACCTCATCTGCTTGATTAAAAATTCGGAGAGCCTGGAGTATATCGACGGAAGTATCAACTTGTCCTATGAAAATTATAACGACAATGAGAAGATGAACAAGATCTGGGAAAATTGTGGAGAGTATATTTACACATTTGAGTTGGTCTCTGCCAACATTTTTGTGGACGAGATGCTACATAATTTGGTATCCTTTTCCCTACCCATAAGTAAATACGCCATTGAGTACTCAGTCATTTATTCCCTCATCGGGATCGACATAAATGAATACTCCAAGAACGCCAAAGCTTTCCACAAGAATTTAAAGTTATGTACAGGTCAGGTGAATTTGATTCCAATCCCATCTTATTTTTACAAGAAGAGTTTTTACAAATGTTTCTCCTACTTCCTTCACAACAAGCAGTGTTTGTGTATTGGCATTTTGCGTTACATGGACATTTCGCCGCTGTGCAAGACGTCCCGCAAGCTCTTCGTTCTGTCTTGCCCCTCGCGCACAATGAAAATTGAACGTGACGATCAGGTTGGTGGGCGTGTTCCCGCAAAACGGAGGGGGAAAAAAAACCCTCCCTGTGGTGTACTGCTTTTTGCAGCTTGGCACATTTTTTATACACACGGAAAATTGCTCAAAGGAGAGGCGTAATTTTTTTTTTTTTTTTTTTTTTTTTTTTTTCCCCCTTTCAGGCTTATGTCATCTCGTACAACATGAAGTAAACCCCGATTCCGTTAAGGACGAAAAAGAAGAGTAAACATGTCTGACTGTTCAATCGATCAGCTCGTTGCAAGGACGCGGAACTAAGGACTGACTAATCATGACAACATTTGCGCGGAGGTGTACTAATCATGACAATATTTGCGCCGAGGTGTAGTAACCATGAGAACATTTGCGTGGAGGTGTAATCACCATGGAATGTATCAACCTCCCCCCTCCGCCCTTTGGTTTGTGCAACCCCTTCTCCACTGGGCTACGCCCTCCCACACGTCGCAGCAGCGTGATTGGACTGGATGTCCCCATGACTGATTTTGAAACGTTTTAATTTATCTTTAATTTTTAAACTGTGAAGAAAAGAATATGACGTTTTGTTTTGCTTTGTTTTGCTCTGCTTTGCTTTGTTTTTCTTTGTTTTGCTTTGCTTTCCTTTGCTCTACTCTTCTCTGCTTTTTTTTTTTTTGTTTCATTTCTCCCCCCTGCGCTGCGCAGCAGTATTCCCCTTTTTTTGTTCAAAGAACTGCAAGACAATTCGTCCTCCTCGTTCGGGCTTTCCCCGTTTGGTCGTTCCACCATTTGGCCGCCTCACCCGTTAGTATATCATTCGTATGGCCATTTCGGCTTTCGCTCTTTTTTTTTTTTTTTTTTTATTTTAACTCCCAATTTTTACCTGACTGGTCAGGCAAAAACGAGAAAAATTATCGCCTGCAAGGTGGCGGTACTTGGCTATCTCGTCATCTGCTCTTTTGCTCCTCTGCTCTTTTGCACATTTGTTCATCTGTTCATCTGTTGATTTGCCGCTTTTCGCTGCTCACCCCAACCCCAAACGGAGAGGGGCAGCAAAATGAAACCCGCGCGAAGGCGTTTGGCCAAAAGAATAACCAGGTTTTACAAAAATGTAAGCGGAAATGCCCCCCTTTTCGCCACCAATTTGCTGCTTTACCACTTCGACCGCGACTTGATAGTCACCCTTGTGCAGACATATAAGAGGCTACTGAAGAAGCAAGAACAGGAGAAGACACAATTTCATGAGGAGTACTTGCTACTTTTTAATTATATAATTTTTTCCCACGTGAATTTTGTCCTCTCTGAGTTGAGCCAAAATAGTAACCCCCACTTTGACATCGCCTATGATTTGAGCGAATGCACAAGTGGGACCACTCCCCTTTTAAGGGCAAGGAGGTTATTAACAAGAAGGGGGAAATGCAGGGCATCCAAGTTGAGAAGGCTACTCATTAGGAAGGGTACACATGGCCGTCTGGGTGACGTAGCGGTGGGAACTCCTCATTCATGTAGGCAGGGAGAACAAAATGAAACTTCCTATGAAGGTTACCAAGCAGGGGAAGGCACGGATAAACAAAGAATTCAGGAACAACTGCACAAGGAAAAGAAGCCACATGAATGGAATAGGAACATCTCTGATGAAGCCTCTCAAAAGAGGGTCAATCATTGGGGAAGCAAATCATTGGGGTGTCGCGGTGGGACCTATGGAAGGGTCCACATTAGCGACAAGGGTGAAACCAGCTGCAGCGCTCAGTACATTACGAACACGTGTCTGCACAATTGCGCCTCGAGACGATTCCCATTCTGCGCTTCCATCGAGTGCTCTGAGGCGGGTGAAAGTCAGTTCGTTGAGCAGCTCAGACGATTATATGCACACGTGCACTACTGGAGGTGTCTCATGCAGCTAAACGTGAGATGCAGGCGTAGCTGGAGAGTAAGCAAATTGGCAAGTGAAGAAAAAAACATCTATGAAGCAATCTACAAAAATGTATACTGCTTATTCAAACGTATGAACCGAATGCATTCTGAAAATATTCAAATGATAGAGACAAAAAAGCACCAGCTGTCCATAACGCATAACTTCGAAATGGAGGATCTTATAAGTGCCAGTAAGGTCACCACAGTGGATAATTCCGACAGCACGAAGCAGATTAATGACCTCGTCTTTAAGCATATAGCTGAGAAGGAGGCTCTCTGTAGGCACGCGGAGCACGAGGTGAAGGTGATGCAGCTTGTCCACTTGAAAGAGTACAAGGAGCATATCTTTTACATCTTTAACATCATACAGAGGGAGCGGAACGTGCTGTCTTTGCCTCCTCTGCCGGTAGACGAACTGGAGGAAGTAGATGCAGGCGTGGTTGACAGTTCAATACGGGTTCAGCCCAATGGGTTCTGTCCCTCCACGGAGAAAAAGGGACGACACATCTATTTTTCCTGTATAGTAAAATATTTCCACCTCTTCTACTTGTATAAGCTGATTAAAAGTAATGTAAATCTAATTAGCTACCTTCACATGTACGTTAAACACTCCGTGTGCGATACGCTGGCAGTTTCCGTAATCTTCAGCCTCGGCGAAGTGGAAGACCTTTTTCAACGCCATAGCAGGAATAATGAGGAGTTTAAGGGACGCCTCTATGGGCTGCTAAGTCAGATGCGCCGCGACCATTATGAGTGCACGGTTGGGGGGAAAAGCGCAGCAGAGAAGTGTGTAGACCATTGTTCCGACCACTGTTCTTACCACTGCGCCGACCGCTGCCCCCACCAGGAAACGAATCAAATAGCCAAATGTGGTTCACGTGAAGCCCCCCCACTGAAGGAGGCGGACAGAACGAATGGCACCCCGGCGTGGACTTCCGCCGAGTCCAAGTACTTCGACGCCAAGGGGCAGTTTAGGAGCAAACTGGGAGCCTCGGCGGAAGAGACAGCCCCCTTCAACAAAAGCTACGACAGTACGTACAGGTACTTCCAAGATGACTCCATCCCGTTTATGCTACAACATAATGCTTGTTTTGAGGAGGAGTCTCATAGACATCTGAGCAAAATAAGTCTAAGGGAGAAGCCGCTTAATGGCCTCGTCCTCTACTTGGGTGAAGATACCAACAAATTTTGCAAAGAAAATGTGTACCAAAGTATGTTAAACATCAGCATGAATAAGACGGATTTTGTTTTTCCCACGTTGAAGGAGCAGCTGGGGATGTTCCAGCAGTTTGTGAGTGGCAAGGGGGAAGTTGTGAGTGGCCAAGGACAACCCCAAAGCGGGGGAGAAACTGTACGGAGGTCCTCACGTGTGATGCCAACCCAGCTGCGATGTGGAAATATCATCATAACGAGACACACGAATTTGAAAATCGGAATGGGGAGAGGTACCTCTAAAGGAGAGAAAAAGGAAAACGTTAAAAGGGGGGAACCAAATGGAGAGGAAAAAAAACACAAAGGATCAACCAATGATAAGACAAGGATTAAAAGTCACGCAAATGATTTGTTCAGTTTGGAAACAATTAACAAGAGTAACATCCACTCGTCCATCATGCCAATATACGAGCAGCTCAAAAAAAATAGCCACTATTTTATGCATAAGGAGGGGAGAGAAGGAAAGTCGGTCCCCTCGGATTTGAAGGAAAACACAGCGTGCAAAGTTCATCAGAGCATTTTAAAAAAAAAAAAAAAAAAAAAATACACATGGATATAATTTTCCATGTTATTATCCCCAAAAATGTGAACAGCAAAAGTTTCCAAATAATTTTACTTTCCTTGTTGAAGATTTTGGACCTGTGTAGAGACTATCACGTCTCCTCGCTGACGTGCCCCCTGCCCTACGTGCACAACGTCGTTTATAAGAATAAGCGCCCCGTTGTGTATGCCTTTATGTACTCCCTCCTGTTTAGCCTTCTGAATTATATCAAATGCACGCAGTCATCTGCGAAGCAGGTGCATGTGCTGCATTTTGTCTTCCCCAATTTGGCGTTTCGCGAGGGGGGCACAACGGCGGAGGGGAGAGTGGTGAGGCAAGCGATGGGCGGAGTAGCGGTGGATACCTCGGTGGAGAAGAATAAGACGAAGAACACGACCCCCATTGAGGGCTCCGCAGTGCATCGAAGTGACCAATTGGACAGACTTCCCGAGGAGCGCATGTCAAGCATGGCCTCCTTCATTCATCGTGTTGTCACCGACATGCGGGGGAAGTACACCCTGGTTGAGAGCCTCTAACGTCAGAGGTTCTTTTGTTTGAAGGGACAAACTGGAGTGGCCAGCTGGGTGTCATGCTGCTCTACGCCACGCAGGAGAAGGTTCACAAAAAAAAGAAAAAAAAAAGAGAAAAAAGAAGGAAAAAAAAAAAAAAGCAGAAAAAACTGGCATGCTCGAGTGAACAAACCTCGATCAGATGCCCTTTCTCAGAAGGGGCTCTGCTCTACGCGCCACATCTCCTCAGATCACCGTATACGCGCTGTTAACAAAAAACTCGCTCTTGATTTCCAGCCCCATGACCGCACTTGGGTCGTAGTTTTTAAACCTGACCAACCTGGCCAGCATCTGCATTTTGAGTGCAGCCATTTCCCCTTGGTCCTGCGGGTGACCCTCCTCCGGCGAAGGGGGGGACCCCTTGCGCTTCCTCTCCACTGGGGGAGGCAAAAATATTTGATGGTAATGAAACCTGTTGGACAAAGCCTTATTTAAGTCCAGCAGAGAATTCATGATTACCAGCTTGGAGCAGACTTTCCTTACGAGCTGATTTTGATTATTTGTTTTGTGCCCCATGGAGAAGTATAGCCGGTTGACGTTGGCTTGGACCTCATCGAAAGTGTCATATTGGAAGTAGCTCCTCAGGGGGGGCATTCCCTTCGCGCGGTTGACTGGGTGGTCAGGTGCACTATCTGCTTTGTCTCCAGGTGTACTACCTTTCTTGTCTCCGGGTGCATTACCTGTATTGTCTCCAGATTCACTACCCGTTTTGTCTCCAGATCCACTACCCGTTTTGTCTCCAGATCCACTACCCGTTTTGTCTCCAGATCCACTACCCGTTTTGTCTCCAGGTTCACTACCCGTTTTGTCTCCAGATCCACTACCCGTTTTGTCTCCAGATTTACTATCTATATTGTTGTGCCGATGCTGATGAGGGCCATTCCAATGAGTGCTCTTATTCCGTTTACCCGCGTGGGGGTCTCCCAAATGGTCCTTCGATGCGTTTACCTCGTCGAGTGTGCCTTCGGGTGGGAGGTACTTCTCCTGTGTGACTTCCCCATTTGGCTCTTCACAAACTTCGATGAGGAGATCTTCACTTGGGGGGACCTGGGCGGGTGGCGGCTTCCTCGCGAGGCACACCACACTCTGGTGGAAAAACCCATAGCAGTCGCGCAGAAATTGGTCGAGTCGTTCCTCTCGCAGGAAGTGGAAGAAGGCGACGATGGAGAGAGCATCGGCAAAGATGGCCGCGTCGTACTCTGGAGAGATGTTCTTGGTTTTTTTCCTCACAAGGTATATGAGCATATCTGCTAAGGAATACAGGACATCCTTCATGCATTGCCTGACTTGAAATAATCTTTCAAATGAGAGATGTCCCTTCTTCTTGTTGAGGCTCCGGTTCGTCACGGCTAATTTACAAAATATATGACTAAAGAGCTTCTTAATAGCTTTCGTATTTTTTCTCTTAACAAGTTGGGGCGTCGGCTGCAGGGGGGTAGCGCAGTCACTAGAAGGGTAGGCGGCATGACCAGCAGGGTAGGGCGCGTGACCATCTGGATAAGCGGCGTGGCCAGCTGAGTAAGCCGTGTCACCGGCAGACTGCGCACCTCGATTCGACGCTTCACCGAACGGATCGTAATTCCCTATCGCGGAGAAGAAGGAAGCCATGCTGTCCTCGGACTTGTCCCTAAACAAGGACAAATAGGAAACAAACTTGTGCACCACTTCTCCGATGTAGAGATAAATATTCTTTCCAGAGAAAACGAAGCAGTGTTCCTGAACGAAGTTAACCATGATAAGGAAAAGTTTGAAGGAGCTAATGCCTCCTTGAAATGCATCATTCAAGTCATGTTCCGATAAAAGGATCTTAAAAAAAATGACAACATATTTGATTAGGGGGTTCTCTTTTAAAACGCTCTGAGTCTCTACAGTACTGACGATGGCACTGACTTGATTGAAGGAGAAATCGATGGAAATCTGCATTTCGGTAAAGAAACATTTAATTATTGGCACTTTGGCGTTTATGATCTGTTTGATGCTAGCATGTTGAAAAAGTTTGTTCCTTTTCATTTCGCTGTATAATTTTTTGACATTCTTCCTGTCATCGTCGACACTGTTGTAGATGCAGATGTCTATGTCTGAGTTGTACAGATCTAGATCGGTGTTGCATGATCCGAAAATGAGGACATACACTTCTGAGTATGTTGCCTTTAGGAAAATTTCCACCTGTTTGACGAGTTTTTCTCTCATGGCTATTTCGTGCCTTCTGGGCTTCATCAGGTGGGTAAAATGGATGACCTCCTTGCCGAGGGTGTAGAAGAGTTCAATGGTGGAGCTCAGCAGGTATTGCCTCTCCGCGAAGCGGGTCACTTGGTTTTTTCTCACTAGGAATGCACCCGGCGCTGACAATGACGATGACGTGGTTGGTAATGATGTCGGTGACGATGTTCGCGATGGTAATGACGATGTTCGTGATGATGACGACGTTCGTGACGATGGCGACCATACCGCTGGTCCTAATGATGGTGCTGATCGTGGGGGGGGAGCACTCGTGGAACGCTGCTTCACCCCAAGGACGGCCCTCATATTAGCGTCCATGTCCCTGATCATCATTCTGTACGTGTCCGCTGTCCGTCCTGTACAGAAGTAGATCCTCTTCAAATCATCCAGGTAGTTATTGAAATGGAGACTTCCATTCTTTTGCATGAAATCGCTTATGCTCTTTTCATGCTCTCCTTGTACCCGTCTCAGTTGCGTATCCTGGGGGCTTCTTCTTCTCTTCCCTATGCCCACCCCGTATATTCGCTTGACTTTGTGTTGTTGCCTAGACGGGACATTGTACCGATCGGGCTTGGTCCCGCCACGCTGGGGATTACCTCTGCGAGGGGCGCTTCTATACGAATCACTTCTGCAGAGCTGTTCTTCATTCTGTTCGTTGTGGACACGCTTCTCCCTCTTCTGCTGCTTCTTCCCCATCTGCTTCTTCTGCCCCATCTGCAGCATCTGCCCCATCTGCTTCTTCTGCCCCATCTGCATCTTCTGCCCCATCTGCATCTTCTGCCCCATCTGCATCTTCTGCCCCATCTGCATCTTCTTCCCCATCTGCCTCTTCTTCCCCATCTGCCCCATCTCCCACCAGGGGTGCCTCTTCCCCCCCTCGTCACCGCTGAGGCGCTCGCCCAGCGCACAGTACAGCTTCCCCTTAAGAGCGTCCATTTTGTTCGCGAATTTTCTCTTCTTGCTGAATTTCGCCTTTCCTCCCATCACCTCTCTGTCGATTCGATTTCCCTTGGTCATGTTTTCCCTGTGGGTGAGTGATCAGTTTTGTATCGGGACGGTAGCTCCACCGATGATGTGCATCGTTATCTGGGCTAACTTTGTCCGGGGGAAAAGTGCACCTTTCACTGTGGCAGTGCTGCCTGGATGCGCGAAGTTGGGATGAACTGTCTGTGGGCACGGAAGAGGGAAGTTATATATTTCCCGCAATCCGTATGCCTTCTTTTATGCCTCTATGCCTTTATGCCTCTATTCCTTTATGCCTTTATTGCCTCTATTCCTTTATGCCTTTATTGCCTCTATTCCTTTATGCCTTTATTGCCTCTATCCATTTATGCCTTTATTCGCCTTTGTTCCCTCTGGTGGCACGAGCGTGCGGGCGAATGCGCAAGATGGTCCCTACACTGGCGGCGCGAATGGTTCGCTGCCACTTGAGCGGGCCCCGGGGGGAAGTCCTCACGAAGGGGGGAAATAAAACAGACCATACAGAAGGTGAACCGAGGGGTTCGCAACGAGGAAGAAGCCGGTAAACGAACAGCCGCCAAATGAGCAACCGCTAGCCCAGGAGACGCCACAAACCCACGAGGCACCCTCTCTTCCTTAACGAACTGGGGACAAAAAAAGGAAATTCAAAGAAACGAAGCTGTGCAAAGGTTGCACTACAAGTTGATACATAAATTGTGACGGTAGCGAATGTGAATGCTATATGTGAAAAAAAAAAAAAATGCCCCCGTACAACTGGATCCCATTTGTACATTTCGTGGAAATACGCGAAATGGGCATCTACAAATGGGGAAACACGGAGATGTAAAAAAAAAAAAAATAGGAGAAAGTAATTTCCCGCAAGGCACATTTCGGGGGAATAGGAAAAAAAAAAAAAAAGAAAAAAAAAAGGCAAAAAGAAGGAAGAAGCTAAAAGCATAGCAATCCGGGGTAAGCACAACCCGGCTGCTCCAATCTAGCATTGTTCTCGTCACCACGAGGATTCCTACGCGCGTTCGGAACGTCCTTTTTGTACGTGATGAAACGTAGCACTATGGTTAGCGGTGAGGAGAACCTTCTTTCATCAGGCGAATCGTCCAGCGCGGATGCACTTCTACGAAAACAGCTGCATGTTCTCACTCTTCACGCCTGACGCATCCCCTCTGTTTAGTCGTACTCCATGCAGTCCGGCTGCACGTTAATCTCCTTGTAAATGTTTAGAAGGTGATTATACTTCATGTGCATCATCTCGATGATGCCCTTCATCGTTTCCGACGATTTGAGATCACCAAAGACAAGAGAAAAATAGTATTCTTTACAATTGGGGTACTCGTTAAAGGTCCAGTTTTTGGAAATATAATTTTTGTTTTTCCATTTGAGGAAGCATTCCATTAACTCCTTGGCACATTCGTCCACCTGGGGGTCGTTGATTGTAATCCAGTCGCTACTAATCCTTGTTGCGTTATCCTGATGGGGCATAGAGAACACCTGACCTGTGTTATCATCTTCCACTTGTTCTTCTACGAACGGTTTTTCCTTCTCTAAAGATTCGTATTCCTTTTTTAGTAGGAGGAAATCGTCAAGTGTATTTTGCATGTCCAGTTCGTTCGCAGGGTTGCAGTCTGCTTGGTCGCCACCCTCCTCGTCGCCCTGCTCATTTTTTTTTTTTTTTTGATCTTTTTTTTTTTTTTTTCTTTTTTTTTTTTTTTTTTTTTGCAGCTAGCCATTTCGTAGTTTTCATTTTGTGCATTTTGGCTAGTTCGTTCATAAAAATGGATTTTGTTGTGAACAAGGCCTTCTTTCTGGGAACATTTACTTTTTGTTTCTTTTCCGTTTTTCCCTGCAACCCCCTTTTTGTTGATTTTCCCCGTGCAGTGGCCCCCGGTGAGGTCCGCCATGGAGCTGCTGCGCTTTAGGTAGGGGTAGAACTTTTTGTTTTCCGTCTCCGCGAACTGGGAGACTTCCTGGGCGTACTTCTTCTCGAGTGTGCTGCGGCGGCGGCCATGTTTGGATGATCCCCGCTTGGTCGAACCAGGTTTGTTCCCATAGCGTTCGTTCCCGTGGCGTCCGTTCCCGTCCCGTTTGTTCTCACCCCGTTTGTCTGCTTCACGGTTTCGCCCTTTAGCTTCTCCCCCTTCACCGCTTCCCCCTTCCCGCTTTGCTCCCCCCCCCAGCACCCGGGCCACGTACCTAGCGTAGCTCCTCTCGTAGCACTTGATGGAGGCGATATACTTCAGATCGGCGAAGCGGATCAGGGGGCGGATCTCAATGTTCGTCAGCTTGTAGAGCCACATGAAAAAAATTTTAATTTCGTTAGTTAGCTGCTTATAAAGGGGGATGTTTTTTTTTTTTTTCTCCTTCTTTCGTTTCTTTCGCAGCCCCTTCTTGTTAAGTAGGTAACTCAAGTTTACCAGCGACACACACACTTGTCTGCTTTTAATCCTTTTAATTCGACGGAGCAAGTACTTGAGCCCTTGGATGAGTCTACTCCTCAGCTTGCTTAAGTAGTTATAGTAAAACACGAGATGCTCATCGGTCGAGTTAGTCCTTGTCCCGATGATGTAATTCTTTTTGTTCTTCCTCTGTGTGTCACTGTTCTTCCTGCTTGCTCCCTTTGTTCCACTTATCGAGATCTTCCTCCCTGTGCCTCCATTGTGTGCGCCACTGCCATCTCCATCCCCCACCTCTTCGTCGTCTTTTTTTATATAAATTTTGATTTCCTCCCCCTGCAGCACATATGGCGTGCAGTATTGAATCGGAATGTCTTCCCACCTCAGCTCGTTCAGCTTTTTTATTTTTTTTTTAATTTTTCTCTTTATCTTACTTTTCGCACCTTCGAATTTGTCTTTATCCTTCCGCTCGCCGTCGGCGGCTGTGAGCCCCACTACCTCCGCGCGCTTTCGCTTTTTGCTGCTCGGGGGGGACGAGCTTTCCGCGGGGGTAGTGGTGATAGCGGTGGTCGCGGAGGTGGTCGCTGACTCTGGAGCCTCGTCGTTGGAGGGGTCTGTTTTAGCTCCGCTAACGGCTGCTCCCTCCATTGCCGCCCCCCCCTTTGCCGCTCCCCGCTTCGCCCTGAGCCTGTCCAGGTAGGCGCGCTTCCCGTTGTGGAAGCTCCTTATGTATCCCTTCAGCCTGTCCGTTCGGTCCAAATCCGAGTCGTAGTAGTACCGGGGGATCTTCTTCTTGATGACGGAGCAGACGCCGATGAGGGTGCGCCTGACGTACTGGTAGAGGAGGGCCTTCTGCCTAATATAGTTAGACGCGGTGATGAATCGGTCCTCCTCCTCTGCGATGACGAGGCTCCTGGCCTGTCGCTTGAGGAGCTTCAGCTCGTTTTTCTTTTTCTTCTCGGCCGCTTCGCTGTGCGGCAGCGGGCGCCTCCTGCAGTCACCAAGGTTGCCGTCATTAGCACTGCCAGCGGTGTCAGCGGGGTTGGCGTGGTTAGCGGCGTCACACAAATTATCCAGCTTAGCCACCTCAAAGGAGTGCAGCGCACCCCCCCCGCGTGGAGGCGGCGTAGGTGAGAAGCAGAAGTCGTCCCTAAAATTGGTAAAATGAAACAACTCCTTCTGCATCTTGTCCTTACAGATATTGAAATTTAAAATCTCATAAATAGCCATAGAAAGAGTAGAAGATTTGTACTTCAAAAAAATATTGTCGATGCTAGCGATCCGAAGTAGAATCTCCCCCTCTGTAGCATTATAATCATTTTTTAATTTCAAAAAATTGATGTTCTCATTTGCTTTTAGGAGACTGTCTAGTAGGCTATATGGTGTAGGAATAGAGAGATCGTAATTTAACTTTTTTAAGATACAGATTTCTACTTCGAGAGCGAAGTTTTTATTAACACTATGAGCGGAGAAGGTTGAATCGAGATACTGTGTTGCTGAGTAGTAGTCTGGGGAAGCATCTTTTATCAGTTCGTTGTTTCTAGAATATACTTTGCGAAGACCTTCCAGATGACTCTTACAGTAAGTCTTAGCGATTAGATCGATGGAGATGAGTCTATAATTATAGTATTTCTGAGAAATAAAGAGACATATGATAGCAATGAAGTGATAAATCAAATCACAGGAATCTTTTAGCTCTTTATATAGAATATTATACTTCCCTTTTAGCTGTTCTTTAAAAACGAAGTCACTGTAGACCTTTGGGTAGAATTCTTTCAACAACTGGATCATGACATCTGAGAATTGCTTCTCCTCCGTGACGATGTCATTAATTATACTTTCAATGATTTCATTCTTCGAGTTGAATCTGCTTATGTACAGATCGAATATGAGATTGGTGAAATGCAGGACACACGTCTCGCTTGTCGTTTTTAAGTTAGCAAATGTACGAGACAGACATAATTTCACCTTCTGTCTCAGATGCTGGAAATTCTCATCATTATATCGATCTAAATAATTGCCTATGAAATGATTATCTGCTTGTTCTGCACATTGGAGGAAGGATGATTTGGCGTACGTATTGTACAGCGAGTAGTCAACACACTTCTTCGTTCGGATTCCCCTGTTCACTAGAATGCTGCTGTGTCTCTCCATCACCGCCACCTCGAGGTCTACATTTTCGTCTTCATTCCCCTGGGCGGCGGCTCCGTTTCGACTATCATTACTATTGGCGGTGACGCTGTGGCTGCTACTATCGCTGTCATTATCACTTCCCGGCCCGCTACCACTATCGATGCCATCCCCCCCCAACGCTATGTCCCGATTTGTCTGCAGCATATTGTCCAGGCACTCCTGTGGTAGCTCCTCGCTCAAAATGGACCCTCGCTGGATATCCACTTTGTTCTTCTTTCTCCCCCCTCCCTTGGCAGATACATCCTTCTGCAGATGCTCTCCTCCCAAGGGGGACAAATTCTCCTCATCCACGGGCTTACAATTCGGTAATTTTTTACGAATGATATCCCCTTCGCGAACATCAGACGCGGCCGTTACGTCGCTTCCGTTGTCCCTTTGGTTGTCCCTTTGGTTGTCCATTTGGATATCGCATCGTTCGACTGCTCCTTTCCCATTTGCGGTTCCTCCCCCGGATAACTCCACCTCCATGCGGTACGCGCCCCATACGTTGGAGGGATAGGTGAAACCACTGGACCGGTCGGGGAAGACACTGGACGGGTAGGCGTACCCCTTCGGCAGGTGTATGCACCTCTTCCGTCTGTTCCCCATCCAGTGCACTGCTCCGCATGGGAAGTTTTCCCCGATGAGTGAATCCTCATCGCTGGAGCTCTCATCAAAGCAGGGCTTCCTAGCGGGCGTGCCCCTCGCGAGTTCAGACGCCTCTTCTATAGCACCCTCTACAGGGGATGCCGCACTGAGATTGGGCTCATCCAAGGAGCTATCATCAAAGGGGGGGGTTGGCGTCATGGATACTCCACGGATTGGATTAACATTACGTAAATGATCCGTCTGAGTATAATTACTCGGAATGACAACATGGTCCTTTCCCTCACCATAGGTGGGTACGAATCCGTTTGGTGAGTCCCCTCCGACTAGTGAACTCTCCTCCGCTCTGTCTTCCCCGTTTTGTGTGAAAAAGTGCGATAGTTTTTTTTTCTTTTTATGAGGATGTTCGTTAAGGGGGCTACGATGTGGATCGCTCCAAGTGGGGGTATGCCTCTTTTTATTTTCTTCCCTGTGGTAAGTAGTGCCTCTTCTTACGACATGAGTCTGTTCCGAGGGGCATCCCATATTATGCCCTTCTCTATGGTGCGTAACAGGTGGCGGTGCACAGCCCACACCATCGGAGGGCTTCAGCGAATTGGTTAATCGATTTAACACGTTGGAATGATTTCCATTCCTTAAGATGAATTCCCCCCGGTACACCTCATCGCAGAGCTGATTGCTCCCCCCTGTGGATGGACTAGCCTCATGGTTGGCGTCCTCTCTGGTGTGCCTTATCCTATCGGCTTCCTCTTCCAGGGGAGCAAAGGATCCCTCATTGGTGTATTCACCTGCGTAGTTTGTGTCATAGCAACAGTTCGATCTCTTCATCTGGAACGCCCTCTTCTTGCAGTAATAACCATTTGGTAGGTTCTTCTTATCGATTTGCATGGCAACCACTGCGGCGGGACACTTCATTGTGTTCCTTTCATTGGTGCAACTCTCCCGGATGGCAACCACTGTGTTTTCTTCTTCACATAGCTTTATTTCATGTCCGTGTTTTTGTTCACTAATATTTTTGTATGTGTGATTCAGTTTACTCCCCTGTTGGGTTGGCCTCTTCTGCGGGTTCGCCCCGTCGTCGTCTCTCTGCTTCTCCTTCTTCTCCTTCCCTTGCTGCCTTTTTGCCATTCGGTTTGGTGGTTTTCCGTGGCAATGCTTAACTGTGTACGTGTTTTTGTGGCTGCCAGCGAAACGGTAATCGGCGTGTGCTACTTCGTTCATTTTGGTGGAAGCATACTTACCGCACCAGTTACGCGTCTCACGGGCCTCCTCGTCCGCGTTATCTCCCCCGCCTTCGCTACTTGTCGGTGCACTTCCCCACCCAGTGGGGGGGAAATAAAAGAGATGCGCACCTCTCTTGACGACCCACATCTTGCACATCTGGTGCTCTGAGTTGTAAAATTTGTTTTCACACTGAAGTGGCTCCGCTGCCACTTTATTTTCATTTTTGGCTGTGTAGTGGGAGGGGATTTCATAGCCGCGGAATGGGACAGGGGTGTTCCGATGGGCAGTGAGCCTATTCTTATCACAGTGCTTCGTGTTGATTAACACATTGGGGGAGATGTGCTGGATTTCCTCCTTCCCCGTGATGAGGCACAACGCTGGGCGAGTGGTGCACCCCGACATGCGATGACTCAGCGGGTGGTACTTCTCCTGTTTGCGATTTCGCGGCCCTTTATCCAGGCGCAGTGATCCCTCCTCCTCGTCAGTGAGAAGAAGACAGATGTTGTGTGGGTTCATACAGCAATCGCTGCATCTGCTAAGAGTGTTATCGATTCGATTAACCGCTTCTGTCTTGTAAGCGCTTAGAACAAATGGGTGAAGCAGCAAATTCAGGCAGATGCAGTAATCTTCCCCTTCATCATTCCTTCTGAGTAAATCAAAAAGGGTTCGCGTAAAGGAAGTGCAAATTGGACCTGTGTCTTTGCTACCACCGTCTGCGTCGCACCGATGAAAAGGAACATCCCATGATGACGGAACTCCCACTAGTTGCAGCGAACGAAATGGAAATTCACTTTTTTCTCTCGAGTCTATCCCTGCATCATTTGACTGTATGTTTATCCTAATTGCACTCATTCCAAGGAGGCAACTTCGTCTCTCAACACAGAAGGAAGCTTCTTTTGTACTTTGCTTTGAAAGCCGTGATGAACATGGACAAGCGAATTGTACAATATATCTAGTCACGGTTATTTTTCGTTTTATTCTGCCTCGCCGATTGCTGCGATTGCTGCGGTTGCCGTGGTTTCTGCGATCGTCGAGGGGGGTTCCCTCTGGTCGTGGCTTGTCCTGGCAGGGCTCTGCCCTCTTCACCTGCGCTGTGGGGACGGCAGTCGGGATGGCACAGATGGTTGGGAAGGTAACGAGGTCCACCCCTTGCAACGCTTCTAATCCCTCTTGTGCTTCCCGTACCTGCTGTGCTTCTAGTCCTTCCACTTGTTGCCCTTCTGACTTCTCCCCCGCTGCCACCGCCGCCAGGCCACGACGCGATGCCTCCCTGCCAGGAGGATGGCACACGCCTGCGCGGTGTGTGGCGCAAAGAATAACATACGCCTTAGAGAGATGCGACTTACCAGCGCTAAAATGGCTTCTTCTTTTTCCTTTTCTTTTTCTTATTTTTTCCTTTTTCCTTTTGTCCGTTTTGTTAATTTGTTTTTCCCTCACAAGATGCATACCTTCGTACGGCTTGTCACCTGCCCCACTACTGCTCCGACTAGTCATGCGCCGCTCATAGTGAAAAAAGGGAAGCACATCATCATCATCATGGTGGCGGTGCAAAACTTCCAATGGCGAAATGATGCGCACCGACAGGGAGAGCGTCATCTGGCCCCTCGATATTTTGGCGAGGATGCAGAAAGTGCTATCCCCCCCGCGCCACCTCCTAATGAGCAAGGTGTATGGGTGTTTTTTCCACCTCCTAATGAGGCAGCTGTATGGATGTTTTTTCCACGTCCTAATGTGGCAGCTGTATGGATGTTTTTTCCATCTCATGATCGCACACCTCCTTCCCCCCAGCGCAGTACTTGTCGCAGAATCGGCACTACCAATGCGATTGTTTGCGCTTCTCTTCACTTGGGCTTCACACTCACGAGGTGAAAAAACCAACCTGGTGGCTTCTCTGTCAAAATGGGAAGTGCCCTTTCGAAGCGAGTATACCACACAGGGCCTGCTCCATCCTGTTTCATATGCCCCGTAAAATTCAACCGCGTTTTTGTCGCCACCTACTTCGCATGTTTGGTCATTTGATTCTCTCAGAGTAGTTCGTGCTACTTCGCCGTCGCATTGGTCGGAGTAAAGGACTTTCCTTTGGCTCCATTTGATGGGAAAATATTTTTTTCTCTTTTTCCACACTAGTCTTCTGTTCTTGTGTACACATCTTTTTGGTACCTTTAGCATCCACTTTCGCCTGATCACAATTTGCTTCTTCTCAGTCATTTCCGCCTTCGTGGCAGCTTCACACAGGTAGTGCGTCTCTAAAGAAGCGCCATCCCTTTCAACACTGCTATGGGTCATGATGGGGAGACAATCCCCTTCCGGTTTGCCATTCGAATCGTCGTGTAGCATCTCTCCGGTGGTCATCAATTCATGAGGTAACTGCACACAGCGTGGGGGCATCTCCATGCCGTGTCTGGGGTTGCATGCCCTTGCGCTGTTTTGCCGCCTCGTTCTTTTGCAGCCCCCCGTTTTAGTTCCGTTCGGTTTGTTCGTCTCTTGTTTCCCTTCCTGCTTCACTCATATGAGTGGAGAGCCCCTCGGGGGTAGTCCCCTCCAAGTGGGAAGGAGGACCTTTAACACCCCTTTGTCTATCCGTATGCGTGTTGCTTGAGACGCTTTCGCTTATCTCCAGGGGAAGAGTGCTGCCCTGCACATGAGGATAGTCCCGTTTGTGTGCACGCAGTAAGAGAGCTACGTGTCCACACCTTTGGCGCACACAGAAAGAAGGGGAACCACGCTTTCGTTTACCCCTGCGTGGAGGTAGACCTCAAATAGAGCCACGTTGGCCTAAGCGTAAAGGACGATGTGTCCGCCTAGTCAAGTGGGCCAAGTGTGCGAAGTGCGCCGTGAATGTCCCAACAATTTTGTAAGAACAACGCAAAAGGGGAAGAAAGCAATGAGAGAGAAAAAAAAATAAATAATAAAATAAATAAACACAGTGCCTTAGAGGATCCCCAATCGAATGATGCATCATCAAGTTGGGGTGCACCTCGAAAAAAATTAATTCACATTCGCTGGGGAGTATCCAAAAAAGAAAAAAAAAAAAAGTGAAGAGGTGAGAAGTGAAGAGGTGAGAAGTGAAGAGGTGAGAAGTGAAGAGGTGAGAAGTGAAGAGGAGAAAAGTGAAGAGCAGAGAAGAGAAGTGAAGAGAAGGAGAACGCGGTAGAAGACCACACGTAGACACCACATCTTCTACTCACGTGATAGTTATCCACATTCCCGTAAACATAAGGAGGATCCAATTAAACCTTTTACTTAATTATGCACCTGCTTGGTGGACATTTTCGTGGCGCTTTATTTTCCCGGTTTATGTGCGCCCTTATTAATCTTCCCCCCTCCATCGCTAGGAGGGCCAACGAGTTAAAAAGACACGAAGGCGTTTTCCGCACACTGAGGAGGGGCGCAGAAATTGCCTCTATCTTTAAAGAAGGGGGGAAAAAAATATATCTATATATTTATTCGTATATTTATGCATATATCTCTTAGTATATTTACGTATGCACTCACGTACGCACTTGCTTGTGCCCGCCTGACTCCCCTTCCGAGACATCCAAATCGACTTTGTGATTTTTTGGATAAACATGGCCTGAGCACTTTTGGGGATGTCCCCAATTGTGCACGCATAAAAAATGTCACGCCTCGCCCCCGAGGTGGACTCTTCACGTGGAAACATCCCCTTAGGCATGTCCTTCATGCGGCAGTTTTTTACTCCTTTATGAAGCTGTGGCATGTCGTTGCAACACCGGAAAAACGACACGTTGGCGAAGAGGCCATCATTTTCATTCCCCGCGCGGGGTTTGAACATTTCCAAAAGGTGTCAACAAGTGAAAAAAATGAATCCTCACCTATGGAGTCCCACCACAGGTGTTTTGTTTCAATTTCAGGAGAACTGACCGTTTTACACCGTTACGGCTACGGTTGCGCTGCGGTTGCGGTTACGTTATTGGAAGGAACATACATCTCCCCTTTGGTAGCAATTTCACCATTTTGCTTTTTCCTTTCCGCCAGTATTATTTCCCTACAGCGGAAATGACCAAGGTTGGGGAGATGGCCCCTGGACTTTTATCGACGGGCCGGTTGGTACCACTGTTTGAGCAAAGCGTAGACCGACTCTGCAACTGTCCCACGGATTCTCCACACGATCGTGTGCATAAAGTTATCTTCCTGTGGGGGAGACTACTGAACTGGACCTACACCTATCAGGCGCACCCTTGTGCGAAGTCCTCTCGGAAAAAAGGACAAACGGGCAGAGACATGCACATGCGTACATACGTACAGACGTACGTGTGTGTGTCCAGATGGGTATATATGTGTATACCTAAGTGATATCCCCACTGGGGCGCCTTCAAATCACCTAGTCGGTTGGAACCACTTTGATTCTCCACGCCGTTCGGGGGACATACCCAACCACAGCGCCGTCCAGTTGGCGGAAATGGGATATTCCCATAGCCAGGCATCTTTATAATGCAGAGTTCCCGCCTCAAAAAAAAAGGCAGAGTATAGATAGTTTTAACAAAATGACCCATTTGGGCGCAAACGGAAATGTACAGATAAGTGGGTTTCACTTGTGTAAAGCTAATTTCATATATTGCACACAAAAATCGTCTTTGCGAAAAAAAAAAAAAAAAAAAATATTGCTGTTCAGGTAAAAAATACGTAATTTTTTTGCCATTTTGGAAATAACGTATCAACTGTTCATAATATTTTTTTTTTTTTTTTTTTTTTCAATAAAATCACCTGAACTGGTCATACGAAAATGCACATTGTTGGAAGTTTCCCACTTGTTTTACTTTTTCTCCAGACTCTGTTACCTCGCGCGTGACCGCCTGGCAGTTTTGCAGCTTCGCAATTTTTCCCTTTTCCTGTTTTGCCATTTCGCAATATCGCAATTTTGCACTTTTCCCGTTTGACCATTTTGCCGTTAGACCACTTTGCGTTTTGCCGACTACCCGCTCGCGCGACGCATACGTACGGATACCTTTCCATGTTGCCACAAAGACAGGTTTCCATTGGTGAAGCGTGCAGTCACCACGTAACTAGCGCAGGTGAGCGTTAAAAATCTGCATTTCAACGGCCCATTCGATGTTCCCCCGTTTAAAGTGACGCGTTCTCTACGAAGAGTTCACAATTTGGGGCTGCACCTCTGAATATATTTGTGAGCTTCTCCGCGACAGAAGGGTGTACTGATGCGGATGGGCAGCATGAGTAAATGTATATTTACATGCATGCCATTTGCCCCTGCGAGTAAGGGATACCGCGTATTGTGCTAACTCAAAAGGTTTGGGACTTCCGCCAAAGGGACGCATTTAAACATACGGCCCAGGGATAAAACAAGCAGACGAGCAAAGGAAAAAAAAACAACAGCCGAAGCGACAGAATTGAAAGCGGGATGCCAAGCCGAAGAGCAATAAGTGATCGGTTCCAGGGTTCAGGGTTCATCTTTACTTACTCGGGAAAACGCGAGAGACATGAATCAGGTCTCGGCGAAGTCCAAGTTGAAGACAACTGAGTTCATTGGGGGGGAAAACAGGGGTGTGAGATTTATGAATAGGGCTAAGGGCCACCTGAACGCAGTCAGTAAAAATGTGGCGCAGGTGTCCAATGCGGCGAACTCGCAGTTTACGCGCAAAACGTCTTTTGGGAAGAACTCGCACTTGAAAGCGCGGACGAACAACTCACTGCTTAAACAACCGGCGAAGAGCAGCCTCAAAAGCAATCAGAGGAGCTCACTGAGGGTTGCCCACGTCGAGTTCGCCAAGTACAGCCATAAAAAGGGTCATCAAAATAGTGACGATAACGGCGATGGTTACGATGACGACAAGGCTGGTGCAAATGATGGCCTAAATTATCACGTCCATGATGATGTGCATGATGATGGCGGCAGGGAGGCGACATCCGGGGGGAGACTGGTGCCCCCACCGAACGCCGGTAACGCGACAAACGCAGGGGGGCGGAAGAGCTACCTGAACAAGTTCGACGTACGGAACCACAGAAGAGACAAGTACGGGGAAAGCGGGAGAGCCACCGCCATCGGCAGTGGAAACAACCATGCAAACAATCAAGCCAACAATAACCACGGGAACAACCACAACAGCGGTAATCCTAAGATGGGACAGTCCAGGATGCTCAGCCAGCCCCACCACTACGAGCGGGAGGAAGCTGGGTCGGGCGAAAACGAATGGGGGCGCAGGGCGGAAGACGCCATCTACTCTTACAGCTCGCCCATGAAGAGAAAATACGACGCCATGGAGAGAAAATACGACCCCGTGGAGAACCTACACAGGGGAGCTGCTGACAGGGGGGCTGCCTCCAGGGGGGGCAAGGGAAGTGATAGCGATAGCAACAGTGGGGGCGACATTAGAGGGGACCCTCACAGCGAGCGTCAGCACGAGAATGAAAGACGAAGGAGGGACACCAACACACAGAGTAAACGATACGCCTCAAGAGGTCCCCCCCATGACAGTGGAAATTCACACTATGGTAATAACGTAGGTGCCATAAATATATCAAGTGGAACGAATGAAAAGGTCAGTGCTTATGGCAGCATGATGTTGTATTCGAATGAGAAACTTCTAGGTAGCAACAACACGGGGCTTGGTCCTCCCCCAAGCCGGAACAACAGTGGGTTGCACGCCATCAACCAGGAGGACGGTCTGCTGAGTAGGTCTTACCAGCCGCTGAGCACAACAGGTAGGAACGCAGCGGGGAATGCAAGCGGCGCGGCGAACATGGCCTGTGGGGACCAGGACGAGGATAACGTGAGGACCACTCCGTTAGAGAGAAGCTACGCGAAATTCGATCGACTGAGGAGGGGCGAACCGATGCTTGCCGTTCCGGCGCACAGGTACCAGCAGGAGTCGCAGCAGTTGGAGCAGTCGAAACAGTCGGAGCAGTCAAAGCAATCGCACCAATCGGAGAAGTCGAAGCAGTCACAGCACCTGAATAACTCGCTCTACTACCTGAGCAGGAACCCCGCGAGACCGCACAGGCGGAGCAGACACACCAGTTATATAACGGACACGAATAGCGAAAAGATGGCGAATCATACGATGGGAATCCATAACGATTTATTTAACTCGTGTACGTTCGATAGATTGAGTGAGGACAATTTTAATTCCTCTACGAAGAAGAGGACAGATGGGAGGTTGGACAACCAGGTGGGTGCCATGGACGGGGGAGGCGGCGAGGGTTCGGAGGATCGCGGAATGGATCGTGGCATAGACCGTGCAGCGAGTGCGAATAGGAACGCCGCATCGAACAGCTCCCATAAATTCTCACGGCTGCTGAGGAACGATGCCATGGCGAGCCACCAGCGGGTGGGGGGACTGAGCAGCGACAAGGGGGGGTGGAAAAGCAGCCATCTGGAGTCAAACAACATGGAGTTGCGTAACATGTCCGCATCGGTGCAGTACTCAGAGGGACGCCCATTCGTTATGGGATCCACTAGTGCCATTTTCCCTATTAGCAGCACATTGAAAGGAGCTCCCCCGAGGGAGATACCAAACGGAAGGGGAGCGACTACTCTACCCTCTTTCAGCAGACTTGATAGTAAGGAAGGGGACAGTGAAGACGATTACTATCGAAGCGTCGTGCACAACATCACAAATTGTAACAGTGAAGAAAATGACATGAACGATTTATACACCAATGTAGTAAATCTGAATACTTATGTCTCCAACTGGGAGAAAGAAAATCAACACTTGAGCGAAATTTCCAAGACGAATAACAGCATCAGTGATACAATTAGAACTATTAAGCAGATCGTATTGACAAGAAAGAAAGTTATCCAGGATAAGAGAAATGTGATCAATGAGGAGTATGAAGTGATTTCTCAGAAACTGAAAGAATGTGAATCCATTTTCTGTGATTCTAATGATGGTACCAAAGGAGAAAAAAAATTAAAAGTTTTCTACGAGATTGATGAGAAGAAGAATACCCTCAAGGGGAAATATGAGATGAAGAAAATGTTATTGAAAAAGGCCGAATATAAAATTGAGAAACTACAAGAATACACAGATGCGGTGAAGTTGAAGACGCTAGCCATTTCGGAGAGGTATAAGAAGACCTTTCTACTTATTGAGGAACTGTTTCGATTGAAGATTATCAAAGACACGGAGAATGAAGTGCAAGTCTGTCTCATTCCTAAGAATACCAAGACGAACATGTGGCACAGGCTGCAGCTGGACAAGAGGGAGATGACGTCCGATGCCTGTGATTATTTGTGGAGCCAGATAGAGTCCTTCGTGGATAAAGAGGCTCTCAACAGTTATTTCTAACGGGGGGGTTTGGTAGCGCGCCCTCCAAGCCTTGACCTATGTCGCATTATCATGGCAGCACTTTTTTCGTTCCTCCGCGTGGATGTGCATTTAGGGAGCGCTGCTGCGGGGTTGTCTCTCTTCTCTTCTATTTTTTTGCCTTTCTTTCCTTTCTCTTCTATTTTTTTGCCTTTCTTTCCCTTCTCTTCTCTTCTTTTTTTTTCCCAAATTGGCATTACACCGTGGCCAGCCCCGCCGACCCGTGCATGTAGGTATGTGTGCAACGCATGCCACGCGTCTGTTTTTTTTTTTTATTTTCTTATTTTCTCCTTTTTTGTGTTAAACAGCCATTTCAAATTCGTTTTTTAATCAGTCATCGTTATGAGTAGTTAGGCGGTGGCCATGCAGACAAAACAAGACAAAAAAAGAAATAAAATGAAATAAAAAAATGGGTCGGAAAAATGGGCCTGCAGAATGGGCGGAAAAACGCGCGGCCGAATGGGCGGCAAAGTTGCACAAAAAAAGAAACAAACATGTGTGGTAGGTACACGTCTGTGTGGCCAGCTTGGGAAGAATCCCCCTAAACTGCCCCTTTTCCAACTTGGCTCTTCCAAACGATGGCAAAAAAATTAGCTAAGTCCACTGCTCAATAGGAAGTCATTCAGCTTAACCAAGTGGGGGCCATCCTCGACGTACAAATCTCCGTTTATGAATTTTATGAGCACTTCTTTGTCGTTAAGGAGGTACAGACTGCCTCTTACTTTTCTTATCTGAAATGGGATGTTGGTTTCTTTCAAGCTGTGGCTGAATTCGCAGAGGGCCACGTACACTGGGTCGTCCTCAACAGCGCCGGTAGCGGCGAGCGGCGTGCCCAGGGGGAGTGACACCGCCGAGGCTGAGTCATCCTTGACGCCCATCATCAGGTGGCTCTCCCCTTCGAGTAGCATAGCATCGAGTGCGTTGTTTTTTTCCGCCCTGCTGGTATAATCCAACATGTGGTTCCCCGCATCGAGGTAGTCATCACTGTAGTGCATAAGGCTACCCGCCGACCTCCTCCTTCCCCTTCCGCCACTCGAATGGAGATCCTTCAAATCGTCACTCAATTCGATAACTTCATCCGTCTGCGAAATGCTGCTGTTCTTTATGGAGTTTTTTTTTTTCCATTTGCTTTCTTGCAGCTTCTTTATCTCTTGGTCCTTCCTATACGTCTTGGCCTTCAATTCAATTATCTTCTTTTCCAGTGTGTTATTTTCTAGTGTAGACTTCTGCAGGAGGAGAGTGGTATTGAGTAACTTCTCATTCCTGTGGATATGTTTGCTGAGCAGCTTCCTCAAATGGTCCTCATTTTTCTTCAGAATTTTAATCTCGTTATTATTTTCGTAGATTAGTAGCTTGGACTCGTAGTCGAGTAGCCTGTCCTGGAGCTTCTCCACCTCGCACGACTTCTTCAGCACTTCGTCCTTGAGCAGGTTTAGCTGCGTGGAGGAGAGTCACAAGAATAGAAAAAAAATATATACACATATATATGTGTGCGTAATGATCCATAAGGAGAGGCGAACAGGGGGACTTGTATGTGGT